AATTTATTACATTTTAATTATATCTTCTCAATTTAAGGCTTTCAAAACTGTATTTAAAAAGTAGTTAAACATTTCTTGAACTTAATAAAAAGTGTTCCAATCTTTAGGTAAGTCTTAACATTCTGTCTCTACAGTCTATTTTAGAATTATATATTTTTCAAAGATTTGGCTCACCTTGTTCATCAACCCATAATAATAATAATAATAATAAATGTTTTTTTAAAAACCCATTAAAACAGGCTGACTGGTTACTAGTCCATTTCCCACTGCAATGCTATGTACTGGTTATAACTCGGATCCAGACTATCCACAAGACCATACCTCCCAATATGCACTTGTCTAAATTTTCACATCTTCAGAAACAGGTTTTTGCTTAGTCCCATCACTATCACAGGCATGTTTGAGGACAAGGACAAATCATCTCAGTGGCTGCCCCCAAGCTATAGAAATCCTTCACACAGGAAGTAGATTGGTTCTCTTTCTGCTCTCCTTCCATCAGCAAGTTTTAAAATTTGATAAGCTTTTGGCTGAAGTGGTTGCTTTATCACACACTAGAATAAAGTCTAGATATAAAATAATAAAAACTACTTCAAAATCAAACCTGATGTATAATTTTGGGTTATGTCACTTTCTATTATTTTCCTCAACACATTATCTTTTACATTACACTATAAAAATATATGGATCAAATGAATAGATTGCCACTCTCATCAGCAAGAAGTTTTCAGGGACAACTATTGTGAGAAATAAGATAGAAAGAGTAACTTATTCCACCAACTCAATAATCCTATTACTGCCATAAATGCCAATTTCTCCCAATTCCAGTCTCAAAAGTAGAGAGCCAGACAGTATCTTTCAGTGGGCCAGGAACTCCAACAGCTCATTGATGAGCTAGAGCCAAGAAGATATTATGTACCTATTTTAAAGTATACTGTAACTGTGAAGCTTACTCCAATGCCACTCAAGACATTTTACAATGTGCCATAATTTTTACAATTCAATTAAGGAGGGACCATATACCCTGGACATTTCAGAATACTAATATGTGAAAAATTGTCTCCTTCTATTCAGCATTATTATACTTATATCTAAGTCTTCCAACATAGGCTCTGCCAGAGGATATTTAAAGGTAGTCCCCAGGTTACGAACAAGATATGTTCTGTAGGTTTGTTCTTAAATAGAACTTTTATGTAAGTCAGAGCACAAACATTTTTAAGTGTAACTCCAGGCTATATATATGTGTGTATGTGTGTGTATCTTTGAATAGCATAGGGAAGGATTGACACCCATGTGAAGCTTTTTTCCTGTCTATGCCCCTATTCAGAAGATGCCACCTCACTTTCAGTTCTGTGATAATTGATTTTGGGGGGGGGGGGGAAATGGGCTTATTGTAGAAACAAGGACTGGTGATAAAGCTTCAGTGGGGACACCTTTTTCCCATAACTCTTCCAGGAGTGAACTTCCCTTCCTAGGGATAGATTTCTTTCACTTCCTGTTGTTTCACCCCTGTTCTTATCTATCAGTCATACCTAAGACAGATGTTTGTAGCTTGGGGACTACCTGTACATTGATACTGTCAGAAATTTGAAAATACAATTGTTTTCTTGGTTTATCCTCAGGAACAATGAAATTAACGAGACATTCATTTTTAATACATGGCCAGGAAGAGTTCAACATTTGTGATGGATGTCTATGATTAAGGAGTCACATCATTCTTTTAGGGATGCTTGAATGTAAATCTTAAAACACCTGTTCTGAGCGGAAATAAGAAGAGAAAGTCAAGATTTTTTTAAATTAAAAAAACACTCGCCATAGACTAATAAACACAGGCTGTGTCCTTGATAAATAATTTCCTAGAAGGCAGGAATACACATGCCAAAATGGAGAATTGAACTTGCAGTTAAAAACATAAATGTAATCCATATGCTGTAGCCATGCAGGGCAAATGGAATGGACATGATAAAGGCCTTGTCTCTTTCAAGGCTGAATGCCAATATCTCCAATGGATAACATTTCCTGTTCACTGTTAAGGCCAAGAAAGGGACAAGGACTAACAAGTACAGGGTCAAGCCAAGGGGAGAAATTCAGACACATTTCCCCTTCCCCATCAACAGCATCACAGAACTGAGTACAAAGAGGAAAGCATTTTCTCGATTACAGGCTGCGTATCCCTTATCTGAAATGCTAGGGATCAGAATGTTTTGAATTTGGAATACCGATCTTTACACATGTGTACGATGATCTTGGTGATGGCAACCAAGTCTGTACAACTTACAGCTTCATATACATCTAAGATACATATCCTGAGAATAATTTTATACACAATATTTTAAAATGATGTTTGTACATTGAACCATCAAAAAGAAAAGGTGTCAGGATCTCAGCCAACCACATGGACAATTTTACATTTTGGAGTATTTCAGATTCTGGATAAAAGATGTTCAACTTGTATTGAGAATTCAAACAGGGACATTAACCAAGGCCCCTTCCGCACAGCTGAATAGAATCCCACATTTTCTGATTTGTACTAGAATATGTGGCAGTGTGGACACAGACAACCCAATTCAAAGCAGATATTGTGGGATTTTCTGCCTTGATATTCTAGCGGCCCTTCCACACAGCCCTATATCCCAGAATATCCCACAATATCTGCTTTGAACTGGTTTATCTGAGTCCACACTCAAATAATGTGGGATTTTCTGCCTTGATATTCTGGGATACAGAAATGTGTGGAAGGGCCATAGGTTATATGGCTTTGTGGAAGAGCCCTCAGATCACCCAGATCAAAGCAAATATTGTAGTATTTTCTGCCTTGATATTCTAGGTTAGATGGCTTTGTGGAAGGGTCTCAGACAACCCAGTTCAAAGCAAATATTGTGGGATTTTCTGCCTTGATATTCTGGGTTATATGGCTGTGTGGAAGGGCCCCAAGTTACTTCTGTCTGACATGCCTCAAGATTCCCATTGTAGACATTTGACAGACTTGAGTCTATTAAGGCAGACACAAACAAGCAGATCCACAAAGACAGACAACAGAGATGTCTATTATTTTTCACACCAAGTAGAGCAGGGCGAACTGACTCAAGAATGGGGCAAAAGCCACAGACAATGAGGGTCCAAGTTTGCACAATGCATATGCTATTTCACTCTGCGAGACATCTGAGCTGTAGCTGGTTTTTTTAATTGTTGTTTTATTGTTTTATCCCAGTCCCACGCTCCCGTCCTTGTACATTCAATTTATACAGCAAACTACAGAAGTTACATTTGAAATATCAATCTCAATCTTAATTTTTTCCACTCCCCATCTTAGCACATTCTCTAAATAATTCCTCACTGGTTTCCACACCCATTTAATTATTGTAACCTTTACAATTTTATCTATATTGTGCCATTATCAGCACTGTAGATGTTTGACACTTCAGCTGCCGTGGCTCAAGGCGATGGAATCCTGAGAGTTGGATCTTTTGCCATTCCTGTCAATTCTACAGTGTAGACCAGGCATGGCAAACTTGGGCCCTCCGGGGGTTTTGGACTTCAACTCCCACCATTCCTAACAGCCTCAGGACTTTTCTTTTTCCCCCTCAGCCGTTTAAGCGGATGAGGGGGGAAAGGAAAAGGTCTGAGGCTGTTAGGAATGGTGGGAGTTAAAGTCCAAAACCCTTGCAGGGCCCAAGTTTGCCCATGCTTGGCGTAGAAGCATCCTGAGACCTCCTTTCCCATGAGGAAGCGAGGCAACCATGGTGTGACCCTTTATCACCCTCCCTCTCGCCTTAAACCGGCCCTCGGTGAGTCATCCGCTTAATGAAAAATAACAGGATTCTGAATGGAACCAGGGCCGCTCCTGGTGCAGAGTATGGGCGAAGGCGAGGCTGGCTGGGTGTCTGTCTGAGGGGAAAGGCGGAGGAGGAGAAAGGAGAACGAAGTGGGACTGAGAGAAAGGGCAGAAAGGGTTGGGAAGGGCGGGCAAGGAAACCAAAGAGGAGGAGGAGGAGGGTGGGCTACACAGGGAGGCGCGAAGGGGGTGGGGACCCTCTCAGCCCGTCTCTCCTCACTGCGCCTGCGCAATTCTCCAGGGTGACCCCGCCAATGGGCAGCCTCCCCCCGCGCTCTTCCCGCTAATGGGCATTCCCCCCCCCTCCGCCGCTCAGATTCACCTCATATCTGTCTCCTCTCGGGTGTCCCCTTCACACCCAAGGCAAGGACGAGGGAAGGGAGGGAGGAGGGCACGCAGCTGCGGTAAAGCCCACCACTGCTTCCCCCGCCAGGAGCACCATCCCCTCCTCCAACGGCCGCCACTGAGTCACTCACGACCAGCCAGGGAGACAGGCAGGAGGCGCTTTCCTCTCGCCGCCTGCTCTCTCTCTCTCCCTCTTTCGCGCAGCCTCTAGGTTACTGCGCAGCGCGAGGACAGAGTGGGGTCCAAGCAACCAATCGAGTTCTTCTCCTCACTCGGAGGCCCCACCTCTTTCCCCACCTTCATGACGGACGCGCCCGTCCACCAATAGCGGGCAGGCGGCGGCGGCGCGCGGGTAGGGGTAGAGGGGGTGAGCGCGTGCCGAGGGCTTCGTCGCTTGTGCGCGCGCCCACCCGCTGTGAGGTAATCGGGCGCCGGAGGAACCCGCGCGCGCCCGTCCTTGAAACCAAGCGAAGTGGAGAAACCCAACTCGCTTTGTTTAATGACTCATTTCCAGGTGCGGCCCTGAAGAAGAATCATCATCATACTAATACCAAATAAAACATTTCATTTCCTTTTACTTTTCTTTCTTTTTTTTTTTTTTTTACTCTTTACTCCTCTTTTGGAACGGAAACCCAAGCTGCCGCACCTCTCCCATTCAATGCCTTTCACACCCCCTTTTTTTAGCCACGGGAGAGATGCAGCGGGCGGGGGAACCAATCAGGGAAGAGTAGGCTCAGCCGTGTGGAACGCGCCTGATTGGAAGACGCTTCTCCGGTCGCCCCGCCTCCTCGCCAGAGTGAGAGCGGGTTCTGCCAATGGCCGGTGGGCTTCTGGGGGGCGCTGGGCTTCCAGGTTCTTCCGAGCGGGGTTTGCGCTCCCGCGAGATCCAGAGGGGCCTGGAAAAGGTAGTGGGCTTTGTCATGGCAACCGGTGTCTCTTCCGCCGGAGTGGGGCGAGGGAGGCCTGGGCCGGCGGGCGGGCGGCTGGGTTTGTCTGCGGGCGACTCCCTTCTCCCTCTGGCAGCCCTTGGCGACTTGCCAGCCCTCGGGGAGAAAGGGAGGGGCTCCTGCGCTGGTCTCCTGGCTTGACTTTTAGCCGCTTCTGTATTTGTGTGTCTTCAGCTCACACAGAGTGGGGGCCCTTCCACACTTCCCTATATCCCGGAATATCAAGGCAAAAAATCCCACAATATCTGCTTTGAGCTGGGTTATCCGGGTCCAGATAATGTGGGATTTTCCGCCGCTTTGAGTCTCTTACTTAGGGCCCTTCCACACAGCCCTATAGCCCAGAATATCAAGGCCCAAAAATCCCACAATATCTGCTTTGAAGTGGGTTATACTCCTCCCCCAATAAACTTCTAAACAGCAACCTACACCATAGTATGTTCTAGTTGTTCATTAATTCAGTCGTTTCCGGCTCTTTGTGACCTCATGGACCAGCCCACGCCAGAGCTCCCTGTCGGCCGTCACCACCCCCAGCTCCTTCAAGGTCAAGCCAGTCACTTCAAGGATGCCATCCATCCATCTTGCCCTTGGTCGGCCCCTCTTCCTTTTCCTTCCATTTTCCCCAGCATAATTGTCTTCTCTAAGCTTTCCTGTCTCATGATGTGGCCAAAGTACTTCATCTTGGCCTCTACTATCCTTCCCTCCAATGAGCAGTCGGGCTTTGTTTCCTGAAGTATGGACTGGTTGGATCTTCTCGGTCCAAGGCACTCTCAGAACTTTCCTCCAGCACCACAGTTCAAAAGCATCTATCTTCCTTCGCTCAGCCCTCCCTATGGTCCAGCTCTCACATCCGTAGGTGACTATGGGCAGAGGCGGCCCTAGGTAATTTTCAATGGTAAGCAAACAGTATTTTGGTGCCCCCCCCCCCAATCATTGATATATATTTTCTGTTTGTCATGGGAGTTCTGTGTGCCATATTTGGTTCAATTCCATCATTGGTGGAGTTCAGAATGCTCTTTGATTTTAGGTGAACTATACATCTTAGTAACTACAACTCGCATATGTCAAGGTCTATTTTCCCCCAAGAGCACCCCTGGGTAAATTCAACTATACTGCGAATGCTTACTTTGCGTAATGGGTTGAGCCGCCCCTGACTATGGGGAACACCATTGCTTTAACTATGCGGATCTTTGTTGCCAGTGTGATGTCTCTACTCTTCACTATTTTATCGAGATTGGACATTGCTCTCCTCCCAAGAAGTAAGCATCTCCTGATTTCCTGGCTGCAGTCTGCATCTGCAGTAATCTTTGCACCTAGAAATACAAAGTCTGTCACGGCCTCCACATTTTCTCCCTCTATTTCCCAGTTGCCAATCATTCTTGTTGCCATAATCTTGGGTTTTTTGATGTTTAACTGCAATCCAGCTTTTGCACTTTTTTCTTTCACCTTGATTAGAAGGCTCCTCAGCTCCTTCTCGCTTTCGGCCATCAAGGTGGTGTCATCTGCATATCTGAGGTTGTTAATGTTTCTTCCAGCAATTTTTACCCCAGCCTTGCATTGTCAAGCTCCGCACATCGCATGATGTGTTCTGCATACAGGTTGAATAGGTTGGGTGAGAGTATACAACCCTGCCGCACGCCTTTCCCAATCTTGAACCAGTCTGTTCCATAGTCAATTCTGACCGTTGCTACTTGGTCCTTATACAGATTCCTCAGGAGAGAGATACAGTGATTTGGTGTACCCATGCCACCAAGAACTTGCCACAATTTATTATGATCCACACAGTCAAAGGCTTTAGAATAGTCAATAAAACAGAAATAGATGATTTTCTGAAACATCATAGTATATAATGGGACAAAAAAACCCACTTCCTGACTGTAAGAGCTGCTCGTCCATGGAATATTTTGCCTCATAGTGTGGTGGGGTCTTTTCCAAGAGGTTTTTATTCTGTGGGTGGATGGCCATCTGTGTGTTCCTGCATGGCTTGATGGCCCTTAGGGTCTCTTCCAACTCTAGGGTTCTATGAGCATTCACAAATTTCTTGTGTTTTTAAAGACAGTATCAGTTATGATGTACGGTACTGTCTTTCAGGCAAGCTTGTTTGTAATTATTCATTGTCTCAGTAACATGCATTTAGCCTCTAGTACTCTTAAAGCAGAAGCCCCCGGTGGCGCAGTGGGTTAAAGCGCTGAGCTGCTGAGCTTGTTAACCAAAAGGTCGCAGGTTCGAATTTGGGGAGCAGTGTGAGCTTCCTCTGTCAGCCCCAGCTCCTGCCAGCCTAGCAGTTTGAAAACATGCAAATGTGAGTAGATCAATAGGTACTGCTCCGGCAGGAAGGTAACAGTGCTCCATGCAGTCATGTCGGCCACATGACCTTGGAGGTGTCTACGGACAACGCCGGGTCTTCAGCTTAGAAATGGAGATAAGCACCACACCCCAGAGTCGGACACGACTGGACTTGATGTCAGGGGAAAAACCTTTACCTTTTACTCTTAAAGCACTAGATTCTGTCTGATCTTGGCAGCTAAGCAAGGTTAGTCTTGATTAGTACTTGGATGAGAGATTCCAATGAATATCATGTGCTGTATATATAGGTTGAGCAACCCTTATCTAGAATTCCAAAATACACACAAATTTGATATTGCCCCAACAGACAGCTGAGATAATGGTAGTTTTGCTTTCTGGTGCTGTAATTTACAAAATCTTTGATGCATTAAATTACGTATTTGGAAATATTGTGTATAATGTTCAGGCTAGAATGCTTATGAAACATAAATGGGTTTCATGTTTACACTTTGGTATAAGAATACCCTGAAATCCAAAGCATTTCTGGTCCCAGGCATTCGAAATTAGAGATACTCAATCTGCATTTCAGAGATTGGCAAAACCATCTCTGAGTAATTCCTTGCCTAAGAACACCCTATGAAATCCACATGTTCTCCATAAGTCAACAACCTTAACAAGTAATTCAAACTTTATCCAGAACACAATTAACAAAACACTTATTGTTTCATTTCTTTATTCACTCAGAGTAGCCCTGTACATAATTCTGGAGAGACTGTATTCTTCATTTCAGATTACCAAGAAATCCAGTGACTGAATTTAGGATTAAAGCACTTTGTCCAATTTTCATGTCATCTGAAAAAAAGAACAATATGCTTTACAGAGTTACTAAACAAATGATTAATCCTTGTAAATTGTTTCTACACACTTTCACCAGAAGGCTATTTTTAGAAGAAGGAAAAAATATTTCCTAATTCTCATTGACACTAGAGGGATGAACAGATTTTTTTTTCTGGGAAGTGCTGAGTAGGTTTTACTGGTACAGTATTACCAACTCAAGATATATTTACTAGAAAAGAAGTTACTTGTATAGTTTGCATCTCCCCCCCCCACACACACACACACACATACACACTGTTATTTTAAATAATGTGTTAGTTTTTATGAGGTGATAGTAAGATGTGGTTTGGTTTTTAAGTACTACTGTATAGAATTGAATATTTTATAAATATGTATGGTATATACTAGATAGTATGATATACTACATCATATATTACATATTCTACTAGATACATAATGTTGTGGTGTGCCCTGAAGTCATTTCTGGCTTAGAGCGCCCTTACTCATGGGGCTTCCGGGCAATATTTGTTCAGAGTTTGCCTTCCTCTGAAGCTAAGAGTGCATTTTGTCCAAGGTCACCTAGAGGATTTCCAAGGCCAAGTATGGATTTGAATTCTATTTTCTAGAACCCGTATATAGTATTATGTCTATGTTTTATAATGATATTTTGTATGTTTTGTGTCGGTAATTGCAGTGCTTTACCTATGCTGGAAACCGCCCTGAGTCCTCACGGGGAGATAGAGTGGTATACAAATAAAAGTTTGTTTGTTTATTATTATCATTATGATTATTTTTACTTATTCTCTCAGTACTATGTGGTTACTCCAGTACCCTAAAGGCATCAATTCCCTTTTGATTTTAGAAGTTAAGCAGTGTCATCCCTGAAAAGTACTTGGATGGGAGACCACCAATGAATACCAGTAGGCTATATTTCAGAGGAATGGACTGGCCAAATAACCTCTTGAGTATTCCTTGCATAAGAAAGCCCTATGAAATTCATGGGGTCACCATAAGTTTACAGACAACTTGAAGGCGCATGCACATATATTGTATATTGTTTATGCTGTACTGTGTACTATATATGTACAGTAGAGTCTTGCTTGTCCAACATAAATGGGCCAGCAGAATATTGGATAAGCGAAAATGTTGGATAATAAGGAGGGATTAAGGAAAAGCCTATTAAACGTCAAATTACGCCCTCCGGGAGGGGTGACACACAGCCGGTACAGGCCAGACGCTGTGCCCAACAGGAAAAGTGCACCAGCTGTGATTCATCCTTCCCGGCATGCACCTGGCATGCAGAGAGGCCCACTGTGCATGGCTGCCTAGAGAAACAGCTGTGGATCCGGGGCGGAGGCAGACTGCGTTGGATAAATACAGAACATTGTATGAATGCAGGTTGGATAAACGAGACTCTACTGTACTACATAATATATAGTTCATTAATACACACAGTGGATATTATTCTATGTCCAGTTTTGTATTGTATTCATATATTTATTATTTATTTATGACATTTCTGCCCTTCTTTCTTACCCCGGAGGGGACTTAAGGCGGCTTTACATACAGGCAAATAATTTGATTCCCTAAAACACAATGTATACTTAAATAAATATTAAAATAGAATTTAAAAGTACATTAAAACAATCAAAACATTTAAAAACAATACATTCAGAGTTAAACACGTAATCAGTTAGTGTAATCTGGGCCGTTCCAATGGTCATTGCACATTGTTCCAAGTCTATCTATTGTAAAAGTTCTCTGAAGGCTTGGTCACAAAGCCACATTTTCACTCTCTTTCAGAAGGGAGGGGGCTGATCTAACATCACTGGGGAGGGAGTTCCACATATAGTACACAATACTGTACATAAACAGCCAACTTTGTCATTTGAGTATTGGACTATGATTCTGCAGACCAGGTTTTGAATCTCTGGTCAACCATGAAAATCCCCTAGATGATCCTGGCAAAGAAGCCCTGTGATAGTGTCACCATAAGTTAAAAATAACTTGTAGACAAAACAACAAATTACATAGAACGTACATGGAATATATGCCATACTATGAGCAATGCTATTTGTGGCATATAATATATCAATTACTCAATGTTAACTCAACTTTTACGTAAATCACAGTGATCCATTGGGGCTATGCTGGTTAGAATTTGCAATTAGATTTAGACCATATATTTTAATGATGGTCCATTTAATGTTTTTACATGTGTTCTCTTATTCTATTTCAAGTATATATGAAAAATGTTTGATCATTTTGTAATCAGGTATTTCATTTCTCTCTGTGTATTTTAAAAGCAACTATGAAGGGATTATATTGGAAACAAAATTCATCTGGAGAAGAAACACATTTTGTTTTCTTAGAAAAGGTGAGTTACTACAGCCAAATGATGTCTATTCAGAAGCAAGACCTATTTATTATGTTTTACTTGATATAATTCCTAGTTAAATGGACTTAGGACTGAAGACCTATTTGGGTAAGCCTGTGGCCACATAGGGGCATGATTTAAATCTTTCCCCATCTGCCACCTCCTTGCACTAATTCATCTGGAAAACACTTTCTCTTTTATCGAGTCCCATATATCCATTAGTGGGAATGTATCTGCATATGAAACTCAGTAAAGTGCCAAAATGCCTGGGACTGTGAAAGCAGGAGAAGTTGCAAGCTGTTGCATTTCTCTACACGTAACATAATTCTGCACTTAGATTTGTACTTTGCCTACTAATCCTGCTGTAGGTACAAACTTTTTTTAGTTGTAGATTTGTCTTTCAGTTATTTCAGCAAATGTGTTGGAGATTTTCAAAAACATTTGTAGAGTGTTATTGTTTTTTTAAAGTATATTTTGCTTTTTATCAGGCATGGTACTTGAGTCAACGTATAAAAATTGATACAGATACATGAAAAAATTGAAAGTTAAAATATAATTATCATTAATAATCTATCAATAAAACCAAAAGCAATCAAAAAGCAATAAATATGGACAATATAGCATTTAAAATCTCAGACCAAAGGTCTAGTGAAGGAAAAAGGCCTTTATCAGTCATTGCAATGGCATGATGAAGAGACCAGGTCTATGCTTTGAATATGATTTTCCTGCTTCTTGGCAGGGGATTCAACTGGATGCTCCACAAGGTCTCTTCCAACTGTATGATTCTAAGTGAGTTACAGAGCCTGGGAACAGCTGGAAAGAAAGAGCTTCTAAGGCCCCTTCCAGACAGCTGTATAAAATTCACATTGGCGGGGTTTTGTTTGGTTTTGTTTTTTTTCCATGTCAGGAGTGACTTGAGAAACTTCAAGTCTCTTCTGGTGTGGACTCAGATAATCCTGTTCAAAGCAGATATTGTAGATTATCTGCCTTGATATTCTGGGTTATATGGCTATGTGGAAGACCTTTAAGTTTCCACCAAAAGTACAGGCAGCCCTCGAGTTACAACCACCCAACTTACAAGGGGCTCATAGTTATGAACGGAGGTGAGACAACAGGAAGTGAGCAAAATCTACCCCTCAGAAGGGAAATTCACCCCTGAATAAGGCTATCATGGGGGAATGGTGTCTCCACTCAAGCTTTATCACCAATCCTTGTTTCCACAACAAGCCACATTCTTCAAAATCCAATTATCACAGCCAGAAAGTGAGGTGAAATCTTCTGAACAGGGGCACAGACAGTAAAACAAACACCACAGGAGTGTTAAACCTTCTCTGTTCTACCTAGCGTTTATATATGTATATGCATATGTATATTTGGCAGGCATTACACTTAAAAATGTACCTGTTCCATCTTACATATAAATTTAACTTAAGAACAAAACTACATAATCTATCTTGTTTGTAATTTGGGGACTCCCTATACCTGTTTGGGTAGTAGCATAGAGAGAAGGACCTTAGCTAAAGACCTCAGAACCAGGACAGCCTCATATTACAGTCTCTAAGATGTCATGAACATTTTTTTCACTATTCTCTACACATGCACATTTTCTTGACTGTGGCCTTTAACTTTTTTACTGTTTTATATCTAAATCTTTGGGTTGCTCTACAAAAATGTGAGCATGCCATAACCCACCCTGCTGGACACAGATGGCCTTGATAAGCCGAAGGATTGCGGGACTCTACCCTGCCCATTTGCATCAACACTTGCCTTGTACATGGGTTGTGATGAAGGGTTCTTACTGATAAGAACTGAACAAAGGGAGGCTACGGGGTTGGGACATGGACCATGAAGTGAAATTTCCTGGTTGCCCTTTAGTCAATTGATTGAGTGACGTCCCAAAAGGGTGGCACAGCACTGTGAAACTATAAAAGCAAATGTACTTCACTTCTCAAGGTATCTCCATTTTGGTGGCGCTACTAGAGCCCCAGTTCTCTGTGTTTTTTTCTACCTCTTCTGGGTTTTTCAGAATAGAAATTTATTTCTGAGAGCAAGAAATGCCTAGATACTTTGCTGGCTGTGTCTCTAAAGCTGCGTCTTTTAAGAGATTTGAGTGGCAAAAAATAGCTAAGATTTTGTTGTGTACTACTTATACAACTTTTAATATGTATTTCATATCGATTCACCTTAGGATAACCTTCCTGTTGTGAAAGACAACTATGTGAAAATGCGAGTTAAAGCTTGTGCTCTTAGCCGGATTGACACCAAGGTATTCATGGGTTTTTTTAGTTTTTGGATAATGTGTGCTTGTTTTCCTCTGAGCCTGGGCTCATTAAAATCAAATGCATAAGTAATTTTAACTTGTTTTTTTGTGGTAGCTTTGTGAAGGTGACATGACATGTATAGGTCACAGCTCAGTTCTAGGCAAATTTAAACAGAATCAGGTGTTACAGTGTTCAGGAAAGCTTACTGTCAGTTGAGCAGGATCAGAGCTTTAAATGAGCAATTCCATGTCGTGTTATTACCCTTCATAGTTTAAAAATGTAGGTGCCAATTTGGTTCATTTGAACTGTCCTCAATCCTCCCTTTCTACAGAAATCTGTCTTAGTCAAGTATATAGAATGCTAACATGAATAGCAGAAAAGAAATCCCAGGGTCACAATGGCTGGTTTTCATACACAGTTTGAAAAGCTGTTTGAAACAATCTTGTTCATGAGCAGAATGATAGCTTTAATGGATAGAGCAGCTTGTTACATGAATTGTTCTTTTTGCTTCAACATTTTCATTCCACCACCAGGATTGTTTGCTTCTAGCATGGTAAATCTCCACACAATAGAAGAAATCTTTGCATTAAGTGGTTCTGCAGGTTACAGCTGCTCCAGCTACAATGCAGGTGTTGTTTCAAGTGACATCCCCATGACTACTATTACATATACATTGGCTGTAATACAAGCATAAGTGAATGTTATTAATTCACACCTAAACATAAAAAGGTGCTTGTTTAGTCCTGTGGAAATCAGCTGGGCAATATATATTTACTCCTTTGTAGAATCACAGGTAGAGTATGTGAAGTTAAGAAGCTAGACTCTGACCGGCATAAATCTGATGTGTTTCACTCACATTCTGCCAAACATTTCAAGCTTACTCTGTGCATTTTCTATACACCTCTAAAATTAAAATTGAATTTAATTGAATAACTTTATTGCCATTGTGCTATTTCACAACTAAATTAAATGCTTTTCCCAGCACACACAACAAAACAACACACCCATCCCTCTACACCTCAACTCCACTGCACAACTCCCAGTGCCCACATCAGTGTGAAACCATGGAGTTCAATATAGTTACAGCTCCAGTATAAAAGCTAAAAGCTATCCCTCAGTCTGTTTGTCCTTGTCTTTGTCACCCTGTATCATCTGCCAGATGGCAATAATTTTATAGCTATCTATCTACCTGTCCATCCATCCTGGATGAGATGGATCCCCAAGTATGTTCTGAGCTTTCTTAAGGCTGCAGGACCTATAAAGTTTTTTCAAAGAGGGGAAAGGGCAACCAGTGATTCTCGATACAGTATTGGTGACCCCTTGGAGTGCCTTCCTACCTGCCGCTGTGCAGTTACCAAATTATGCACAAATGCAGTAGGTTGGGATACTCTCCATAGCACAGTGGTAGAAAGTCACCAGCAGTTTTTCATTCAGTTCCTGGTTCCTCTGAAGTTTCAAATAATAATACAATCTCTGCTGGGCCCTCTTCACCAATACTGCCACATGGGTGCCCCAGGTCAGATCCTCTTTAACAGTGACACCCAGGAACTTAAATCTGGCCACCTGCTCCACTTTTTCTCCATTTATGACAAAAGGGCTGGATTTCTGGTCTGTGATTTTCTTTGATATTTGTATGTGTTGTATTATGTTTATTTAGTTTATCCTCAGTTGATTTTCAGTTGTTTATAAGTTATATTGAGTTTATTTCATGTTTTATCTTGATTGTTGTTTGTCTGTTTTTTGACACTGAATGTTTGCCATCTTTGTTATTCTTTGGAAATGCCCCTGAGTTCCTTTGTGAAGAGAGGGCAGGTTAAAAATAAAGTATTAAAGTGTTATAATTGTTATTCTTATTCTTTTGTGTTCTCATCGAGACAGATATTTCACTAAAACAGTACAAAAACTATTTGTTCCGAAATCCAGCACACACTTAACTTGGGAGTAAGCTCCACTGATTTGAGTGGGGACTGCTGTATAATTAGATATGCGTGTGAAAAGCAGAACTAGGAAAATAAAGATTAATGCCAGCTGTTGAAATTACACTTCTTAATTTCAATTAGAACTATTGACATAAAGAAATTATGTACATAAATATTTTCATATGTTTTCAATAAATTAGCGATTTTTGAAGGAATATGAACTTAATTACTTTTTAATAATAATAATAATAATAATAATAATAATAATAATAATAGAACTTTATTTCTAGACTGCCCTCTCTCCCTGAAGGGACTCAGGGCAGTTTACACACAAAAAGGCAAGCATTCAATGCCTCAAGTGAGTACAAACATATCAAAATAATACACATAGGCAGAATACTGTTTAGTTCACAGGCAGACCATGGTCATTGTGATGAACTCGACTTCCTTAGTACATCCAAATCTTTGCTATCACTTACTGAGAGGAACTTTTCAGGTTCAATGTAATTTTCTTCCTAGATGGAAGGTGAGCTCAAGACTTCAGCCTTAGCTATATCCTCCACCCTTTTCAGCCTGTTACTCAAATAATCAAAGACAGGAGTAAAATTTTGGCAGGAGACTAAAATAGCATGTAATGTTTTAAGTGCCAATTAATAACACTCTGCAATAGATTATTTAACCATTAATTGATTTAGCTTTTGTCAGATATCAAGCTGGAAAAGGAATTCCTGCCCGTCGGGAGGGAAGTTGCTGGTATTGTGTTGGAAAGTGAGTATATAATTAGCATTTTGTTAGAACATCTGATTGGCATGTAACTATTTCTTTGCAGGGAAAATGTAAATACTGCTTGAACTGTACAATATTGAACTATTTGTCTTTTTATTTTAAAAGTCAGTTTTCAGTGTATCTTTAATATAACCGGGAAATAAAAAGCAAAATGGACTTATTCAGGCTAAAACCAGCATTTATTATTCAGACTAAAACCAGCATTTAATGGTTGGCTTGTTGAGCACCAAGAAGCAGGCATTGCCCTATCTAATGCTATCATTGAGTGCATTCCTTTACTTTCTACCATGTAAATAAATGGCTGCTAAATGAATCATTGCTAAAGAAAAAAAATAAACTACTTGCATGAGTGCAGATATAAAATCTGTAAACAAATACAGCCCCCACAATATAAGTAGAACCAGGAGTAAAATGCACTATACAACCAATTTTTTGCATATGAAAAAAACACATTTAGCTTTGATTTGCAAACACTGTTGAGTATAGTTTGCTCCTAGAATTCTTTTAAAAGGAAAAGCTGAACTAGTTTGCTTTTCCTGGTATTTTATAGCTGTGTGGTCCCTATTTTTTGGTGTTTTATAGCTGTCTAGACCCTATTTCTTATCTATAGAAATGAATGCCCAGTTTAGGCATAACAAACCATGGTGAATGGACATACCTTCTGGCTCACATACTTTATCCTTTCTTCTGATTTTTCATACAGCAGGAAAGAAATGGGAAGTAACCACATTTCTCTGTGTGTGTATGTGTGTGTGTGTGTTTAAACTCTGGGACCTGTGCTTTATTTAAATTGTGATTTTATAACAAGTATGGGCAAACTTTGTCCCTCCAGGCATTTTGGACTTCCACTCCCACAATTCCTAACAGTCAATAGGCTGTTAGGGATTGTGAGAGTGGAAGTCCAAAACCCTTGGAGGGCCAAAGTTTGCCTATACCTGCTTTATAAGAACAAACCGGCCTCTGGAACCAAAATGACCAATAGCTCAGCATAACTGATAGCATAAGGTCAGAGGAAGTTTTTCTTATTTCATTATGGCAAACAGCGTGCAGATTTTACTTTTTTGCATTTCCTTGAGGTTCAAATTATATCTGCATGAGTCTTGAGCTTTTTTACTCCACCTTTTTGCAGGACTACTGGCTCCTGGTTGTGAAATATAGATTGTTTTGTAAGTTTGAGTAGCTTTTGCATGTTAGAAAATCATCTTTTTCACAATGCTTTGTACATTTTTTCATATATTTTCCCCTAAAGGAATAACAACATGCAAATTACAGCCTGTCATAGTCTGCTAGGTGACAGACAATAATCTCTGTCTTATAGAATTTTTTTCTTCTCCATTCATGAACCTTAGAACTGAATTTCATCACTGGTATTTTATGTGAAATCAGAAGTCACACTGAAAAAGTTGTATGGTACGTTCTTGAAAGCAAATGCTATTTTCTTTAAATGTACAGTAATATTTTTCTCTTTGTTACATTTTCTTTTTCAAGTTGGAAATAAAGTATCCTCTTTCCAGCCCCAAGATGAGGTAGTTGGTAAGTTGCTCTTTTGCCTAATCAGCTGAAGCTTTTAAAGTATAAGAATTGTATCAGATCGTGAGTGTCTGTTATTTGGGAAACCTTTGGCAAATTGGCTTACACTTAGCGTTACCTATTTCAGCTTGAATGATCCTATCATGTCCCCCTGAGAATGAGAATGTTTATGAGACTTCAAAAAGCTGTGAATGATTAAAACCTAAGGGAAACACTAGGATAGACCTTTACAAACTTTACAAATCTTGTTGTTTCTCAAAGCAGCTTAAGAAACTATTTTCTCATCATTGATGTGTCCTGGTTCAAAGATATGATAATCCAAGGTGAGCCTATGTTATAAAAAACGTGTTTGTGCACACTTCCAGTTTGCTCTTTGTGACCAAGTATGACCTCAGACAGAATACATTGTTTCTCTCCGTACATGTTCTGTGTACACATGTCTACAAAGGCTCTTGTGAATTTGCCCCGTTGTGCCTCTTAGACAAATTGGTATCAAAACCCCACATTTAAACAGAACTGTATGAAAGGGATATTTTATTGAACACGTACAGAAATAAAGATATATGGAATAGATTCATCAGGGAATAGTATGGTAGACCTTCATAAATTCATGGGAAAGACAGCTAATAAATATTGCTATTGTAAATATTGCTATTGTAATGCTAGCAAACGGGGGAGGGGAAAGAGGGGGGAGTGGGTGGAGAGAATTCAGAAACAACATTGCAGGATTAGGTAACAATTGGAAGGGATTAGGTTGGCAGAAAGGGAAGATAACGAAGGAGATAACCTGGAGGAAATCATGGGATGAGTTTGCAATCTTGAAGTGCAATATGGAGGAAGAGGAGCATTCCATTGGCCGGGGGGCCCCTATAGTAGTCCTGACGGGGAGGGGGAGATGCGGGAAAGGGAGACCTTTAATTCGGCAACCAATTCGGCCATCTATTCGGCTCAAAAACAGTAAAGAATCAATGATTCAAATTCGGCCTAAGGGGAGGAAAAGAAATCAAAATAATTTAATAAAATGTAATCGGTCTCCTGACAGAGTAAATGGGTGTAACCAGGTCAGCGGTCCCTCCGGGTTGAAGATGGTGCTGTTGAACGCCAGATCTGTCAATGGTAAAACATCTTTCATCCAGGATTTAATCCTGGAGGAACGGGCAGATCTGGCGTGCATTACGGAGACCTGGCTGGACGAAGCTGGAGGAGTTAATTTAACCCAGCTTTGCCCGCCAGGTTTCTCCGTACAGCACCAATCGAGACCTGGAGGGCGGGGAGGCGGAGTAGCGGTAGTTTATAAAAATTCGATCCCTCTGACCAGAGGCCCCATCCTTCAGTCGACTAATTTTGAATGTGTCCATCTGAGGGTGGGAGACCGGGACAGAATAGGGATTCTGTTAGTGTACCGCCCACCTCGCTGCACTACAGTCTCCCTGCCTGAGCTAGCGGGGGTGGTCTCGAGCCTGTCATTGGAGTCCCAACGGCTCCTTGTGCTGGGGGACTTCAATATACACGCCGAGACTGCCCTAGGGGGAGCGGCTCAGGACTTCATGTCTTCCATGGCAACCATGGGGCTGTCCCAACAAATAACTGGCCCCACCCACAGTGCTGGGCACACATTGGATTTGGTCTTCTGTCAAGGATGGGAGCAAGGTGGCGGGGTTGAGGAGTTATCCATCTCTCCGTTGCCATGGACCGACCACCATCTGGTCAGCTTTAGACTTACCGCACCTCCTAACCTCTGCAGAGGTGGGGGACCCATTAAGATGGTCCGCCCCAGGAGGCTTATGGATCCGAATGGATTCCTGATGGCTCTTGGGGAGTTTCCCGCTGCCTCGGTTGGTGATCCTGTCGATGCCCTGGTGGCTCTCTGGAATGGGGAGATGACCAGGGCAATAGACACGATTGCTCCGGAACGTCCCCTCTCAAGTAGCCGAGCTAAACCAGCTCCTTGGTTCAACGAGGAGCTGGCAGCAATGAAGCGAAAGAAGAGGAGACTAGAGCGTGTGTGGCGTTCGGACCCGAGCGAGTCAAACCGAGCACGGTTTGTTGCCCTATTAAGGGCATATGCCGTGGCAATAAAGGCGGCAAAGAAATCCTTCTTTGCGGCCAATATTGCGTCCGCAAAGAACCGTCCGGCTGAGCTGTTTCGAGTTGTCAGAGGCCTGTTGAAGCCCACCATTTCGGATGGGAGCCCTGACAACTCGGCGGCTCGCTGTGAAGCATTTGCACGGTTCTTTGCGGACAAAGTCGCTTTGATCCGTTCAAGTCTGGATACCATGTTAACGGCAGTCTCTGAGAATGTGACGAGAACACCTGTCTGTCCGATTTTGATGGATTCGTTTCAATTTGTGAAACCTGAGGATGTGGACGAGGTGCTTGGAGGGATGAGAGCAACCACATGCATCCTAGACCCCTGCCCATCCTGGCTTCTAAAGGAGGCCAGAGGGGGATTGGCCGAGTGGGTGAAGGTGGTGGTTAATGCCTCCCTTCGGGAAGGCAAAATTCCAGCCAGCTTAAAGCAAGCTGTGATAAAACCGCTGTTGAAGAAACCATCACTGGACCCCACTCAATTCGTCAACTATCGGCCTGTTTCCAATCTCCCCTTTTTGGGCAAAGTCATGGAACGTGTGGTGGCCTCACAACTCCAGGCATTCTTGGTAGACACTGATTATCTGGATCCGGCACAGTCTGGCTTTAGGCCGGGGCATGGTACCGAGACAGCCTTGGTCGCCTTAGTGGATGATCTCCGGCGTGAGCTTGACAGGGGGAGTGTGTCCCTGTTAGTTCTGCTGGATCTCTCAGCGGCCTTCGATACCGTCGACCACGGTATCCTTCTGAGACGCCTTGCGGGAATGGGCCTGGGAGGCACTGTTTTACAGTGGCTCAGGTCCTTCCTAGAGGATCGTTCCCAGAAGGTGTTACTGGGGGACAACTGCTCGTCCTCACAACCATTGATTTGTGGGGTCCCGCAGGGTTCAATACTGTCCCCCATGTTATTTAACATCTACATGAAGCCGTTGGGAGAGATCATCCGGAGTTTCGGGGTGCGGTGTTATCTGTACGCAGATGACGTCCAACTCTGTCACTCCTTTCCACCCACTACTAAGGAGGCTGTCCAGGTCCTGAACCGGTGCTTGGCCGCTGTGTCGGACTGGATGAGGGTGAACAAATTGAAACTCAATCCAGACAAGACAGAGGTACTCCTGGTCAGTCGGAAGGCCGAACAGGGTATAGGGTTACAGCCTGTGTTGGACGGGGTCGCACTCCCCCTGAAGACGCAGGTTCGCAGCTTGGGTGTGACTCTGGATTCTTCGCTAACCTTGGAACCCCAAGTTTCGGCGGTTTCCAGAGGAGCATTTGCACAGCTTCGGCTTGTGCGCCAGCTGCGCCCGTATCTTGGGAGGTCGGACTTGGCCACGGTAGTCCACGCTCTTGTCACATCCCGTATAGATTACTGCAACGCGCTCTACGTGGGGTTGCCCTTGAAGACTGCCCGGAAGCTTCAGATGGTCCAGCGCTCGGCAGCCAGGTTGCTAACGGGAGCGGCTCTCAGGGAGCATACCACCCCCCTGTTGAACCAGCTCCACTGGCTGCCAATTTGCTACCGAGCACAATTTAAGGTGCTGGCTTTAGCCTATAAAGCCCTACACGGTTCCGGCCCCACTTACCTCTCCGAACGCATTTCCACCTATGAACCTGCAAGGGCGTTAAGATCGTCCGGGGAGGCCCTGCTCTCGATCCCGCCAGCGTCACAAGTGCGGTTGGCGGGCACGAGAGACAGGGCCTTCTCGGTAGTGGCCCCTCGGCTATGGAATGCGTTACCAGCGGACATCAGGCAGGCCCCTTCGTTGCTGGCGTTTCGAAGGAGGGTTAAGACGTGGCTCTATGAGCAGGCATTCGGTTAGCCATGCAGTAACAACCACCCAATAATGACGGCATTGAACAAGGATTGAATTAAGGACTATGAGAACGGGATCTGATTCTAAGTAGGCGTTGATGATTATGTGTATTGTTTGTGGATGTGCGTCTTATATATTGTTCACTGTTTATTTTTACTGTAAACCGCATTGAGTCGCCGTTCCAGGCTGATAAATGCGGTATACAAATAGAGCAAATAAATAAATAAATAAATAATTATTGCTGGCAAGCACTGCATGCAAATTGTGTCAAAAACACACATCTAATAAAACACAGTTCTCTAGGATAGAGAGATACTGACTCTAAATGAGCAAATATACAAGACTGCAAGGGTTTGGAATTAAGCAATGTGCCATGCAAATTTAGGAACTCTCTGCTCTGAGGAGCCACAGTCACATGTCGTGGTTTTGTCTTGGCTGAAAAGAAACTCAAATGAGAGTTCCTGATTAGCACCACATCATAAATCACAAATGGAAACCACTACAGATGTGGGTTTTTTTAAGTTCTTTCTATCTGCTGCTGCAGCTAAGTATGTGTAATACAACTCATTCAAATTTCTAAAGAACTCTGACTTTTTGTAACTGCCCTGGTTTATGCTGTATAGGTAACCTACCAGATGATGACTTGCCCGTATTTAGTGAGAGTCAAGTATGCACATAGCTTGGGATTCCATATCTAAAATATGTTAGCTTGTGTTGACATTGAACTTTTAAGTACACACAATGTATTCAGATATTTAAGTGCTAAATCTTAACTTCTGTTTATCTGGGGCTGTTCTTTAAAGGCTTTAATCTTGGATGACCTAATGTACTCATTTCACTATTTCCATGATTTAGGATAGATAAAAAGTGACTTAATTTTGTTTTATCGCTTTTTATCAGAAACCCTATGGTGTAATGATTTGATTGATTTATGATTAAGAATACACATTCAGTGTTTCTTAATAGCTTATTTATGTTGTCATCCTGAATATACAATCTGACATAATACAAACATAACGTGAGTATTTTGCTCAATTAGACCAAGGTTCACCTAGTCCAACATTCTTTCTAAGATTTCTAGCCACATTGGGCATTAGATGGTTGTTCAGAAATAAACCAGCATATAAAAAATGAGGAAATGATTGGGCAAACAGTGGGTTTAGCACTTGATTTGGATGGCCCCCATGATGTTTTACAAAATGTTGTTCAGATGCCATCAAAATTGACTAAGATTTATAAGGGCCTTAATAACAAATGTTGGAAAAGTTATCTCTTGAGGGCTCATTCTTCCTCATATAGTGGACAAGCAGTAGAGGTAAAGCATATTGGGAAATGATGCAAAAGCTAAAAGAGATATATTAAAACATCAATACAGTTTCAGGCGGAATTCTTTTTAGAAAGGTTTAAGGGAATTAATTTTGAAAGAATCAACTACATGATTACAATAACCCTAGAACTGGAATAATATTACTTTACTAACGAAAGAATAATGAATTACAAAGTTTTTGGAAATAGCTGAAATTGATCTTATCCACACATATTAGGAAGAAGTCCTTAAATACATTCTTAAATTATAAGTAATTGTTTATATTCTTAATGAAGAAAAAGAAGGAAAGACTGACTTTACGGTTTGCCATTTAAAGGTTCTTTTTTTTGTAAATTTCTCTTGACAAAAAATATATATTGTCAAGAGAAGAGTTGAACATTTATGGTTGGTCTTTGCCTTGGATTTTGAAAGATTGAAAGTTTTCTCATTTCCCTGAGGTTTTTGTTTGTTTGTTTGTTTGATTGTTTGATTGTTTACTTGTTTGCACTGTATCTTGTGTGTAGTTATATGTATATACAATATTATGAGAATTTAACATTCATAAATTTGGTATTCACAGAATCCTGAAACTAAACCTCAGTGAATACCCACAAAATCCAAATTCTAAGACACTTCTGGTCCTAAACATTTTCTGTAAGATGTTTTTGCATGAAACAGACAGAAGTGAGACATAAGTTCCTGGGCTCAGGAACACACCAGTAGCCACTAATGATTCTACCACTGGAGCACCCAATTAACTGCAATTCCTCCCACTTCTGCTCCAAATTGAATATATATTTACTATGTATTTATTTACTATATTTGTGTACCACCCTTCTCAGCCCTTAGGCAACTCTTTTGCCTAAGAGGGACACTTTTGGTGTGAAATCTCTGAAGGTCTTGGGTCCAGTGCTGGTGAGCCCTCATTCAAATTAAAGCAGCTTCAGCAGAAGCAGCAATAAATACAAAAGCAGTTTTCCCATGCTCACAATTGACAGGTTCACCAAATATTCCTGTTGCACAGGGATCTTTTGTAAGACATGCCAATGTTCCCAATTTTTTTCTTCTCTCACCTACATTATGTAGAATGTCAAGATGTTAACAGTGATGTGCAAACAAATAGTTAAGTTTGGAAATCTATTATTTGTATTACATAGAGTGAAATGCTTGGATTAAATTCCAGGTTTTGTTTTGGTATTGTAGGAATTTTACCACTGGATTCTGAAGAGTCTGGTTTGTGTGAAGTTATTCTCATTCATGAACACTATCTAGGTATGTATATTAATGGACATCAGTGTGTAGGCATTAACACTTGAAAAAATAACCACTTAACCGAACTTTTTGTTGAGTTTTTGAGATAATGAGCAATGCTCATGTATATTCCAAAGTTTTCTGTCTTATACTGATGTCTTAAATTCTGTGTAATCTGATTTTTCCTTAACAATGATAGCAGAACATATTATTCAGTCAGTAAATATTCAGACAGAAACCACAAGAGCTGACTCATCCATTTTTCTTAAACTCTTCTCTTGTTACATCACTCAGTCTTCCTGCCGTTTGACCCTGAAACTCCAAAGCAAGCATTTTTTAAAGGGACACTGCCCTTTGTTTGAGCTTCCCCCTTTTCTTCATTTTATTTCACTGTGTGTTTTTGTCCTGTAGAATAGTTAAGAGCATGCATTTACAATCGAAAGAAAAAAAACAACATGCAAATTCAGAAGATCACAAGTAGGAAAAAAACTAGAACATTTGGGTTAGATTCAAAATTAGCAAAATGTTGCCAAAGTGCTAGTGAAAGTTTTATTTAAAGAGAAAAGCTTTGGCACAGTGAGCAAAATGCTTATGTTTGACTAGCCTATTGTGTGCAAGCATGGTGCTTTTGGACATGGTATTGTTGGAAGCTAGAGGTGCCAAATTGCTCGTGTGATGTTCCCCCTTGCAAACTAATCCTGAATGGCCAGGGGCGCATGGAGCTCTCAGTTTGTGTTTTGTCCTGCAGTGAGGGGAACTTCCGTATTACACGTTTTCTGGTGCTGAATCTAATACCATGGTTTCATGGTTTCAAGTTAATACCATGGTTTCATGACATGGAATCCTAGAATATGTGGTTTAAAGGTAAAGGTAAAGGTTCCCCCTTACATTAAGTCCAGTCGTGTTTGACTCTGGGGGGTGGTGCTCATCTCCATTTCTAAGCCAAAGAGGCGGCATTGCCCATAGACATCTACTAATGTGCTATGCACATTAAAAGTTACTTCTAACCAATCTCTGGATTTTAGATTAGCTTTGTGACTCATAGAATCAAAGAGTTGGAAGAGACCTCATGGGCTATCCAGACCAACCCCCTGCCAAGAAGCAGGAAAATCGCATTCAAAGCACCATTGACAGATGGCCATCCAGCCTCTGCTTAAAAGCCCCCAAAGAAAGAGCCTCCACCACTGTCCAGGGCAGAGAGTTCCACTACTGAACTCAAATGAGTAACACATACAGTTGCATCTGGCACCCGAGGCTATTACACTCTTGTCTCCATTGCTAGACTAAAACAATAGTCTTTGCTTATTACTTTGTATGACTGTTCAGTTTAATAACAGAAAGTCATCCTTGTAAGTGTAGTGCTAAATACCCAGCAAAAAGACAAGAGAGTAATTAACATTAAGATAAGCAAGCAACTATATGTACTCTGGCTCCAGTCCAGAGATTTGTGCAATTATCTCCTTAAATCTAAGAGGGCTTACATTTTCCCAATAACAGGCCATCTGTGATGGGTTTCAAATTGTTTTTGTAGAGTTGGAGGAAGAGCACAATATAATAAGCAGATGATTACCATTAGGAAAATAATGTTGAAAGTTTTATTTCACTCAATATTTATTTCCTTTGGTGTATCAGAGGATTTCACTGGATTGTGACATTTACTTTTTCTGTTTTGAAATATAAAAGACTGCTACCACTTGTCTAAAAATGTGTGATAGTAAACTTACACTATGTTTTTGTTGTATTGTTACCAGATTAAATTGACTAGAGCATAGGCAATTCATTATATAAGTTTCAATCAGTGAATTAACTGATTGATTATTGTTTATGGGTAAAAATAACACTTTTGAAGCAAGCAGCCATGTGAACATTTTGTTTTTAGATGTTATATATGTAGGTCTTCCAACAGGCATCATCTTAGAAAGAGACAGTCCTTCTAAGACAAGGGAGAGGATAATGCTTGTTTGTTGTTGTGCATTCGTTCAGTCGTCTCCGACTCTTCGTGACCTCATGGACCAGCCTACGCCAGAGCTCCCTGTCGGCCGTTACCACCCCCAGCTCCCTCAAGGTCAGTCCAGTCACTTCAAGGATGCCATCCATCCATCTTGCCCTTGGTCGGCCCCTCTTCCTTTTGCCTTCCACTTACCCCAGCATAATTGTCTTCTCTAGGCTTTCCTGTCTCCTCATGATGTGGCCAAAGTACTTCAACTTTGTCTCTAGTATCTTTCCCTCCAGTGAGCAGTCGGGCTTTATTTCCTGGAGGATGGACTGGTTGGATCTTCTCGCAGTCCAAGGCACTCTCAGCACTTTCCTCCAACACCACACCTCAAAAGCATCGATCTTCCTTCGCTCAGCCTTCCCTAAGGTCCAGCTCTCACATCCGTAGGTGAGAATACCATGGCTTTGACTAGGCGGATCTTTGTTGCCAGTGTGATGTCTCTACTCTTCACTATTTTATCGAGACTGGACATTGCTCTCCTCCCAAGAAGTAAGCGTCTTCTGATTTCCTGGCTACAGTCTGCATCTGCAGTAATCTTTGCACCTAGAAATACAAAGTCTGTCACGGCCTCCACGGTTTCTCCCTCTATTTTCCAGTTGTCAATCATTCTTGTTGCCATACTCTTGGTTTTTTTGACGTTTAGCTGCAACCCGGCTTTTGCGCTTTCTTCTTTCACCTTGATTAGAAGGCTCCTCAGCTCCTCCTCGCTTTCGGCCATCAGAGTGGTGTCATCTGCATATCTGAGGTTGTTAATGTTTCTTCCAGCAATTTTCACCCCAGCTTTGCATTCATCAAGCCCCGCACATCGCATGATGTGTTCTGCATACAAGTTAAAAAGGTTGGGTGAGAGTATGCAGCCTTGCCGTACGCCTTTCCCAATCTTGAACCAGTCTGTTGTTCCGTGGTCAGTTCTGACTGTTGCTACTTGGTCCTTGTACAGATTCCTCAGGAGAGAGACAAGGTGGCTTGGGATGCCCATCCCACCAAAAACTTGCCACAATTTATTATGATCCACACAGTCAAAGGCTTTAGAATAGTCAATGAAGCAGAAGTAGATGTTTTTCTGAAACTCCCTGCCTTTCTCCATTATCCAGCGGATATTGGCAATTTGGTCTCTCGTTCCTCTACCTTTTCTAAACCCAGCTTGAACATCTGGCAACTCTCGCTCCATGTATTGCTGGAGTCTTCCTTGCAGGATCTTGAGCATTACCTTACTGGCATGTGAAATAAGGGCCACTGTACGGAAGTTTGAGCAGTCTTTCGCATTTCCCTTTTTTGGTATGGGGATATAAGTTGATTTTTTCCAGTCTGATGGCCATTCTTGTGTTTTCCATATTTGCTGACATATGGCATGCATCACCTTGACAGCATCATCTTTTAAGATTTTAAACAGTTCAGCTGGGATCCCGTCGTCTCCTGCTGCCTTGTTGTTAGCAATGCTTCTTAAGGCCCATTCAATCTCACTCCTCAGGATGTCTGGTTCTAATTCATTCACCACACCGTCATAACTATCCTCAGTATTATTATCCTTCCTATACAGATCTTCTGTATAGTCTCGCCACCTTCTCTTGATCTCTTCAGCTTCTGTTAGGTCCCTGCCATCTTTGTTTCTTATCATACCAATTTTTGCCTGAAATTTACCTCCAATGTTTCTAATTTTTCTGGAAGAGGTCTCTTGTCCTTCCTATTCTGTTGTCTTCTTCCACTTCCATGCATTGCTTATTTAAAAATAGTTCCTTATCTCTTCTGGCTAACCTCTGGAATTGCGCATTTAACTGGGCATATCTCCCCCTTTCACTGTTTCCTTTTGCTTTCCTCCTTTCTTGGGCTACTTCCAGTGTCTCAGCAGACAACCATTTTGCCTTCTTGGTTTTCTTTTTTCTTTGGAACGTACTTTGTTGCCGCCTCCTGAACAATGTCTCGGACTTCTGTCCATAGTTCTTCTGGGACTCTGTTTACTAAATCTAGTCCTTCAAATCTGTTCTTCACTTCCACTGTATATTCGCTAGGAATGTTAGTGAGATCATATCTAACTGGTCTGTGTATTTTCCCTGATCTCTTTAGTTTTATTCTAAATTTGGCAATAAGAGTTCGTGATCTGAGCTACAGTCAGCCCCAGGTCTTGTTTTCACCGACTGGATGGATGTCCGCCACCTTTGGCTGCAAAGGATGTAGTCAATCTGATTTCGGTGTTGACCATCTGGTGAGGTCCATGTATAAAGCCGTCTTTTAGGTTGTTGGAAGAGAGTATTCGTTATACACAGCGCGTTTTCCTGGCAAAATTCTATCAGCCTGCGTCCCGCTTCATTTTGTTCTCCCAGACCATGCTTGCCTGTGATGCTTGTTATCTCCAATTAATTGTCTGATTTGTAAAGATGTTTACTTCTTGGCTTCTACTAGGTTATTGTAAATTCAGACATCATGCTATAAACCCCTTTAACATTTAGTTCAGAAGCACTTTCAATTTTAAAGCTTATATATTCATTAGTAAACTAACTTTCCATATCTTTGTGACATTTGAAATAATGCTATAAAACTATGTATTACACTTGTTTTACCAAACAAGAAATAGATTGAAATCCATGAAAGCTCATTCAAAGGCGCTGCTGCATTCCTTCTCCCCATTTTTCTTTTTTTCTTTTTAAACTTAGAACTTACACATTTAAAATTTTAAAAATAAGGACTATAGAATATGGTATGCTCTATTTTTATTTGTTTGGAGATAAACTGATTGTTGCCCATTTTACTCTTAATAGATTTTTGTTTGTTAAAAACAGCAAACTGAATGTTTAGAACCAAAAATTTACTTCTTTAAAATCTGTGTACCAATATTTTTTCCTCTTGTGAAACAGCTCATAAACCAGAAAAGATCTCCTGGACTGAAGCAGCAGCGACTCTTCGTGATGGTGTCCGTGCATACACAAGTCTACATTATCTTTCCTACGTGTCTACAGGCAAAACTCTGCTAGTAATGGATGGAGCCAGTGTAAGTACAAGAAATACAGTTTTAATGACGTACTATAAAAATTAAGAAACTATTATTTTATTTGGGATATGCTTCCCTTGCACACTTGTAAAGGATATGCCGAGAGTTGGGGAAACTGCCTCCTCAATTCTACTTCTGATTGCAACCTTTTCTTTCTTATACTTGTAATCATACACACTACATAACCATATTACCGAGAAATTCAAATTCAAAATGACATGAATAGGCTGGAAATCTGTTTCAGGCAATGTGAAGTTCTACATTTTGGAGGGAAGAAGTCTTAGTAGACAAAATTCAAAGGAACAGTGTATTCAGTAGCTGGCTTAGTGTCTGTGAAAATAATCATTGGGGGGTGGGGGGAGCTTCCATACAGGCCCTCTATCCCAGGATCTAATCCCAGTTTTCTGCTTTAAACTGGATAATATGTGAGTCCACACTGCCAGACAATCTGGGATAAACAGAAAACCTGGTATCAGATCCTGGGATATAGCTAATCATAAACTGAATATCAGGGACTTCAAAAATAAAGCCAATGCAATTTTAGACTGCATTAATAGAACCACAGTTTCAAAGTAGTGACAGTTCACCTTCATATGGTGCTGTTTAGAGCCTAGCAGACCAAGCCTGAGTTTAAAATTTTTAAAGTGATGTAGATACATTAGAATGAGTTCAGTGGTGTTAGAAACAAATTCAATTGAGAAAAAATTAAGGAACCGAGTGTAATTAACCCAGGAAAGAGAACACTGAGAAATGGATGTGTAATTGTGCTGTTGAATACCTGAAGGGCTGTCACATAAAGAAAATGCCAAAGCCTTGTTCTTTGCTGCTCACAGGGCAGTGGAGCTACTAATGAGGCTTGTGAGGCTCAATCTTACTCTAATCTCATTAAGAGTGAGGGAGACCATCAACTTAATAGATTTGAATGTAGTTTACTATAGCTTAACATTGAAAAATGCATAGAATTTATCTGTAAATATGAGCAAATTATTGAACATATAAACACATGTACATGCTCAATTTGGATTTGTTTTTCTCCTGCAGCCATTTGGGACAATAGCTATTCAGTTAGCACAACACAGAGGAGCCAAAGTCATTGCTACAGTGAACAGTCTTGAAGACAAACAATATCTTCAGAGGCTTACACCTTCTGTAGGTGAGTTCCATTAAGATCTTTTTGCTATCATGAAGAACCTGTTTAAATAATAAGTCATTTGCCTGACTATGAAAAGGTCAGAGAGGCAGCCAATTGTGAGCAGATTTCATAACCTGGAAGCAACCACTGAGAACGCTCTTATATGTCCTCACCGGGCCTATGAAAATGGTGGAACAATAAGAAAGCCCTTCCTTTAAGATAATAAGATTCAGGAAATATAAGGAAATAATGAGGTTTCAGATAATCTGGATCTAAGCAATATATGTCATCAACCCTACTAGGAATCATGTTCAGAAATGAACCAGTGCCAGTAAAGCTCTTGCAACAGAAAAGATGTATATTTCCTGTAATCAGACCCAATCTATACTCTTTTTGCAGCATATATGTAGTTTCTGAATGGTTTCCAGTGGCAGCTCTGTTTATGCATTATATTAATCCAAATACAGTAGGTCTGACATCTCTGGTATGGGCACATCTGGCATGCTAAACTGTGCAAGTCTAGTCACCTCTAGTCCGTTTTCCAGGTGTTTTGGACTTCGGATCCCACATTTCCTAACAGCTGGTAAGCTGGCTGGGATTTCTGGAAATTGAAGTCCAAAACACCTGAAGGACCAAAAGTTGGAAACCAATGCAGTCATGCATTCGAGGTTAAACTCTCATTTAAGGGAGAGTGTAACCTCATCCAGTACAATCTGAATCCATATTCCCCAATTTGCCTTTTGACTGACTAGAACTAATCATTTCAGAATTAATTCAAATTGCTAGTACCAAAACAATCCCTTGGACTTGGGTGGAAAGGGGAGAGAAACTCTTTTAGTGGCTTAAAACAGAGGTGTCAAATGTGTGGCCCTCCAGATGTTTCGGCCTCCAACTCCCAGGTGCCCTAGCTTGTCAAATGACCAGGAATTCTGAGAGCTGAAGTCCAAAACACCAGGAGAGCCACAGGTTTGACACCACTGGTTTAAAATATGTGTTAGACAGGACAAAATTGAAACCCAAGGAATACCAATGCCCAGGGTGTTTTCCACGTCCCATCACAGAGAACTGATCCAAAATGGTATTATGGTCAGTGACACTAAAAGCCACTAAGACATCGAGCAGAACCAAGAGAAATATATTCTCCAGTTCCTGGTCTAGGCCACTCGCCAAGATGACCTGAGCTGTGGCCATCCCATAACCAGGTCTGAAGTAAGATTAAAATTGATCTAGAATTAAACAGATCCATCCAGCAACTTCTGGAATTAGGCGGATACAAAATGTGTTGCCTCCCCCAAAAGGGATATTGGATACTAGAAGTTGTAAGGGGGGAGCATTTCAATATTATTATTATTATTATTATTATTATTATTATTATTTCCTATATTTATACCCCACCCATCTCCCCCCGGGGGGGGGGGGGGGGGGCTCAGGGCGGCCTCACAAACACCATACGGTGTCATCATAATAAAACAATCAACAATACATTCAAATATTTAAAATATTAAAACAATAATTAAAACAATTGATTAACACATGCCTATTAAAATCAGAGTCTAAAATCCAGTCCAGGTCAAATCATTGCCATAAGTGTTAAAATCTTCTTTTACTTGCTGCTCACTAATCGGCCGCTGGGTCCCAAAGCCAGGTCTTGATTTTTCTTCTAAAAGACAGAAGGGAGGTGGCCATTCCAATGTCTCTGGGGAGAGTGTTCCACAGGCGGGGGCCACTGATGAGAAGGCCCTGTCCCTCGTCCCCACCAATCGCGTTTGCAATGTCGGTAGGGTCGAGAGCAGGGCCTCTCCAGAATATCTTAAGTTTCATGATGGTTCGTACCAGGAGATACGTTCGGACAGGTAGTCTGGGCCAGAACCGTTTAGGGCTAATTCTACAAACTATTTCTCATCACCACAGTACTGCAGCTCTATCCATAATAGATAAAGTATGCAGAAATACTTCATTCAAGACGATGTTGGTTTTGGACTAAAGCAGGTTTGGGCAGTTTCCCCAAGTCTAGGCATATCTCTTGTCAGTGTACAAGGGCTGTTCCTCTTCTGAGCCCCTGAAACCTGGGGAAGGGAAAAGGTCTTTTTCTCCTCACTTCAGTTTAGGGGAAAATCTCTTTCTTCTAGAAAGACTGGGTGGAGGGGAGTCTGGATGCTATTGTAGGATTTTATTACTTTCTACCCAAATGGGGGATTGGGACTATACTGAGGACCCACAGAGTGCTCTTTGCCCACTGTCGGCTAACTGGATGTGTCTACTGTATCCTCCTGCAGTTGAATTCAAAGAGAGGAAAAACAAGCGGAATTTTCACAAAGTAGTTTCTTGCACAAATGGTTTATGCCATAATTAAGGCATTTTTATTCATTAAGGGTACAAAGTTGGAGATTCCGTCTCAAATATCTCTCATGCTTAAATGTCACATTTGTTACTGTGACTGCAGGTGTCCCTTTTCAACACAGAGGTCTAATGGTTTTCATTCAGATGTTACGGTCCCGTGTAACTATACTGAATATTTTTCCCCTTCTTAGTTTTGCTTTCAACAAAACAATTTGTCTCTGTAGAGCTCTACATTTCTTCTCCACCCTCTAATTGAAAATATTATACAATTCCATTTGATTATTATGCTTTTGTGTTTATTAACAAAAAAGTAAGTGGCAGCTGTTTTGACAGTTTCTGTATTTCACACCATTCCGTGATGAGTGGAATTACGGCATCTAGTTGTGTGAATGTAGCTTCTCTTGCTACTTAAAATTCTGTGAAAGTATGAGAAACAAAACAGTCTACATTATGCAGCATCAGTATAATAAAACAGAACTTCCAGTTGCTTGTTAATACAATTTACCAAGCCAAACTGTCCACACTTGTGGAAAATATTAAACATTGTTTGTACAGGGAATTAACTATGAACTATTGGAGCTGAGATTGGTGTTGAAATATTTATTGCATAGTCAAGCCTTGTATATTCAAGCAGAGAATATCTTCTAGTGCTTTGTAAGCACAGAGAGGTTTAAACATGGAACACAATGACCCAAATAACAGCTTCCCAAGCTTCTACTAAATGCAGCTTGAAATGTTTTATATGAAGCAGTCTCTAAGTGCTTCCTAGCAGCTTGAGAATAATCTCTTATTGAGCTCAGCCCAATCATTGTATTGTGTAACACACCTCTGAAAAAAATGCAGTTTACATCCTGTATTACAGGCACTGGCATTACACAGCTCTTGATTGTAGAAGCACTTTCAGAAGAGCAAGAACAGTTAGGGCATATACCATTAAACCTAAAAAGTCATAAGGAGTTTTCAATGCCTTATAGAGGAGTATGTAACATCTTGTAAAGGAATAATCAAAGTATCACTTTGACAACACTTGAGTAGAGATAAAAATTAGGTTTTTGGAAGTGGTAGAACCAATGACAGCAGTGGATCTAACCCTATTTAATATTTGAAATGCCAATTCTTTAGCAAAAGGCCGTAAATAGGGAATGAGCCAACCTCCCTACTCAGAGGATGAAGTGTGTCTCAGACATTTGCACTACATACATCTTGCTTTGGAACAAGAATGTTGTAATAGAACCAGTAAATTGCTTTCAGAAAATACTTATTATCTGCCTATGGCCATGTTTGTTATATGTCTGGCCAAGCAGCCTCAAGTGGGTAGGTGTAGGAAACAGCCTTCTATTTTTAATCATAACTGTCATTAAATTCGAGTAACTGCATATAGAAAGGTCAATCTTTGTATTGGTAGCCCAATATGTCACCGAAAATATTCTATATTTCTGGAATGTAGAATAAAGGAAGCAAAATGGATTTTAGCTTTAAATCCCAATTCCATTTCAATTGCAGTGGAGTTGTGGAAATTAAGTCTGTCAAGGTTTGGCCATGAACTTTGCTTCTGCTGCCAGAAGCAAAGGAAATGACTTAAGCTGATATTCCTCCACTCTTCCTCCACTTGTGCTTTCTGAAAATTTCCTCTGGAAAACTGGGACATACTCCACAATTATGTGGGAGGTATAATGTGGAAAAAGTCAGAATCAGTCCAAGTTGTTTTCTCCAAGCAAAATCCTTGGTAAATCTGAGTAACTCCAGGGATCTGAGAGCCTGGTTTCCTGGCTTTTGGGGGTCATGCCAATCTTTTCTTATGAACATGGCAGTGACCTCAATAATGCCCTCAATGAAGGTATGATTCCTATCCTACAGAATAAAAAATCTTCTGTGCATCAAACAAGCACTACTGTTCATGGAAGACAAACTATCAATCTCAACCTTCATCTCTGATAACTATTTTGTTCTCTGTGCACATATTCATTTATTGTCAGTTTTGTTTAGAAAGAAAAATTGTTATCACATTGCTGTGTGCCTTCTGGCTTGAAGAACAGAAGTCAAGTAGTGACATTTTTGGCCTGAATTATTGCTCTAATTTATCTTCCTTTCATCTAGCTCGTATTATAGATGAATCAAATGGAAAGTATGACCTGACAGAAAGTTGTCTAGAAGAAACTGGTGGATTGGGAGTTGACATCATCCTTGATGCAGGAGGTCTGTAAATATTTCAGAACTCTATTAAGATGGTGAAATATTTGTTTCAAAGGTTTGTAAGAGTTGACTAAACTAAAAACTTTTATGATGTTAGTCCAGCTGTAACAGTGTCACATGTAATGTAGAAGTAGAAAAGAAGCCCTTTGATAAAAGTGTGAGACATTCTTGATTAAAACCATGAAAATGATATGAAATGGAGTATCTATCCAAATAGATAAGTTAATTGCATCTAAATTCCTCTAAACATAATGCAAACTAAAAATGTCTTTATTGGAGTAAGAGCATATCTAGAAAAAAACAACAGAAATGCTATAATTGACACAATTTTCTGTTATATTTTAATTAATGCTTATATGTGGAACAGAGCCTCTGGTGGCACAGGGGGTAAAGAGCGGAGCTGCTGAACTTGCTGACCAAAAGGTTGGCGGATTGAATTCAGGGAGTGAGGTGAGCTCCCGCTGTTAGCCCCAGCTTTTGCCAACCTAGCAGTTCGAAAAACATGCAAATGTGAGTAGATCAATAAGTACTGCTTTGGTGGGAAGGTAACAGTGCTCCATGCAGTCATGCTGGCCACATTACCTTGGAGGTGTCTACAGACAATGGTGGATCTTTGGCTTAGATATGGAGGTGAACACCACCCCCTAGAGTCGGACATGACTAGACTTAATGTCAAGGGGAAACCTTTATATGTGGAATATCTATATATTTTAATTGAATAATGGCATCGTAGTTATCTTGGTTTCCCATGCAGAAGCCAATTTGCTAGCTGCTGCATTATAATCACTTTTTGTTCCAATAGGAGTGAGCAACGAAACCACAACTCTTTGTCCATGGTTTGCTTCTTGCGGCATCCAAATGTCAGAAATAATCACTTCATTGGCTTAGTTTTCCCTTGCAGGCCGCATAAATAAATGTTACTGGTACCCTGGATTCTCTTCTCAAGCTTGTTAAGAGCAAAACAAAGGCAAAGAGCCATCTGTGCCCATATTGTAACAGCATGAGAAACAAATCACAAACCAAAGTACATGGTTTATTCAGCTGGTCTTACTGCAAGTGGAAACCATCAGAATGCTAGAACTATTACACTGTTTTCTCTCTTGCAACACTTAAGCCATTTGATTTGGCATTTTTTTCTCCAGTGTTCAAGGAACCATACCATATTTGTGGCCATTTGCTACTTTCATTTCCCATTTTTTCTGGAAGCTCTCTATTGAGTTGTCCACACAATTCTTGTCATTTTAATTGACATTTATTACTGGGCTTATTTGCATCATGAAAGCAGTGGTGAAAATGACTTCAGGGCCATTCTGTGTTCTGTGCAGGTGGAATTTGGTAGATATATTGAAGTTAAGGAAATATTAGAAAAAAGACTTGGCAGGATAATGCTCTGTACAAATACTATAGAGCAAAATGGTAGAGAAAATCAAGACCCTGGTACATTATGGGATTTCTGCTGGGTCATATTGAATCATGAGGGGGGATAAACTGTAGTTACCCTCCTACTTCCTCACTGACCAGGCTCGTGAAACCTGAAGGAAATTGGAGCCCAGCAACAGATTCCATTGTCTTTGTTAAAGAAAAAAAGCTGTATCTTGAATATATTGTTGATGGGGAAGGTGTTAAAGACATAGGCAACCTAAATGCAATTTTTATTTTCTAAGGAAGTTGTTTTAATTTGTGTTTTTAGTGAGATTACACAATAAGGAAGATAAAGTAGCTTCACAAAAAATATTGCCGCACAAACATGACATCATTACACTACTGAGTGTTGGAGGTCACTGGGTTACGATGGAAGAAAATCTTCAGGTAAGAAGAAATATCTGCAATGACTGGAGATAAGATCCACATGTTTATCATTCATCAGCTTGTAAAAGTGAATACCAATTTACTCTTTAAGTAGTTATTTTGTCAATAGTTGCCTGCGGATATGTTCCATTGAGCAAAAGGAATATATTTCTAGATAAACTTACTTAGGTGATTCCTCGTTGACCAAGTAGGATAGTCTTCCAAGATTAGTGTACTGGCAGTGGGTCCGTAGGTGACTGTAGAGCCCTATTCTTGATCTGCATCTTCTCCCGCAGTGAGGGCATTGGTTTCCAGATGGAAGGCGGTCCTGGTCGGGGTTGGCTTGATGCGCCTTCCTCTTGGCACGTTTCTCTCTTTTGCCCTCCTTGTGCCTCTTCAAATTCTACAGCACTGCTGGTCACAGCTGACCTCCAGCTGGAGCACTCAAGGGTCAGGGCTTCCCAGTTCTCAGTGTCTATGCCAGAGTTTTTAAGGTTGGCTTTGAGCCCGTCTTTAAATCTCTTTTCCTGCCCACCAACATTCCGTTTTCCATTCTTTAGTTTGGAGTAGAGTAACTGCTTTGAGAAACTGTGGTCGGGCATCCAGACAACGTGGCCAGTCCAGTGTAGTTGATGGCAGAGGACCATTGCTTCAGTGATGGTGGTCTTTGCTTCTTCCAGCACACTGACATTTGTCTGCTTGTCTTCCCAAGAGATTTGCAGGATTTTCCGGAGGCAGCGCTGATGGAATTGTTCCAGGAGTTGCATGTGACATCTGTAGACAGTCCCCATTTAGCAGGTGTATAGCAGGGTTGGGAGGACAATAGCTTTATAAACAAGCACCTTGATATCCCTACGGATGTCCTGGTCCTCAAACACTCTCTGCTTCATTCGGGGGGAAAAGCTGCACTCGCAGAGTTCAGGGGGTGTTGTATTTCAGTGTCAATGTTGGCAGCCACCTCACCACAAAAGTCAACATTGACACTGAACTACAACACCGCTCTAGATAAACATGCCCTATATGTTCATATATATGTCCAGAAATTCTAGTCAAAAAATCAACCCCCCAAAACTGGGTCCACTTATTAAAGGGTCAGTGTGTGTACTGTACCTTAATGCTTATTTTTTTAAAAGGAAACTGTGTAGTGTGGTGAAAGACAAAAGCTTAGTTTATCCCGTGGGACCTTTAAAAAAGTACCAACTCCCACTGCTTTTTCTTCCAGTTTTATCCCTATCTCTTTTCAAACAAGGAAATCAACTTTTTTTCATGTCAGAAGTGACTTAAGAAACTGCAAGTCACTTCTGGTGTGAGAGAATTGACTGTCTGCTGGGACATTGCCCAGGGGATGCCTGGATGTGTTACCATCCTTTTGGGAGGCTTCTCTCGTGTCCTTGCATGAGAAGCTGGAGCTGACAGATGGAGCTCACCCCATCTTGCAGATTTGAACTGCCGACCTACAGGTCAGTAGTTCAGACGGCATAGGGGTTTAACCCATTGCACCACTGCGGCTCCTGCAGGAAATCAACTAATATTCAAGATTTGCTTTTATTGATTGATTGATTGATATAAAATTTTAGAGAAGGAGCACTTGAGAATTTTGGACAGTATTTGAGAGAGAAAAGGTATAGAAAGAAAAGCGGCAACAGCAAAAGAAAATAAGGTTATATACTTGAATTTAACAGAACATAAAAGAAAATATGGGTAAGACATGACTATAACAGAAAAAATACATTTATGCTCAATAACCAGAGAGGACAAATTCACACAAGAGGTTGACACCATCTGCTATCACCGGATGTCATTCTGTTTCTAAAGCAAGTCTCTTTAGTAATGAATTTCTGTGTATGCTTGCTCTGGCCAAATGCTCGCAGTCTAAATTCCTTTGCACTGCTGCACCCTTTAAAACCAGAAGTCTCTTGGACATGTGTTTTTGTTTAGTCTTCATGCATATTGTTTCCCACTTGAAGGATGTGAAGAAGGGATTCAATACTGCAACGGTATGCCTTTAAGACAGAGGTGGGAATCATGTGACCCTCTGGATGTTGTTGTACTGCAGCTCCCAGCATTCTTCACCATAGTTATTCCAAAAAGGGCTGATAGGAATTGTAGTTCAGCAACATCTGAAGGGCTGTTCATTCTTACCTCTGCATCAGGACAAAATTATAGGAAGACAGGCAGATATGCAACTTACATAACAGCCAGGGTTTTATGGCTCAGGATTCTTCCTTGTTCTTGCTGCAGTTGCTTTACACTGTGTGTGCCTTCAAGTCACCTGTTTATTTATGGCAAGGAATAGTCAGAAGGAGCTTTGCCATTCCTTCTTCTGAAATATTGCCCACAGCACCTGGTATCCGTTGGCAGTCTCCCATCCAAAATCAGACTGGACCTTATTACAGTAATGAATGGCAGGGGTTACCCTGCCATTAATTATTGCCAAACTGCCATTTTCTGGAGGCAGTTGCTGCTGCTAATCAAACAACTTGTAGTTGCAGCAATATCCTATTAATACTTCATAAAGAAAACCAAATGAAATTTCTAATATAATATTGATCAACCCTTCGAGTACTGATTTGTCTTCATCTCTGCATGAGTTGTGCCTTAGAGATGAAAAAAGTGGAAAGCAGTTGTCTAATTGCATTATGTATTTCCAGAATTTGTATTCCAATTATTCAATATGAATTATTCGTTCATGCCACTTTTATTTTGCATTATACAGCTTAATAATTTTTCACATTTTTTAAAAAAGTTGGATCCTCCAGATTGCCGATGTCTTTTCCTCAAAGGTGCTTCGGTCTCTTTTCTAAACGATGAAGTGTGGAATTTGTCAAATATGCAACAAGGGAAGTATCTCTATATCCTTTTACAAGTTGTTGCTTTTGTTAATATAGATATTTATATGCCACTTTCAGTGAAGCATTATCAACTGGTTTACAAAGGCATTAAAAGTATAGGCTTTGCTGATTTTAAAATAAAATGTTTGTCAAACAGACTTTTTTTTTAAAAAAATGTTCTCATTATTTTTTCCACTGCTTTTCCATGCTGAGCAGCCCCCTGTGGTAGCATTTGGGTGGAGGTGAGAGCTGAATAGTGCTAGTTTACCAGCATATTTTTGTTGATTCTCATCTTCTTTCTGAGCAAGGTGGTTTTTATGACAGAGTACATTCTCTATTTCAAAAGAAATGTTCAAAGCAGCTGGTGAAAACATACTGAAATGAATAGCATAATTTGTTTAAAAACATTGAATACTTTTGGAATTCAGGAGTAATTGGAAACTGGTCAGTAATTAAATAAACTGCCTACATTGATTGCCTTACCATCTGCAGGCATGTGCTTAATTTCTTTCATCAAGGATGGCAAATGAGAAGCGTTTTGGGCGGTATTGTTATAATCTCATAATTGTAGTTGAGACTGGGAGGATCTGTGGGATTTTGCACTTCCTTTTGCATATTCTCCATTGTTCTAATAATAATTTATTATAATAATTTTATTTCTTACCTGCCTCTCCTTATGGCTCGAGGTGGGTTAAAACACAGCTAAAAGTTCATAGATGGGAGAAGGGAGGAGGTGGATTTGAGGAAACAATATTTGAATTATGAATTTTGCATATTGTATGTTACTTTCACATAACACAATAAAAATATGTTATGAAAAACAGAGCTAAAACACATAATCATTTTAAACATTACATGAAATACACATATTAAACATATTTCTACAAATGCATATATTAAAATACACAGAACGAAAGATATCAGTTTAAAATTATTAAAATTGACTGGGTAGGCCTGCTAGAAGGGATAGATCTTCAGATGTGTTTCAGATTCCGACAACTCATTCAGCTGTCAGAGCTCTTCTGGCAAGTCGCTCCACAGTCGTGGGGGGGGGGGGGGACACATGAAAATGTCCTCTGGTGATGGTTGCCAATCAGGTTGTGGCAGGCTGGAGTAGATGCCACCTCAGTGTAAGGGATTGTATGGGAAAAGGCGATCCTGTAGGTAACTCAAACCATGTAGGGCTGTAAATGTCAAAACCAACACTTTGTACTTTGCCTAGGATCTACTTGTCTACCAGGGGAGTGACTTTAATATGGGTAGAATATTCTCACTCCTGGATGTTCCTGTAACTAGTCTGGCTGCAGTATTTTGAACCAACTGGAGTTGTCAAACTTGGGACAAAGGTAGCCCGATGTAAAGCGCATTGCAGAAGTCCAACCCTGAAGTTACCACTACCATCTTCTGGCCCTCCAAATCTAGGAAGGGGTACAGCTGGTGTAACAGCCAAAGCTGGTAGTAAGCACTCTTGACCGACGCATCTACCTGGGCTGACTTTTGGAGAGACAGATCCAGGAGCACTCCCAAGCTGCAAACACAGTATTTCAAGGGGAGTGTAACCCCTTCCAGAACTGCTTGACACTCCTCCACCCCCAGATTAGGACGCTTGGATTCAATTTCAATTTGTTTTTCTTCATCCAGCCCATTACCACCTCCAGGCATTCATTCAGACGGGACACACTATCTTTATATAATTCTGTTTTGAAGGCATGGAGAAATATATTTAGGTGCCATCAGCATACTGATAATACCCTGTCCCATGCCTATGGATGATCTCTCCCAACGGTTTCATATAAATATTAAGAGGCATTGGTGATTGAATGGTACCTTGTGGGATGCCATATAACGGCTCCTTTTTTGAGGAGCAGCTATGAGTGTAACATGGTTAATACTTAGTAGGACACTTTCTTAACTAAGGTTACCATATACAGTATATCATGATTATAGTTGATGCTAATATAACCTTCCTATGCTTCTGAATCTTGCTCTTAGGCTGTACTCCTATACTTAAAACATTAGTGCCAGGGCAAAAGTCCTGTAAAACTCTGTGGAACCTAGTTATGAACAGACAGGTTTATATTGTTAGCTATTCCTGAAAAATTGGAGTATTTACTGTTTATGGAAACCAACCTACTCGGTATCCCACTGTAGTCTGATGCTTCACATAGTTCCCACATTGTTGTTTTAAATTCAGTTTGATATGGTGTGCCTATTTTTAATTCACAATTTGCTAAGTGATTCTCTGTATTATATTTAAAACCAATATTTAGAATAAAGAAGTAGTATTTTATCAAATGCAAAGTACCTGTTGTTCCCTATTGAGTAAGAACAATTAGCTGAAACACTATCTTGGACTAAGGCACTTGATATTTAGGTGAGATTGGAGGAAAGGTATTTTTATTTTAGAGATGACATACAATTGTGAGAATCAGTGGAATGCAATTACATTGCACAAAAAGTGTATAGGATCTTGTAATATGTGTATTTTTACACAAGCAGTACTTCTTAAATTATCCCTGATGAATAAGTATTGTGTTTTATCATTTATACAAAATAAGGTATTTTCTGGGTTGTTATGTAAGCTATTGTAATTGGACTCCAGTCTAATGAAAAATTATGATTTCAAGAACTCACCCTGTTTGTGTACTTCACTACAGACAATATATTCAGCTGAAACATTCTTTTGCAGTTCAGGAAAATAACCTGAGAAGTAATAATTTTTACTCAGCCATTACCTTCTATGAGGTAGACATTAAATAACAAAATGTTCCTGTGACAAGAACAATTCTCACTTAACAAGATTTGTGCCCAGAAACGAAAGATCTGCCAAGGATAAAACAAACCTGTTTCAACTTGAAGTACGGTAATGCCATGCTGCACATGTTTTAACAAAAAACAGTGTCTTTGAGTTCAGTGGAACTTAAGTGGGTTTTGATTTTCACACTAGTCACCATGTATTAATTGTTTTTCTTGACAATTCCTTCTACGCATTTTGGAAGATATAATGGAAAAGTTGTCAAGTGGCATTTTTAGGTAAGTTAGATACACTACAATAGAATGGAACCTGTCACATTGCAGCCTTACATAATGCACTTAAATACATTTTATGGAGCTTAGTGAGACCTCAAGGTATGTGAATGTCTAAGAATTGCAGTGCTAGTAGTCTCTTTTTGGCTGTTACCGTTCATTATAGAGAATCTAAAATTAGTCCAATAGATTTTTGATTATTTTTTTCATGAAAAGCACAAAAATGATAAATTGCTGAAAGGGAAGCTGATCAAATGAGTGGTGGTGGGCTGATGAGTCAGAGGACAAAATCACCATGAGCAAAGAAAGCAAAGTGTTTGCTTGTGGTGATTCTGTCTACTGACTCACCAGCCCACCACCATTGGTAGTGAGGAGCTTTTAAAATTCTATAGCTTTTGACCTCTAGCAGCCAAAATGATCCTAGCCATTTGACGTAATGCCAAAGTAAGATGCTTAGAAGCTAAACAGGATCACCTTTAAATAGTATTTGGATGGGAGATCACTAAGGAATATTTATTTATTTATTTATTTATTATATTTGTACCACACCTTTCTCCACCCTGTGCAGAACTCAAGGCGACTTACACTTAAGCAACTATTTGATGCCTTCAAAAATGATGTACAATTAAAATATTTTAAAAGAATTACAAAATATATTAAAATATTTAAAACATATAAAATGCCTTCAATGTTATCCACATTATCCAGTCATAGTCTGAGCTGTTTCAATAGTAATTGTACATAATTCCATATTTATCTATTGCACAAGATCTCCAAAGACTTGATCAAATAGCCACGTTTTTTACCAATACTATGGGCAATATTTTAGAGGAAAGAACTGACAAAATCTCCTTGCCTAAGAAAACCCCATGAAACTTGTCATTAAGTCAAGAGGGAATAATTAGGCAAGGTGGTTTTGCCCATTCCTTGTTCTGAACTGTAGCCTGCAGTCTCTGATATTAATTGGCAGTCCCCCATCCAAGTACTAAACAGAGCTGTCCTTGTGTAATATGGATTGCAATTGAGCTAAGAATACAGATAGACACAGTTTGAATAATTTATCTCCCAAGCAGTATAAAATGTTCATTTTTAAAACTACTTTTAATAGTTTTCTTTAAACGTCTGTAATACATTGAACAGCTGCTTCATGTTTGTTCTTTCTCTGCCCCCTTGTTCTGGGGATCCTAGGCAGCCTGTAATACTTCTAGTTTGTTTAAGCAGTAAGGTTTGCTCTACTAAAAAGTAAAGTCTGCAGCAATTGTCCTGTCCTGTGTCTATTCTCATTTGAGCATACACTTGAGACACTTCTAAGAAATCATTTTCTTCCAGGCCGCTGTTGGATGAGCCAATCCCATTATATGAAGCTAAAGTTTCTATGGAAATGGTACAGAAGAATCAAGCAAGAAAAAGACAAGTTGTCCAATTGTGAAGCTTTTAAGATAGTATAATTGTCTATTAAACAATGTTGTTTAGTGAATTTTAACTAAACTTTTAGTTAGCAATTGAAAGATCCTTTAAAGTTTTGATGAAAAAAATGAAGTTTCTTATCAGAGCGTTAATGTTTCTGTTGCCATATCTAACAGCAAATTTCTATTAGGAATCATGATACAGTTCCCCGTGTTTGTCTTCACATTTTCTTTCTCTCTTTTTGAAACTCTTGTACATAAAAAGGCAACATCTGCTTTTCTCTACTGTATTATTTCTATACAGTGTTTTTGTTTGTTTATGTGGGATTTCAGTACAAGAGGGAATAAAACCCTATTAAAATTGTGAAACCAGTCTCTCAAGTGCTCTTTTAATGTAAGTTAATTCTCATAATTAGTCTTATTTTTCTTTAGTAATTGTTTTTGTTTAGGCTGCTATTACTCAAAGTGCTCTGCACTATTCATATCAAGAAAGGCATTAGCAAATTGGGTTGCTGTGAGTTTTCTGGGCATTATTGCCATGTTTCAGAAGCTTTCTCTCCTGACATTCCACCCACATCTATGGCAGTCATCCTTAGAAGTTGTGAGGTCTATTACCAAATTATTCTGTCCTTTTAAACTTTCACACATTTTTATGCATGCTACTTTTTTCTTTGGAAAGTGTTTTCATTGTTGCGTAGACTCCAATTTGAAGTAAGTAAGAAGTTGCGTAGACTCCAGTTTGAAGTAAGCAAGTCCTGTCAACATAACAACAGTCAGCCACCCACATTCCCTTGGCTTAGGAGCACAGGACCCCGCAAAATAGGGGGGGAAAGCACATTTTTAAAAATCTTCCTTTTTTAAATCTGCGAGACCACCTCTCTAGGAAATGAGGTGGTCTCCAGTATAGCTCTGTGGTAATTCTAGCCGAGAGATGTGCTGGAGTACCTAAAAATTCCTAGAGAAAACATTTTAATTAAACCAATGGATAATCAAATCCACAAAGGTTGAAACCGCAAGTGAAAAGGGCAAGATATCTATTCAAACTTTAGAGTTATGTATAATTTGGCACAATAATAATTGAACTGTATTATAGAAAATGAGATGATATTTTTGAATATACAATGAGCTCTGGGTATCCACTGAGGTTTGATAACAGGATCCCTTGTAAATAACAAAGTATGTAGAGCAGTGGTTCCCAACCTGTGGGTCCCCAGATGTTTTGGCCTTCAACTCCCAGAAATCCAAACAGTTGGTAAATTGGCTGGGATTTCTGGGAGTTGTAGACCAAAACACCTGGGGACCCACAGGTTGTGAACCACTGATATAGAGAATGGTGTAGTAAGGTGGCAGAGGTGCAAAATCAAAGTTGGCTTTTTGGATTGAAAAAGAATTATCTAATCATGGGTGGTTTAATCAATGGATACAGGTGCTGTACTTTATTTTCAGAGGAAAAAATATTGCTGTTATAGAAGTGGGTTTTGGGGGGGAGGACCCACAACAGAAATGCAACAGAAGAGATATTCTGTAATAAATGTGTATATATGTCTACAAAAGAGCATTTTGCCTCCTCTCACAACTCTTATTACATAAAAAAAATGATATGATTGAAGTTTTGGCATTTATTTCTTCTCCATAAAAATGGTCTCTAGCACCCCAGAAACATTCTTTCAGAATTAGAGGGACTTATCTGTGGAAAGGAGCTTTTATGGTACACCTTGAGCTCGGCTTACCTGTCCGAACGTATCTCCTCCTATGAACCATCTAGGAGCTTAGGATCGTCTGGGGAGGCCCTGCTCTCAATCCTGCCTGCCTCAGAAGTGCGATTGGCAGAGTCGAAAGACGGGGCCTTCTCAGTGGTGGCCCCCTGGGTATAGAACTCCCTCCCCAGGGATATTAGATTGGCCCCTCCCTCCTGACTTTCCAAAAAAAAAAAAGTAAAGACCTGGCTCTGAGCAAGCTTTTGAGAATGCAGTGGAATAGATAGCATGGAACTATGAATGACCATGGAATGGCCAGACGATGTTACTGGATAACATTTTTAACAGGATGACACCGATGATTATATGTTTTCATGGGTTTTATATTGTGATGTTGACTTTTTAATGGCACTTTTATGAATACCTGGCATCGAATTGTGCCAATCTGTAATCCGCCTTAAGTCGCCATATAGCTGAGAAAGGCGGGCTATAAATATTGTGAATAAATAAATAAATGTGCAGTCCTAAGCATGTGTATGGAGTAGAATGGCAGCCAGGGTATCTTCATATAGAAAATATGCATAGGAGTCCTTCCTTGGCACATTTTTTAAAAGGAGTTCTAGAGGTTAAACATGGTTTATTTATCATGCCAGAAGCGAGTTGGGGGTACAGTTAAAATACATTTTAAAACACAAAGTTTTACAATTTGGCATTATACTAAATGTCCTTTGACCAGAAGCTGGCCACTTGGAGTGCCTCTGGTGTAGCTGTGAGAAGGTCCTCCATTGTGAATGTGGCAGGGCTCAGACTGCATTGTAGTAGGTGGTCAGTGGTTTGCTTTTTTCCACACTCACATGTTGTGGACTCCACTTTGTAGACCCATTTCTTCATGGTGCCAGAGCGCAGCCTATTCAGCGTCTCCTAACTCGTCCACTCTTCTGTGTATCCAGGAAAGAGTTTCTCCTCCGGTCTCAGCCACTGATTGAGGTTCTGGGTTTTAGCCTGCCACTTTTGGACTCTCGCTTGCTGAGGTGTTCCTGGGAGTATCTCTGTAGATTTTAGAAAATTAATTCCTGATTTAAGGTGTTGGGGTGCTGGCTGATATCCGAACAGAGGATGGGCCAGAGGTGGCAATGCCTTGGTCCTTTAATTATTGGCTGCTACTTCTACAGTGTGGGTCAAGCATGGGCAAACTTTGGCCCTCCGGGTGTGTGTTTTGGACTTCAACTCCCACAATTCCTAACAGCTGGTAGGCTGTTAGGAATTGTGGGAGTTGAAGTCCAAAACACACACCCGGAGAGCCAAAGTTTGCCCATGCGTATTTTAAATCATCTATCTTTTTATTTATTTATTATTATGTATACTTTTTAAAATCCTTCTACTATCCTTTTTTTTTAATTGACTTTTTTCCCTACATTTTCTTTACATCATTGTTCTCCCACTTTACTTGTAATAATAACCCCCCCTTCTTCCTTTTCCCTTATTACTATAAAAAATATATGTGTATTTTAAAAATCATTTAGTCTAGAGCAGTCAGCAGAGAAACGCCTTCAACCCAGGAAGCTGAGGGAGGCGTGGCTGGGCGGCGTAGAGGCGTGGCTGGAAGAGAGCAGGGGGCCTTCGGATTGGCTGGGCGCAGCGCGGGAGAGAGAAGGCCCCGCCCACTCTTCCAAGGCGCGCAATTCGCTTTGTCCATTAGTGATCGCCCGTCGCTCTGTGAGGATGTGCTCCGTGGTGCCGGGCTACTCGCCGGGGTTCAAGAGGCCCCCGGAGACGCTGCGCCTGAAGAGGAAGAGGCCGCGGAGGGGAAGCAGCAGGAACGAGGAGGCGCCCGGCCTCTCCCCGGAGGGCTGTGCCCCGCTGTCCCCGCGGCCTTTCCCCGGGAGCGGAAGAGGCCGGCCCAGGAACCCCTTCCTCAACTTGGGCAACACCCCGCGGCCTCCGCAGGCCAGGAAGAGAGAGGCCGCGGTGGGAGGAAAGGTAACTCCCTTCCTTTTCCCCCTCAGCCGCTTAAGAATGTTAGAATGTTGAGGCTGGCCAATCAGAAACCATATGCAAATTAGTATGTCGAGATAGCTCATACATAGGCCAACTTGGGCCCTCCAGGTGTTTTGGACTTCAACTCCCACAATTCCTAACAGCCGGTAGGCTGTTAGGAATTGTGGGAGTTGAAGTCCAAAACACCTGAAGGGCCCAAGTTGCCCCCTACTTGATCTACACTGTTTTCTGTCCATCATTCCAGTTTCTGAATGGTCTTGAAGAGGACAGGTCTTCTCAGAAAGAAAACTATTCTGAAGCGGCTGCTGTGGACACTTCCATCAAGGTAAGGATGATAATTTATGGTGTTGACACACAATTTGGGCTTCTTATTTATTAACTAGCGGTCCCCTGCCACACGTTGCTGTGGCCAATCTGGTGATCTGGGAAATAAAGTAATTAGAAAGTGTTGGTTTCTAATATATGCAATTTCTTTATGCTTGTGGGTAAACAGTATTTCTTGCTGTTTCTTTGTCAGTGCTGATGTGGAGTGTATCTGGTTTGCCTACTCTGGAACATGCAACATATCATTGTCCTTCTTTAGGGATCCCTTTCAAATCTATGATACTATTTATTTATTTATTTACTGCACTTGTAGACCGCCGTTCTCAGCCCTAGGGCGACTATATCTCTCTGTGTGTGAATCATATCTATCTATATCTATGGCTGGATGGATCTTTGTCAGGAGAGCTTTGATTATGTTTTCTTGCCTTGGTGAAGGAAGTTGGACTGGATGCCCTTAAGTATGGGGGTTCTGTGTGAGAAGTTTGCCCCAATTCTGTCGTTGGTGGGGTTCAGAATGCTCTTTGATTGTAGGTGAACTATAAATCCCAGTAACTACAACTCCCAAATGTCAAGGTCTTTTCCCCCCAAACTCCATCTGTGTTCATATTTGGGCATATGGAATATTTGTGCTAGGTTTGCTCCAGATCCATCATTGTTTGAGTCCACAGTGCTCTCTGGATGTAGGTGAACTGGAACTCCTAAATTCAAGGTCAGTGCCCACTAAACCCTTCTAGTGTTTTCTGTTGGTCATGGGAGTCCTGTGTGCCACGTTTGGTTCAGTTCCATCGTTGATGGAGTTCAGAATGCTCTTTGATTGTAAGTAAACTATAAATCCCAGCAACTTCAACTCCCAAATGACAAAATCAATTTTTTGAGTGATGGTCACTCCTTGGGTTAGTAGGCGTCTTGTGGCCAAATTTGGCAGCAATTCGTCCAGTGGTTTTTGTGTTATGTTAATCCCACAAACGAACATTACATTTTTATTTATATAGATTTATTTATTTATTTAAAGCATTTCTATTCCGTCCTTCTCACCCTGAAGGGGACTCAGGGCGGAGCACAACATATAAACGGCAAACATTCAATGCCGAAACATACTAGACCATACACATACAAAAGCATTAAAATCACTTATCTTGACGTTAAAATCCTTTAGTTAAAACTGTCTCAACAACCATAACGAATTTGGTTGGCATACTAAGAGTTCTTATCGCTGCCTCATTGCACAATACCAAAGGCTCGGTCCCACAGCCACGTTTTTATCATCCTTCTAAAGGACAAGAGGGAGGGGGCTGACCTGATCTCATTAGGAAGGGAGTTCCATAACTGATGGGGCAATCATTGACAAGGCCCTGTCTCTCGTCCCCGCCAAATGCGCCTGTGATGGTGGTGGGACCGAGAGCAAGGCCTCCCCAGAAGTTCTTAATCTCCATGGTGGTTGATAGGGGGAGATGCGTTCCGACAGGTAAATTGGGCCGGGACCATTTAGGGCTTTATAGGCCAAAGCCAGCACTTTGAATTGTGCTCGGTAGCAAACTGGGAGCCAGTGGAGCTAGCATAACATGGGAGTAGAGTGCTCCCTGTACATCGCTTCAGTTATTAACCTGGCTGCCTCTCGCTGGACTATTTGAAGCTTCCAAGAAGTCTTCAAAGGCAACCCCACGTAGAGGGCATTGCAGTAATCTAATCTTATCCCATAGACCCCACTGCTTGGTCATTTCAACAGGCTGCTCTGTGTGCAAGAGGTTACTTGCAAAATAAGATGCTAATCGTAACAACAATAATAAGCTTACTATGTGTGTAAGGCAGTGGTTCCCCAGTTGTTTTGGCCTACAACTCCCAGAAATCCCAGCCAATTTACCAGCTGTTAGGATTTCTGGGAGTTGAAGGCAAAATCATCTGGGGACCCACAGGTTGAGAACAACTAGCGAAAGGAGTCAGTTGATTGGGCCCTGGCTGCATTTACAACCATGTTATTGAAATAGGGAAACATTCTACATGAATTGAGGGTTCTAGGTTGTGTTCAATGATCAATGTCCCCATAGCAGAGAGATGTAGAAGAACACCAGGGATGTAGTGACTAAAGGCCCTTCCAGATCTGATCTCAGGATTTCTGTTTATTCCAGATTATCTGGCAGTGGAGACACATATAAACCAGTTTAAAGCAGAAAACCTTTAGTTGGGGACCCCTCCCCCCAGCACCAACTGTCGCTCTGGGCCAGAGTGAAGAGAGGGGGGGCCAGGGGACAGTTCCACCTTGTCTCCTGTGCTATGCTAATAATATGTAATATAATATATCGTATATACATATATTTATAATATTATAATGTAATACAAATACTACTAATAATACTATGATATTATAATATATTTTATATTACATGTAATATTACTAATATTACTAATAATATTACAATATAACAGTATAGTACAATATAGTAATACTGTTATTGTACTATGCTAATAATATAATATATTGCGCATGCGTGTGCGTGTGTATATATATCTTGTAAGCCACTCTGAGTCCCTTTCGGGGTTAAAAGGGCGGCATATAAATGTCGTAAGCAAATAAATAAAAACCTGGGATCAGATCCTGGGATTATAGGGCCTGTCTGCTTGAGGCAATCAGGGCCTGCTAACACCTCCCAATAAAGGATTCCCCCAGGCATGAAGCAGACAGGCTTTGAAGCTATAAGGCCATTCAGTGCTAATCAAGGTGGCCAATTGCAACATTCATAATTTCCTCAAACAGAGGAGAAAGCTTTCTCCCACCCTGGACATTATTCCACAGATATATAAACCTCACTTGTTTCCAACAGACCTCACAACTTCTGAGGATGCCTGCCATACATGTGGGCAAAACGTCAGAAGAGAATTCTTCTGGAACATGGCCATACAGCCCGGAAAACTCACAGCAACGCAGTCAACTGTTAGTATGTTAATAAAGTAGCTTTCTTATAACAATCTGTTCAATGTTTTATCTTTCACAAGGACACCCCATCTGTAGCCACTTCCAATGCCGATGTTCCTTCCTTCCCAAGTTTTGAATTCCCTGCGGATTGGAGTATTAAAACCCGCCTTTTATTTACGTCTTCTCGGTCGTTTGCATGGGCAGATCACATAAAAGCCCAAGAAGAATCCCAAGGATATGTCCAACATTGTAGATCAACATTTACAAACCTTCCTCAAAGCATTCAGGTAACTAATTTACTTTGGTTCATCAGTTAATTCAGAAGTGGAATAAGTGTTAGGCAGATTTTTATGATAGCATAACTACTTATGTTGACTGTTTTCAAGTGCTTATCTTTTAAACAGAGACCAAACAAAAGGCTTTCACTATCTAGTGAGCAAGCAACAAGCTTGACTGAAAATAGGATATAGTTGAAGAAAAATCTAGATTTTATGAAATTTCAAACAGATACAAGGGCATTATTGATCCTTGACCATAATTTGCAAGTTGCCAGAATTTGGTAGCAGAGCTCCAATAAAAATTAAGGAATTAAAAAATGAATTTGACCTGTATTTAAGTGACAAATTGTACTCCCCTGTTAGAGATTTCAATGTATTTCCTTAGGGATTAAATGTTAACCTTTCCCCAAGTTACAAACAAGATAGGTTCTGTGGGTTTCTTCATAAATTGAACTTGTTTGTAAGTTGGAACAGGCATATTTTTTCAGTGTAACTCCAGGGAAAGACAGACAGACAAACTTTGGATTGCATAGGAAAGGGCTAACACCCTTGTGGTGTGTGCTTTGCAGTCTGTGCCCATGTTCAAAAGATTTCACCTCACTTTCTATCCCTATGATAATTGGATTTTGAAAGCCTCATTGAGAAAGCTTCAGTGGAGACACCCTTTCAAACTGCATTATATGATAAGTGTAGACTCATATAATGCAGTTTAACTATCTTCTGGCAGGCCTACCCTGTCAACATTCAATCATGGGTTTTGATTTACATTCTATTGCTAATATATGTCAATCCCGTATCTGTCTTTGGTGCAGAATTTTATATTTTTGTGTATTTTATCGATCTAATTAATTGTATATATTTTATGTTCATATGTTTTTGACTTTGTTATACCCCACCTCGAGCCATCAAGAGAGGCAGGCAATACATAAAGTGTTATTGTTGTTGTTGTATATAAGTCTATACTGACCATATATTGCAGTTCAGTCTGCATTAAGTGGTTAGCATAGATTGAGTTGTAGTTGTATTTTGATTTTGGTTACTACTTAAATTTGTGTAAAATCAATTTCAAGTAATTATTTTATTTTTCTGGTTATTTAATATTTAATGTTTATTTTACTTAAGTGATATTTGTCTTGACTGTTCTAATGTAGCACAAATCCTATGTTAAATCATACTATGTATTTTTGACATTAATATTGAAATCTGAAATATATACAGATATTATATATATACATGTATATATATATATACAGATATATTAATTTCACAGTTAATATTTATCATTTTCTCCTTCAAATACTTGCTTATGTGGTCATGGACATACTGTGAAATTTTTCAGAAATCATAGAAAGATCACATTAGAAATGTAACTTTTCCCAACGTAGGAACCCAAACTCTCTACAGACCTCCGATGTGCTTTCCAGCAAAGTCTTGTGTATTGGCTTCATCCATTCCTGCCATGGCTGCACCTGTTTCCTCGCATTGGAGCAGATAGGAAAATGGCCGGAAAAAATAATCCTTGGTCCTATGACGAAGGCCTCCAACAAACTCTCATGAGTGAATGGTAAGTTGACATAATTGACAATGTCACTAAGTGCTACATTTCAGGGGTATTCTAAAACCATTTTAGCATAACGTAATGCATTTAGTCTGGCCACTGAATTGATTGAATAGAGGTATAAATATGAAATATGAAACACAAAAGAAGAAATGCATTGCCAAGCAAATATCAATACCTCTGCAGAGCACACTGAACATAAAATAGATGCCACATTCTGGACAGTTAATTACAGAGAAGAAGGGGTAAGAAGTGGGAAAGTGCTTTATTCCTTCCTTCCCTACCAGTTCTTTGCTCTACAGCACTTCCCCTTCTTATAGTTCCAAATGTCATTCTTATTCTGACAATGTGATAAATATGGTTTTGTGAATGTTTGCAAGCACTTGGTAGATGTGTCCATATGAGAATGACCAAGATGATCAAAGGTCTAGAAATCAACATTGTGAGAACAGATGAAACATATATTTGAGTATAAGCCGAGCTTTTCAGCCATTTTTTTAGGCTGAAAAGCCCCCTTCGACTTATATTTGAGTCAAGGTTATTTATTATTTTACTCTGTTGTTGTTGGTTGTGTTGTTATTACATTTACATTATTTTACTATTTATTATTATGATTAAATTTATTATTATTACATTTACATTATTTACTTTATTATGTTTATTATTTTACTCTGTTTATTGTTATTATTACATTTATTATTTTTCTCTTATTATTGGAAGGATATGTAAGCACTTTTACATTGAAGAAGGTTAGACTAATGGCTTAATCAGAGTTGGACACTCTTACCTTAAATTACAGTTTTATGTAAATATTCAAAAACATTTAACCTACTGATGCCTCAATTAATGTAATTTTATTGGTATCTATTTTTATTTTGAAATTTACCAGCACCTGCTGCATTTCTCACCCTCAGCTTATACTTGAGTCAACTAGTTTTCCCAGTTTTTTTTTGTGGTAAAATTAGATAATGCGGATTAAACCACGGTTCAGGTTGAACAATCCAATAAATATTGGTTAATGGAAATCTGAAAATGGGGGGTAAGTGTATGGGATGAAGGCTTGCAGTGGCTTGTTAGCATTAATCTAATAAGAAATGGGTTATTTGCTGTTTCTTGAAGTCTGCATATAGGAGCTACAGAATCAAAATGCCAAGTTGACTTCTGGTCACATCCATTTATTATTTTTTGCTGATATTACACATTTTACTTACATCATGTTTTTCGTCCTGTATTTATGTTGAGTGGGGTTTTGTTTTGTTTTTTGCTGCTACCAGGACATAGTCTGATGATTTTGTATCTTCTCTCTTTCTCTTGCAGGTCTCTCAGTTTTACCTCTCTCTATAATCTGTTGAGAGCCAAGCTGTGTCCCTATTTCTACGTTTGCACTTACCAGTTTACGGTGCTCTTTCGTGCAGCAGGGCTTGGTGGGAGCGATGTAATCACTGCATTAATTTCTCCTACAACCAGAGGCTTAAGGGAAGCCATGAAAAGTGAAGGTAAGAGGCGGGTGACTGAATGATACTGCTAAAGATTACAAATGTGTTTTGTATTATGCAGAGGACAAAAACAATTTGCTTACCTACCTTCCCTCTTTTTCCCTCCTAGGCATTGAATTTTATATGCCATTCCAAGAAATCAGAAAAGGAAAATCAAATTCTTCATCATCTCATCTGGAATCAGAATTTGATAATGATTCTGAAGGAACAGGCAAAAATGCAGAGAATGAAGAGTATGTGATAAAGTGTATATTATTAGACCTCATGCATCTGTTGTTACAAAAAAAACTGTCATAGAAAAATTCTCAGTTACTATTATTGTTATGTTTATTTATACCATGCTTTTTCTATCCACAAAGGAGACACAATTTAAAATCCAAAAATATACAAACATTAAAATAGAATTAAGCATCAATGGTATTAATTAAAAATTAACAGTTAAAATCCTTAAAACAGATTAAAAATGTATTCAGTGCTAAAACCACAACATACTTGAACTGCATGCTGAAAATACTTAATTCTCATATAAAAATGCATGAATAGGAGTCTAGTGTCTAGATTCAGGGAAGTCATGCTACCCCTCTATTTTGCCTTGGTCAGACCACACCTGGAATCACACTGTGTCCAGTTCTGGACACTGCAATTGAAAGGAGGTGTTGACAAGCTGGAATGTGTCCAGAGGAGGACAACTAAAATTATCAAGGATGTGGAGAACAAGCCCTATGAGGAGAGGCTTAAAAAGCCAGACACATTTAGCCTGCAGAAGAGAAGGCTGAGAGGAGACATGATAGCTATGTATAAATATGTGAGGGGAAGTCATAGGGAGGAGGGAGCAAGCTTGTTTTCTGCTGCCCTGGAGACTAGGACATGGAACAATGGCTTCAAACTACAGGAAAGGAGATTCCACCTGAACATTAGGAAGAACTTCCTAACTGGGAGAGCTGTTTAGCAGTGGAACTCTCTGCCCAGAATGTAATGGAGGCGCCTTCTTTGGAGGCTTTTAAGCAGAGGCTATATGGGCATCTGTTGGGGGTGCTTTGAATGTGGTTTTCCTGCTTCTTAGCAGAGGGTTGGACTGGATGTCCCATGAAGTCTCTTCTAACTCTGGATCTATGATTCTAATGCTTCAGTGGTAAATCTGTTAAAAGTGGTATTTCCTTCTTAGGGAGCAACAGCTTAGTTGTGGTAATGATGAAGATGACGACGACGAAGGATTTTTATGGCTGGAAGAGATGGGAGTTCAAGACAAAATAAAAAAGCCTGATACAATTTCTATCCAACTGTATCCTTTTAAGGAATGGGTTATTTTCTTAAGCCGTGATTGCAGTACATGGATAGTGTGGCCAACCTTAGTTTCTTACAGTAATGTGAAACATGTTTTTATTAGAATGGGAAGATAGCAATACCTGTCTTCATGTGATGTTTAAGATCTGAATTGTAGAATCGTTTGTCTCAGTAACAATGAATGTTTTAAACCACTTTAAATGCAATATTTCAATTTGTGTAAATATTGCAAAATGAGATTTTCTTTGGGTTGCTATGAGTTTTCCAGGCTGTATGACCATGTTCCAGAAGCATATATAAACTGCACTTGCCTAGTTTCCAATAGATCTCACAACCTCTGAGGTGGGCAAAATGTCAGGAGGGAATGCTTCTGGAACATGGCCATACAGACCAAAAAACTCACAGCAACCCAGTGATTTTGGCAAATAAAGGCTTCGACAACACGCTGTTTTTTGTTTTACTAGTGTTATTTTTCTTTAGAACCATAATTATACCAACTTTCTTCTATAACAGTTTATTTTCCCCTTTCCCTCCACTATAGTCATCAGTAGTGAAACATTTGATTTGATTTTGTTATACTTTATAATACTAAATAGTCTGATCTAGTTCTCCTCTGAAGACACTTCATTGGCTTTACAGTGTTTCGTACTTGCTCTTTGGTTTCGGGTAAAATATACTAGTCTTTGTCAGTTTAAAGGGACAGTAGTCTGCCCTCTGCATAGCAATAGGAAACTGTAAGTAAACTTAAATAAAGTTAAATCTATATGAATACATGAGACATATTCAAAATATCAAGGCACGTTGTACTGTCTTTTTCAACACAGTGACTTTTGAATATTGAATATTGGAGTTTTTATCCTTGTCAGGAGCGACTTGAGAAACCGCAAGTCCCTTCTGGTGTGAGAGAATTGGCAGTCTGCAAGGGCGTTGCCCAGGGGATGCCCAGATGTTTTACCATCCTCATGGGAGGCTTCTCTCATGTCCACACATGAGGACCTGAAGCTGACAGACAGGTCAGCTAGATTTGAACTGCTGACCTTTTGGTCAGCAGTCCTGCTGGCACAAGGGTTTAACTTATTGTGCCACTGGGGGCTCCAGTATATTGTTGAATCAAAACAAGTCAGGGAATGGGTGTTTCACAATACAGTTCTTTAATTTTGGGGCTGCCCTGGCAAATATATACTTGCAACATGTACCGCAGTCACTTAATGAATCTAATTAGGATGTGGATTGTAAATCAGTGCAAATGCGCGGAAACATCAAATTATATATGCTTAGGTAAGGAAATTTGTGGCTTCTATTGCCTAAAACTGAAAACTTGAAAAATTGTGATTTTCCTACAGACTTCTGGTGCTTGGTGTTAATCTTTGGCTATTATAGATCTGTGCACATTCTCCTTAACATTTGTCACTCTAGCAATAAAGAGAGACATGAAGTACAGCTGGATCACAAACCTGAGTCTGTGGTGTTAGTGAAAGGAACGAACACATTCACCTTGCTGAACTTTTTGATGAACTGTAAGAGTTTAGTGGCTTCTGCTGGTCCTCAGGCTGGTCTCCCTCCAACACTGCTCTCCCCAGTTGCTTTCAGAGGGGCGACGATGCAGATGCTCAAGGTAAGAAGTGTAACATAATTTCTAAAAAGCAAACAGTTCGCATATATAATCTTGGTGACAGAGGGAACAGGATCACATCTGTAATTTGTCTTTCCTGGACTAAAGAATTCCTTCCATCCATAAAGGAATTCTCATTCAGTGAAGGTCTTCTAATAAAAAGAAGAGAGACCGTGCCCTGCAATTCCCCCTGCAGCACTCTCTCCTGAAAAATCAGTTCTAGATAGTTGGGAGACCCTTCAGAATAGCACTGAAGAAGCCTACAGCTAGAATGAGAAGCTAAGAAAGACCCCTCATTTCCTATAGTCAAGGGAACCTGGGGAAGGGGACGTACAGACTGCTCGCACTGGTAGAAATGACCGGCCCTTGTGACAATATAATTGTACTTTATTCTCTTTTTTTAGGCCCGAAGCATAAGCATAAAAGCTCAAGTGAATTCACATTACAAAGATGCATTTAGTTTGGAGATTGTGGGTCCTGTCATGCCTCATTCGCTACATTCGTTGTGCATGCTGCTGCAGTCTTCTCAGAATGGATCTTTCTCTGCTGTGTGTTATTCGCATGAGCCGACAGCAGTCTTCAACGTGGGCATCGGCAATGAGAAGAAGATAAAGGAGGTAAGCAGGTTTTGTGCCCATTACAGTTGATAAGAGACTTGTATCAAACAGACAATCTTTTGAGTAACTTCTTAGTTGAAAAGCCCAATGCATTTTCAGTCGGGGGCTGAGGTCTTAAGAGCAAAGGTAGTATAAGGTCTTCATGACTTATAGGTTGAAAATGTGAATGAATTCTCCTGGATCAGACCAAAGGTATTTGGTCTGATTTCGCACAATTAAAACTTGTGCACCAGCTGCGCCCGTACCTTGGGAAGTCAGACTTGGCCACGGTGGTCCACGCTCTTGTTGCATCTAGAATAGACTACTGCAACGCACTCTACGTGGGGTTGCCTTTGAAGACTGCTCAGAAGCTTCAAATAGTCCAATGAGAGGCAGCCAGGTTAATAACTGGGGTGGCAAACAGGGAGCATACAACTCCCATGTTACGCCAGCTCCACTGACTGCCAGTTTGCTACCAGGCACCATTTAAAGTGCTGGCTTTGGCCTGTAAAGCCCTAAATGGCCCCAGCCCAAATTGTCCGAACGCATCTCCCCCTATGAACAATCGCAGAGATTAAGATCCTCTGGTGAGGCCCTGCTTTCCGTCCCACCATTGTCACAGGCATGATTGGTGGGGACGAGAGACATGGCCTTCTTGGTGATTGCTCCCCGTCTATGGAACTCCCTGGTGAGATCAGGTCAACCCCCTCCCTCCTGTCCTTTAGAAGGGTGGTAAAAACTTGGCTGTGGGACCCAGATTTTGGGACAGGGCAATGAAGCGGCAGTGGGGAAGATGACAGGGCCAATTGGATTTGATGCGAATGGCTAGGACGGTTTTAAATGGTGTATTTTAATATTTGAAAAATGTTTTTTAATATCATAAGTAGTAGTAATGATAGTAAAGGTTTCCCCTGTGTCCGATTCTGGGGGTTGGTGCTCATCTTCATTTCTAAGCCGAAGAGCTGGCGTCTGTAAACCCCTCCATGGCTAGCATGACTGCATGGAGTGCTGTTATCTTCCCGCAGAAGCGGTACCTATTGATCTACTCACATTTGCATGTTTTCAAACTGCTAGGTTGGCAAAAGCTGGGTCTAACAGTGGGAGCTCACCCCGCTTCCTGGATTTGAACTACCAACCTTTTGGTCAACAAGTTCAGCAGCTCAACAGTCTAACCCAGGGGTCCTCAAACTAAGGCCCGGGGGCTGGATGCGGCCCTCCAAGGTCATTTACCTGGCCCTCGCTCAGGGTCAACCTAAGTCTGAAATGACTTGAAAGCACAAAACAATAACAACAATCCTATCTCGTCAGCCAAAAGCAGGTCCACACTTCCCACTGAAATACTAATAAGTTTACATTTGTTAAATTGTTCTTCATTTTAATTATTGTATTGTTTTTAAGTGGATTTTTTGCACTGCAAATAAGATTATGTGCAGTGTGAATAGGAATTCATTCATGTTTTTTTTTTCAAATTATAATCCGGCCCTCCAACAGTTTGAGAGACTGTGATCTGGCCCTCTGTTTAAAAAGTTTGAGGACCCCTGGTCTAACCCATAGCACCACCAGGGTTCCCCTAGTAGTAGATACCATTCTCAATTATTTTTTCTAATTGCTCTTTATAATGTAATAATTTTATATAGTAATCATCTTGATGGTCTGCTGCCCAGTAAGTTAATGTTCTAGTAGTACAAGGACAGAAAAGGAAACCAGTACCGATATCAGCTCTAGTTGCCTTTCCCTTTCACTCTCGGGCTATAATGGAAGCATTTCCTCATTCTGTTGCTGCCGCTAATACACAAACAACTTTTAGATGCCAGCCACAGATGCAGGCAAAACATCAGGAGAAAATGCTTCTTGAATACGGCCATACAGCCCAGAAACCACACAACACGTGATTCCGGCTGTGAAAACCTTCAACAATAGTTTTTAGTTCCTCTTGTTTTTATTCCAAATGGCCATAATAAAAAGATCAAGAGCTCCCTGGCTACTTTATAGCCAATTTGTAGGATATTCAGAATTTGTGCTACAGGTTTTCTTATTTTCTCTTTCCATAGCTCCCTTCCCCTTTTTTTTCTGCCATGTCTTCAGATGGTAAGATTCACAGCAGAAACTGAAAACCAAGCTGTTATTGTATTGTCGAAGGCTTTCATGGCTGGAATCACTGGGTTATGAATTTTCTGGGCTGTATGGCCATGTTCCAGAAGCATTATCTCCTGACATTTCGCCTGCATCTATGGCAGGCATCCTCAGTGGTTGTGAGGTCTGTTTGAAACTAGGTAAGTGAAATTTATATATCTGTGGAATGTCCAGGGTGGGAAAAAGAACTCTTGTCTGTTTGAGGTAGGTGTGAAAGTTTCAATTGGCCACCTTGATTAGCATTTAATGGAAGAAACCATGAAAATGAACAAAATCTGGCTACCAGTATTTAAAAAAAACACTAAAAATATAACAGTAAATAAAGACCAACACTCAAAAAACGGGAATTCCAAACAAGAAACTATCAGGGCCAGCTAACCATCTCCTAACAAAGGATTCCCCCAGACAGTAAGAAGCCAGACCTTAAAACTGCTAGGCCATTAAATGCTAATCAGGGTGGCCAGTTGAAGGATTCACACCTACCTAGAACAGACAAGAGTTCTTTCTCCTACCCTGGACAAGTCTACAGATACATAAATTCCATTTTCCTAGTTTCCAACAGACCTCACAACCTCTGGGGATGCCTGCCATAGATGCAGGTAAAACGTCAGGAGAGAATGCTTCTGGAACATGACCATACAGCCTGAAAAATTCACCACAACCAAACTGGCATTTTTCTTTCTGGTGGAAGACCATGATATTAGAGATTTGAATAAGGTTTAAAATGTCTTTGTACATCTCAATTTTCACAGGAATCGCTTGGCAAAGACCTTTGCAACTGCGGAATACACCCTGACGCTTTGAGTCAACTTGCTCTTTCTCCAACATTAGGAAAGTCTTCTATCCGGACCCTTGAAGTTAGTGATTACACCTACACGTGGAAAGTCTAATTGGTCAATGAACGATTGCTGTCTAGTGTTTCCTGAAATAGTTTCTGCTGCTGTTTCTAGAACATTTGGTAATGTGCAAAACTTGAAAAACTATCCCATTGGTGAGCTTTCTGTAACCTGACTTGAAGCTGTTCTGTATGGTTAATCTTTACAGCTCTTGTTTTTAAATTTTAACCAGATTTTAAATTAAACTTTATATTACAAACAAATCTTGTATATTTTTCTGATGGTAATGTTTTTAAAATAAGTATTTCACATTATAGAATAAATGCTTAAATGAATAAGGAAGAAAACATGCTATATTTCAGCCCTTATGGAGAATTGCCTGGGAGACCCAATCTGAAGACTACCAGTTGCAGTAGTCCTTTTACCGTATTCTCATTGGCGCTTTCCTTAAAAATCTTGCACTTCATAAAACTGGTTTTAAAAGCATTCCATCCTAAAACATGTATTCAGCACTGTTCAACACTTGGATGGTAGACTCCAGCTGCTGTGGCCTGTATTTTGGAGGAGAGTAATGCTAAACCACACCTGAGTATTCATTGCCTAATAAAATACTGTCAAATTTCATGTCATTTCTACATGTTAAGTGTTTTAAAAATAGAGGGCTACATCCTGAAATGGAAAAAAACTGCTAAACAATAATGGTATTACCCAAATGGTATTTTTTTATAGCAATCATCAGAGAAATTCAATGCAGCATACATTGAAAATCCAGTTAATTTTAAAAGCTATTAATTTTAATGTTTTACAAAAATAGTATTTGAAGCTTCATCCACTATGGCTGTGTGCTTGCAGTTCTGTATCTCATATGAAAAATGTTTTAGCTTTTTTAGTATATACTGCAGCCCTCCCCCCCCCCCCCCCCCCCCCCCCGGTGGTACACCAGGTTAAACCCTTGTGCCAGCAGGACTGCTGACCTAAAGGTTGGGCAGTTTGAATCTGGGGAGCAGAGTGAGCTCCTGTCTGTCAGCTCCAGCTTCTCATGCAGGGGCATATGAGAAGCCTCCCACAGGATGGTAAAACATCCAGGTGTCCCCTGGGCAGCGTCCTTGCAGACATCTAATTATCTCACACCAGAAGTAACTTGCAATTTCTCAAGTTGCTCCTGACATGAAAAAAAGTATCTACTGTATTAATGGAATCAAGTTGGAAGAGACCACATGAGCCATCTAGTCCAACCTCCTGCCATGCAGGAAAAGCACAAAGTATCGTTAACAGATGGCCATCCAGCCTGTTTAAAGGTTTCCAAGGAAGGAGCTTCCAACTTTATTCAAATCACAGCTCTCAATACCAATCAAGACTGGTTTAAAAAGCTGTACCAAACATATCCATTGCAACCATTTCATATTTTTATAAACATTACTGGATATATTAAGTGCCTGTCAGGATTTCATGTAGTTCAGTTTTCAAGTAAGGCAAATTTTGACTTATCTGTCTTTCACTTTCCTCCATCCATTGATTGTTTCAACAAGGACATCATTAGAAGAAACTGTACCTCTGAAGCCTCACATGTAAAACAAAATAGAGCCAAAAGATGTCAACTGAAAAGTTGCTTTGTCCACCAGCAGAAATAGTTTTCAAATAAGGAAACAACACTTTGGATAGAGACTAGGGTTTAGGAATCTTAAGTGTATTATTTAATGCAAGCAATTAATCTAGAATAAATTTCTTCACCATATATATATGTGTGTGTGTGTGTCAAGGGTGCGAAAATACTAAAAGAGAATATCAAATGACTTAACAGGTACACGATTAACAGGTTGGCTGTACACTGTATACATTTCTCTTGCAACTAAGTTTATTAAGCAGCAATATTAAACAGTGAAAATAATATGGAGTTAAGAAGCAAGCAGAGTCTGCCGACTATAGTATTGACTATACTTAAACCCTGAGATATTATCTCTGATACCCTACAATTAAAAGAATTAGGGACATCTCATTCAATCAAACAAGTGCTGAAAAGAGCATCTAAATACAGTTTCCCATTATCTTCAGTGGTGGCTTATCTCAATAGTAAAGGCAACTTTTAGCACTGTAAAGAATTCATCGTGCTAAACAGTAAACATCTGTGAGCTCTAAGATTTTACAATGGGAAACCCCTCTGTCACTATCCCCCTTCTTGCAGGTAATCAGAATGTTAATTGATTATTAATTGGTCGGTAAGTAAGAAGAAACTTGTGCTGCTTTATTGACAAGCCTGCATACAGTATTAGCATCATTCTACATCCCATCCAGTTATATCTGAACATTTGTTTACTCCAAATGTATACAATCAACATCAAGCATTATGTTTGAGACAGAAAATGCAATGTCATGTTCCTTGTACCAAAACATGCAACCTTTTTATGTTTCGATTTTTATCAGTCCTGTTCTATACGCTTCCTTCTCATTTAAATGTAGATTTCCCCCCTGAACCAGATATCAAATACTGAAAGAGGGAAACAGTAATTGCAGTATCCTTCAGCAAATTCATTATTTTTGATTTGCAGATAAATAGGACCTGACAGTAGCCTTAGCTGCCAGCTGTTGTAGACTCGAGACTATACAATTTTGCTGACTCTAACAAATGTTACCAAAACTATGGGAACTGCATCATGGTACAAAATCCTAAGAATTTACATGTCATACAGAAAGATGAAGACTACGCTTTAAAACAAGTTATGGATATTTCCAGAGTCATGTTTTGATTTTTAGTAATTTAAGAAATAATGACATCACTAACAATATACATACCTAAACTAATAAATGATTTAAATAAATTTCCCATGTACAAAAAGAAAGCCTGGAGGTGTCTGTACAGTTTTTACAGTAACCTGCTAATGTATTTACAAAATCACAGGAGGGAAAATACCCCTCTTCTGCAGAATAAAAACTTCTGAAATATCATTATAAAAACAATGGTCTAGGTGTCAGAGGCACTCCTGAAGCTGGTGGCATTAGCCAAGAGATCCTTTGGTACGAGTCCCAAGGCCTGGAGAGCCACAGTCGCGGCCACGGCTTTCGCATGCTTCTTGTTGGGACTCACAAACGTCGGCTTATGTTCAACTCCATTGACCATCACCTGTATGAGGGAGAGACGGTATTCAAAATTAAGTACGGTATGTTCCTTCTACAAAAGACTAAAAAATATGAATCTATTATTAATGTACTTCATCGCTCCCAAAACAAGACCTATCCCCAAAATAAGCCCCAATTAAGTTTGTCAGCCAGACAAATGCATTTAAATACGTCTGTTGCAACACATGACAGGTGCATTGAATTATTATTATTATGTAATTAAATAGAAATAAAATAATATCCCATTAATACTTAAGTTTGTAAATGCCCAAGTGGGCGCAATTAAGCAAGAGAGTTTTGTACATGAAAAAATAGGACATCTTTAAAAATGTCCTAATAAGCAAAAATTTAAAATAAGACCTGGTGTGACTACTACTTAATGGAAAATAGCAACCCTTGATTCTCCAGTTTCTGGGTCCCCCCCCCCCCTTTCTTTTTCTGCAGGCAAGGCACTTTACAAAATCTGAGATGGAGCTCTTGGGGGAGAAAGGAGGGAAGACCCAAGTTCCAGAGGCTTCTATTTCAGGCTTTTTAAACTGCCTTGCCTTTGAGGATGGAAGGAGGAATCATCTCTGTACCCATCATGCAAGGAAAGGCTGGAAGTCATTTTTGGAAATAAAAAAGGGGGCACACCAATTATGCAGTGAATTACGGTAACATTCTGTACCCCGACTTCTTATATGGCACAAATTTTAAGCAAATGAAGTTGCTCTTCAGTGTAGACACATACATTACCATTTAACTGCATTTTATAAATCTACACACTAACCATGTAATGCAGTTAGAAAATGCATTATATGGCAGTACTGATGGGGCCTCAGTTCACACCAAAAATCCAACACAACCCCACAAAATAAAAGCCATCACAAAATGTTTAAAATATTATCGCACATGAACAATAATATTAATACAACAAACCATACAAAAGGAACAAGGAGGTTTTTAGAATACTATGATCAGTATTTCCAGTCCACTGTGGTTGTTATTTTAGCAGTTTATTGTGCAATGATTCAGGAATACACACAGATGTCCACAGCACAGCATTCTGGCCAATTGACATGGACAGGTTAGAAACTTCATCAGATTGAAGTTCAGTGGGAATGACCACTCACAGGCATAGATAATAAAACAAGACCAAATATAATTAGCAATATTGTAAGAAAATTCCACTTGCCTTAAAAAGAAAATTTTTGCGATATTCAGGCCGATTGTCATTCACCAACACAAACACAGGGGGTGACCATCTTCTTTTATTACAGACCTCCAGCAATGCAGAAACAGGATGTTTGCCTTCATAAAAATATATTTTGTTTGAAAAATTATCTTGAAGTATTAAAGTTAGAATTCAGACAAGCACTTTGCAAGCTTTCACCAGGACTGTTTTACTCATCTAATTCAGAACTGTGTTTCCCAACTTGCTGCTGTTCTCTGGGACGGAAGGGGCTAAGGATTATTCTCTTCAATTTTTACCCAACCCTTTTAACCTGAGATGGCATGGATTAAACATGCAACCTTCTTTATGTAAAGCATTCAGCCCTATCCAAAAATGTTAAATGTCTCACCTGAAAGATCTTTCACTGCACTGAAAGGCCCACGTCTCTTCTGTGTCTTTTCTCCCACTGCAACCAAGCCTAAAGAATAAATACATTAAAAAGCATATGCATGCATTCTTCACTTCACCTTCTTCTATCCCATAAGATACAGGACAACATTTCTGTATGAAAGCATTATCTTTTAAAATAAGCAAACATCAGCTTGTTGTGCTGACAAGCTGAGAAAGCACTTTAAGTATGACATACACTCTAGGGCAGACCTCTTCAACCTGCGGCCCTCCAGGTGTTTGGGACTATGACTTCCAGAACCCCTAGTCAAGAGCTTGTTCAATGGTCAGGAATTCTGGGAGCTGAAGTCCAAAACTCCTGGAGGGCCACAGGTTGAAGAGGTCTGCTCTAGAATATGATATGCATGGTGAATGGTTTGGATAGGTTGTGGGGTTTTACGATTGATGCGAAAGTGGAGGTTTTTTTTAACAAGTTTAAGATGAGGTCATCCCATCATCAGGTCTGAGATAAAGCCACCAGGAGCTAATCAGCAATGCAACCACAGTTAATATGTGAGTCTTCAAGAACATCAATATCACTGCAATGCATTTTGCCACTGCACTTTAATGCACAATAGTCATTTCAAAGCATAGAGCTTTGAACTCCAAGAGATGATGATATAATACTTTAATTATATTCCACTTTATCTTCCCAGAGGGACTCAGAGCAGATTACAGTACATATATAAGGCAAACATTCAATGCCTTTTACACAACGAACAAAAACATACAATACAATACACAAACCTTCCCCTTTGTGGAGATATTGGCTCCAAAGCAAATTACCAGCATTGTTTTGGGTGAAAGGCATATATAACATATTCACCCTTCAGGTCTATGATGACAAACATTCCCCAATGAAGGAGGGAAGAAGAGTGTCTCCATATAACCCAGTTGGGTGGCTACATGCAACCAACTAACCAAGCATGCTTGTGATGAAGAGGCAATAATTGCATAGCAGCCCTCTCCCAGAATACAGCAAATTCTTCTTTCAGAAACCACAAAAGACAGGTGGAGAAGATTGCACTGGGAAGAGTGAATCCTATAGATCAAGTACCCTAGATGTTGAAATGGTAGCACATGAAGGCATGGCTACAAAGGCTGACACAGGCTTGGGCACACATCCGAGGAAGAAGAATCACAGCCACTGTTTTGAGCCAGAAGAGAACTTCATCCAGCTCTGCCTGAAATAGGAGCCACTTGGCCTGAAATAGTGTGGCAATGATTTTCTGGCAATCAGGTAAGTAGGTCATAAAGAAAAGCATCTTTCTCCAAAAACACTAATGACCACCAGGCATAAATGCCTGACAACAACTCACTGAAATGTCAAAGGAGCACAGGAATAAAAATCTGCTACCCACCCATCAAGATAAACCAAAAACTTTACATTTCTTTGAGCACCAGAAAAGTGATGACTCAGACATAAAAATCCTCTCATGCACTGCTTCAAACATCTGGGTGTACATATGCCTACTTAAACTCTAACAAACATGTAATCATTGTGAGGGAATATTTTGCTCAAAGTGAAGCATGCAGTGGAAGTGTTGGATTAAAGTGTTCAATGCAGGAGTTTTCCGTTTCCATTCTCCCTAAGGCAGGATTTCAATCGAGAACAATAGAACTAAACTTTATCCAAGGAATTGTTACTATAGCTGGGTTATCTTCGCTGATTGAAGTTAAGTGGTGCCAACTTGTCTCAGGAGGAAGACTCACCTTTCCGATCAGTCTTGAAGTCGACTAAAATAGGCTCCTTATTCCCCTCTTTGTTTTTGCCCAAGCCTTCTCCTTCTCTCCATCCCATTTTCCTCATGAGCTGGGCTCCCATTCCTCCAGATACTGGTGCAGCTCTAAGAAATTGATCCTATCCAAAAAGAAAAAGTAAAAAAGAACACTTTGTTTAGTACTCTCTTAAGAAAAAAAAAGGTAATTCTTCGGTTTCTAGCCCTCAATTAAATACATGCATTTTCCTTGCATTTCAAGTCTGATTTTCAACTGTTAAACCTATTATAACTTGTATAGAAACATTATTGAAAAATAAATGTTTGAATACAAAACTGGAAATACAAACAATCTGTTCCTAAATATTTCTTTTTAAAAGCATGTAAAATATACTACTGAGACTTCAATGTATCTTTTCTCATCTTGTGGAAAGAGGTGGTTATTAAACAATTCAATACCCAATTATTCAATAAAACACAAGCATCTACAAATGAAATTTTTAGAGATTACTTTGGTCTCCAAAACCCCCTAACACACAAACAGCAAGTGCTCATTGCCCAAAGATCTCTCTACATGATACAAGCACTTCTTTAAAAGAGCAAAACATAGGCACACAGTTCAACAGTAGCACATTAAGACTCTTTCAAAAAAATCACAAGCTGTATTATTATAGGTTGTTAAGATTACCAAACAAGTATTTTTTAAAACATTCTCGTTGCTTTAAAGTACTTTAAAAACGCCTTAAACGTTTACGTACCTAGGCCTCGGTGGCCGCAGTGTTGCGAATAGTAGGGCTGGCATTGACCGTGGCAAGAAGACAGCTACAAGGCAGATTTGGCCCTGAAACAAGTTTCCATATAGAGGGGTGAAAGTTCACAGGCTATTCTGTGAACTATCATCTCTCTTTTCTGCCCCACCCAATGACCCGACGCAACAAACTGCTAGTATTACAAATATACACTGGCAGCGTTAGCATAACAAATATTGCCAGGTTGTCTTCCGTGAGGTGCAGAACAACCGTTGTGAATCAACCTAGACATCAGTAATGTATTTGCTTTCAGTCTGCTATAAATATTTGATTACTGAGTATAGTTTCTGAAAGCAAGTCAGGAGTGTATAATCAGGTATATAACCATTCTTAGAAATGATTTCTTCCTCAACACAAATGGTCAAGACACACAGGGCCATTGTGATTTAACACTCCATATCCTAGTATCAAAACACAAAATGGTAAAGGTTTTTAGAATATGTGTAATTTGAGTTCCTCGGGTATTATATCACTTTTGGTAATGCAATTAAACCAGAGCTTATAATCATGCAGTTGAACATTACTTTGGAAAACTATATGGAAATGCTAAAGTGAGGCAAACTTTACCTCTGTCACTGAAGAATGTTTGACTGGTGCAAGCCATGCAGTTTTGAGTACATAGTGATATTTTAGCTGGTGCCAGTTATCAACTGCTTCATGTTGATACACCTAGAATGGCTTTTACTTACTTCCATTTTCATCCTCCCCTCCTTTCCAGGAACCTCTCATTAGAAAAGGGCAACCATGCAGAGAATGATACAAACCCCAGCCAAGGTCACCCAGGGCTCCGACTCCTCTTTTGTACCTGCTTTGCAATGATAGAATGTTCATCAACAATGCCTGCTTCATCACCAATGGGCAACCGGTTCACAGAGATGGCACTGACCATCATTTCGGCAAGAGAGGGCGCTTGATGGCTGTGGCATATTTCCATGCATTTTCCAAAATGATTGGGTGGTGGAATACAAATAATCTTTTTAGGTGTAAAAGCAAGAAGTGGAATCTTGAATGTACATTTTTCCACATATATAGAATACGTATTTCAAAGTCCTATAAGCCAAAAAAGTTTAGGCCTACGGAGTACAATTAGAAGAGCCATGTGTTTTGAAGTACAGTTCATCTCTAAAAAGCATATCTAGCATTGGGAACCTCCTTTCCTAATTGGCTAGACAGATAAGTTATGTCAGCCAGGTCCAGCACAAGCTGAGTATCCCTCATCCTAAACGTTTGAGAGCAGAAGTGTTTGGGTCTTCAGATTTTTAAAGATTTTGGAATACCTGTTTTTGCATATATGTGCATAATGGAACCCAGGTTTTCATAGATGCCTTATATACCTAGCCTAAAGTTAATTGTATGCAATCAGTTTGATAATTTTGGTGTATGCACTGACCCATTAGAAAGCAAAGGTGTCACTATCTCAGCCAACCAAGTGGACAATTTTGAAGTATTTCATATTTTGGAATTCCAGATAAAGGATACTCAACCTGTAGCAAGTCATGTGTGCCTACAATACAATTGCCTGTAATTCCAAACCTTGTTTACCTGTAGGTTCGTACCACTGAACTCAATGGCAATTACTTTTATGTTGACAATTACAGAACTGCACTGTTAGGTATTTCACTGTGCATTGAAGTGTTAATGATTCCAATGGGACTAATTTTATTCACGGATTGATGAGCTTCTTAGCCCTTCTAGCCTTAGAAACTATTTAAAATAACTTTTTAAAAATGATACGTGAGGTCCTCAGTTTTACTATTTTATCTATGAACTAGATATAACAACTGCCCAAACAGAGGTAATTTGTAATAAATCTGCAGTGTTGATATAATATTTATATGGAAATGTTTATATGAAATTATAACAGTTATACTCTGTTTTTAAGACAATTATTTGAATCATATGGGCATATCTAAAATACCATGAGGAATTATTAAAGTTTAATAATCTTTTAACAGAAAAACAGGGAACTGGAAGCTTTTTTCTTAATTCCATCCAATGGCATTTTGATATTCTCATCCTGATATTCACACTATTGATTCTGTGGCAGTTTCTAAACTAGTGGTTCTCAACATGTGGGTCCCCAGGTGTTTTGGCCTACAACTCCCAGAAATCCCACCCAGTTTACCAGTTGTTAGGATTTATGGGAGTTAAAGGCCAAAACATCTGGGGACCCACAGGTTGAGAACCACTGTTCTAACCTGTCAACTCTCAGATTTTCTGTCAGATAAAACTAAAGCAATGCAGGTCTCTTGCCAGTAGATGGAACCAATCCATTTCATCTTTATGTTGTGGGAAAGAGTTGACTGGTTCATGATCAGTTTACAGGACAAACATCTTAAGAATTTGGGACACAGGAGAAAATCAACACCAACATATATAGGAATAAAACGGCTAGTGTGGTATTTGGGCAACCACGAGAAAAGGTAGAATTTACTGCAACCTCTCAATGCCAAGGAAAGAGCAAATGCCTAAAATAGGGAATTATCAATACCCTATCAAGGATGAAATGCATGAAAGGGTGAATGCCTATTAAAACACACACACACAAAATAGACACATGTCTGCCACTGTCAATATTGGCAAAGCTTGTATTTAGTTTAGAAATGAAACTTTACACATACTTGTGTCTTTTGCATAACTTCTAATTACAATCCATATTTCCTATGTGCACTCACAAGTACTGCTTATGAGCAAAGCAGTACTTGTGAATGTACCTCCAACTTAGCAAATATTTTGTTTTTTAAGTGAACCCAAGATGGTAGTATCATGGGTGAAGAAGAGAAGAGGGCAGCTGAAACTTCCAGGGCTCTCTCGGTGCCTATGCACCTGGGAAGTAACAGAATTATGGAAATCATCAAGCACACTAGAGAAGACGTGAAGGCAGAGAAAGAAACAGCAAGGATAGGCAATTTCTTACTGTTTCAAATACTACTATTGCCGGTACATTGTCTTCAAGGTCTTTGTAGAAAAACAGCTTGATAAAGATGCATCACAAAGACCCACATTCCACAGTCAAAATATATTACCTTCCATCATTCAATTTCCTTTGATGAATCTGGGTACAATAATTGCATACAATATCAAAGTATGATAAACTTGTTGTAGGAGCTGGAAGCTGTATCCAGTCCTATTCTTTCATCACTAAAAACCGTATGTGGTGCCTGCCTTTCCAGAGCAGGTACGCCCTAGTTATCTAAACCAGTGTTTCTCAAACTGTGTTCCTTCAGATGTTTTGGACCTCAGCTCCCGGAAATCTCAGTCACCTTATCAGCTCTTAGGAATTGTGGGTGTTAAAGTCCAAAACATCTGGGGGAGCACAGTTTGAGAAACTCTGATCTAAACTATCTTCTTCAACTTCAAAAGCAAGGACACCTTTTAAAAGATGTGGATTTTTCAGGATGTCAGATGTTCCATAGGATGTATATGAGAAGATAAATACAACAAAAGTCCTGTCCTAAAGTATAGTATCCAAATGTTTAGAAACCTATACACAAGTACAGCTCCTAAAGACCACATTTAAAAAAAGCCCTGCCCCTTTCCCCATCATTCTTTTCAATGCTGTTACCATGAAATGCTTACTTTGTTGGAGAACTTTGCACTGCTCTCAGGAAACATTAACACTGGCAGTTACTGGCTTCTGAAGTAAGGGAAGATAATTATTACAGCCCAATGAAGCACTACCCTTTCTCCCATAAATGTCCATCTGGGCACTCACCAGTAGGATACTAATTCATGGCCTCAATCATGTAAGATCAATAGAGACTTCCAGAGAAAAATTAGATCCTAAAAGGAGTCCCCAGACTACGACAGGGAAAGTTGGATAAGAGCATAGCATTCCTAACAGTCAAGAAACACGCACTCACTGATAAATATTCATCTCCCATTCCATCCTTGCAAAAACTACTTTTCTCCCAGAGATATCAAAATTAACCAGGTCTCCTATTCTAGAGAAGCCAAGTCACAAAATATCTGTACACAACAAAGCTTTTAATTCAGAAGAGAAACAGAATGTAGTATAATATTAATATCTGTTTGAAGTGCCTTAAACTTTCCATTATGACCTGATCCACAAATATGTTGTTGTATGATTATGTCAATATAAAGTTTAAAAAATGCCATTTAAGTGTTGATAAATTATATTTAGCAAAAGAAAAAAAGTGGTTTTGGTTGAAAATTTATACTAATAAACATAAGGCCAGAACTTTGTAATAACCACAAAACAGAACAAGAGCTACTATTCCTAGAAACCTATCTACCTTTCTAGCACAAGGACTCAGCTATGCTATTTTTTGAATGCATACTTAAGTATTTTATCAACCTTCATCCAAAGAACCTCTGATGCTTTGTCATACATTTGAATTAACAAGAATATGCCTATAAAGAATAAACATGCTGGGCAGGTACTCTGCAGAGTTTAATATATTTTGCATTTGCAAATTAACTGCATCATTAGCAATGCAAACAGGAAACTTTTATAGTTTAATCTGCTGTTCATTAAAAAAAAATTATTCGATATCCAAATGTCCAAACATATTAACATGTATATGGGCCCAAAGTCAAACAAATGAAAAAGCAAACCAAACAGAATTTCCCACTCCCCCCCCCCCTTTAAAATGGTTTTTCTTCAACATGCAGCCTATTGGTAAGCATCTCTTTACTTGAATTGTAAAGGGAATACTGCATGTTCAAGGTCCTGTGCTTGAACATTGTAAGGCAGATGTAAAATTTCACTTCTTGTTCAAATCTTAAATTAGAGTCCTTAAGGATTAGATTATCACACTAAGATTAAAAGCACTTAAATTCTGTGCTCAGAAAAAAATGAACTTATACTGTCTTTAGGCAAAGGTGACTAAGTTTGATTTCCTTATGGCTCTACTGATTTTAATGGGTCTTACTTACAAGGATGAGTGCCCAGCAGCAAAGACCAAACCAACTAAACTTTAAATTGCTGTAGAAAGCCTTTTCAATCAAGATTTTAAAGGGGGGAAAAAATTTCTGGTTGAGAATAGCATTTTTATGTTGCCTGATTTAGTCAGAAAAGTTTGAACAGGAAATTAATACAATTTAACATATGAAGATCTTCTTTCAAACTATGTCTGACTTTACTTCAATAAGGAAAAAATCTTTAGAAGGAGAGGGCAACCACAACACAAAAAAACATCTCAAACATCAGGAGCAAAGTACAGGCAGTCCCTGAGTTACAAACATCTGACTTACAAATGACTCATAGTTAAGAACAGGAGTGAGACAACTGGAAGTGATAGAAATCTACCCCTACCTAGGAAGAGAAATTCACTCCTGAAAGAGTTGCTATGGGGAAAAGGTGTTTCCACTGAAGATTTATCACCAATCCTTGTTCATACAACAAGCCAAATTTGTCAAAATTCAATTATTACAGGGACAGAAAGTGAAGTGAAATATTCTGAACAGGGGCACAGACAGCAAAACAAACACCACAAGAATGTTAACCCTTCCCTATGCTAACTAATATCAGTGCTATGTTCAGGTGGCAAATATATTAAGGGACCCCTGAGCTCCCACTATCACTAAATAACATCTACATGATCACTACTTGATCGGTATACTGCAGTCTGAATCAGCTGCAAAAAAGTAAATTAATAGGATATGAAGTAGGAACCATTTAACCCACCCAATGTCACATGTTTCTTACTAAAATGAGGGGGAAACCAAATTATTTTTGAATTATTCTGTTTTCAGGATGTCATGATTCAAGAACCACCTTCTCAGTCTTCTCATATTTTATTAAAATCTACTGGCATAGACCTAATAGATACATTGCCAATTAAATTATAGCAAGTGTAAGTCTCTTTTGTGAATGGTACATGGTGATGAAAGACAAACATACAACCAGCTTCAGCAAATCCTTTGTTAAAATGGTCGCTGTCGTTCCACATCATTTTTATTTCCACAAAGAAAATCTGTTCAGCAGGTAATATTTACAGATATTAATATATTTACAGAATTTTCCATATACTTTTAATTACAAAAGTGTAAAAGTGTATAATACATTTTATCAACAGCAATCTAAAAAGCCCTCTAGCTACTGTATCTGGGTGCTTATATATAAACAACAATCCCATCTTTCAAATTGGTTGGCTCCAAGAAACAGTGCTAAGTCAAAAACAGCTGAAGCTAGGAATTGGCTAAAATTAATTCTGACAGACAAGTGTGCTGAGAGAAAGATGAAATATCATTTGACAAGACTGTAAAAATATACTTGACAAGCAAACAGCCTTACTCTCCAGGGGTCTTCTAAATTCTCTAGTGCAGTCCAATCTTAAATCTAATTTGACAAATTATCTCGGTAGCTCAGAATTCCCTTCTTCGCAGAGGTTTTCTCCTCAGAACCATCCAATAATTATTATGTATTTATTTATTACTATTTAAAGTATTTCTGTATTGCCACCCAACCAACATGGACTCCCAGGACAATGAAGAAAAGTTTATAGAGATCAGGTCAGAGCTCCTATTAAAAATCTTAGCTGTGACCAAAGTATCAATTTATTATTTTAATTGTCCTCTAATCCCTACAAACCACAGATCAACTCATGCCAGACACATATGCTCTGCTTGTCCTCAGACCTTACCAAAATGTATAATTTTGCTCTATAGACACATTTTGCTGGCTCCTGCCCAGCTGTTTGCAAGTTCCTCAATCAACTTTTTAGCACAAGATGCTGAGAACAATCTGCTTGTCCTTCACATGATACTGTTCCTGTTCCTCAGAACAAGACAAGCAAACATTTTCCTCAGGGTAAGCCAACAATGCAGAGGATCCTAGAATAACATCTTCCCTCATAATAACTGAGCAGGCATATCCGGTCTTTCCAGATGGTACTGCTACCATCAGGAAGTGATGAGGATCTCAAGTCCCTCTTCAAATAAAGGATAAGGTTGAGTTCCTGCCTATTTTCATTTTGAGATGAAGAGCCCTCAACTACACAGATAGAGCCATCCATGTTGTTGCTCCATTTTCAAGGCTGCACCCAAAAGAAGCAAGCAAGTTGATTTTTACAGCCCTGTTAACCACTCACTGAACTGTCAAAATTTTAATGAAGTCAGGATCAAATTGAACTCTACCTGAGTAAGCAATAGATATTCTCCACGCAATTGCATCCATATTACAGGAATATTTCAGCACAAGATAACAGTAACCAGTGGGAATAATTAAAATTCTTCAATACAAATGAGCATAGATCTTTATCTGAGTGTCTAGAGTTCACTTAACAGAATCAGTATTAACAACAGAGGTATAGTAGATAAAGATTCCATAACAAGAATGTAAACACACCTTGAAAGACCACAAAAGTAAATTAATTCAGTTTACGTGTCTAATTTAGGAGGCTATTAATGTCCTAAGTGTATCGCTATCACTTCTTCCAGTGATATCAAAAGAATTTAATGTGTGACATTTGGACTCATCTGTCTGAATATCATCTACCTTTTTGACCCAAGCTTGGGGACCGCTGTTGGATAACTGTTCTGAAGACAAGACCTGTGCTCCAGTGCTTCCTGTAAAATGGCCTGGTATAGAATTCAGCTCAGCCCAGGCATCAATCTGCAAAAAGAAATGTGATGAATTAGTAAATTTTAGACATTCCTAGAAACCAATCTCCTTGTGGGAGTGCCAGACTGTGTACACATTTAAGAACAAGCACAGGCTTTCGGAGAACAGTGCAGTGCAATAACAAATTTGGAATATTTGCAGTGATTATGGAATGGCTTGGACTACAATTATGGATGGCGTGATTTTAGTATTGAATGAAATATTCTTAAATGCTTAATCTGTATTAATTATATTTTAATTTAATTTTATCTTAAAACACATACAATTCTAATAACATTAAGGCATTGAATAATTGCCTATATGTAAGCCACCTTGAGTCTCCTTCAAGGTAGAGAAAGGTGGGGTATAAATAGGGTAAATAAATAAATAAATATTCATTTCAAAATTATTTTAAATAACATAGTCATAGATTTGGCATCTATGGATTCAATTAACCACAGCTCAAAAATATTCAGGAAGAAGAGCAAATCTTGATTTTGCCAGGTCAAACACTACACAATTATGTAAGCATAATCTGCTACAGCCTCCTGCCAGTTCACAGATTCTCAAAATCTTCCTGGCACTTGTTTGAATGTTATACAAGGGATCCCATTTGACTACACCACTGTATATAATGGGACCTAAGCATCCATGGATTTTGGTTTCAACTGGGGGAGGGGGGGGGGGTCCTAGAATCAGTGGATACCAAGAGCGCACTGTATATGCTGATTTATCCTTCCAAAATCATAACTTTAATTTAGACAAAGAACTTAAAACACTAACAGTTCTAAAATTAACATGAGTAGAAACTTGTGTAACACAAGCATTTCAGCAATCATAGTATGCTTCAGCTTTCATGATTAAGATCCAACAAAAGCTGTAACTTACCCGTTCCTGTGCACGATTTAACAAGCACATTGCCTCTAGATCAAATGTGTTTTCTGTAAGCCTTTTCTGGGCTATAGACCTCTCGCTCAGAGCTGATGAAATATCTACAGGCTAGAAAACAGTACAGATATCAGTTTTGAAATTGAACATATTGCCAATGTATACCTTATGGAGAAAACATTATTTGTGTAAAATCCAGTTTAACATCTTAAGCCACCACAGATGGGCAACTGGATTCCCACCAGCTCCTAGATACCTTGAACACTACACCTGTGTCTGGGAATGACTAGAAGGTCACTGAAGTATGGACTAAATCTACACTCTGCTTTTAGAAACCCTGAACAGCATGGTTTACAGACAAGAAGGAACAGATTTAGTTCAAATTACAATTGTATTGATATGTGTGCCATTCTTAATTTTCTTCCACACAAGAGAATAGTCAGTCCAGCTCCAGGAGAAAAATGTTGATTACAACATCAAGATCCACACTGCAAGAAGCAAATTCTTCTATGAACCCAGGTGCACCAACCATGCTCGCTTTGTTTTGAATAATTAATGTTTTTAGTAGAAAAATAAGGCCACTTTCAGTTTTGGAGGAAGAAGTTGGTGTGCTCAAAAATAGGGAGGGGAGAAAACAGATGAACATTTCATTTAAAAGATACTCACAGAAAACAATATAGAAAGTTTAAAATCTAGGGGGGTGAGGAATAAAGCATGAGAAAGTTCATGAAAAATACATATGCTCAACTAAACAAAGAGCCAAACATACATGGCCCAGGTTAAGACAGGAAGAAGATCTGGGAGAGGCACTAAGAACAAGACCATTAAGATTTCGTCAGAGCAGGAGGTAACCACTGGTGGATGCCTACTTCAGTATGAAAACTCTGAAGTTACCTCGTCTCATCAGTGTATCTCAAGTGTGCACTCAACATATGGAGGGCCAGATGACCTCATGATAAAAACGTAATTTACTTCTGCACACACCCAAATTTTTCTAATGATCCATAATTTTACTAGTGCTACATACATATAATAGCCAAGTCTTCATAAAGTGGACTCAAATCAAGGAAAAGCTTCATGAGAACCACCACTCCTCTTGGTGTTCCCCCAGGAACAGCAGAGTGCCCCTCTGGGCAGCTAAACCAGGAAATCCTAACTGGATGGCCCCCATGAGGGCAGACTCCAGGGGCAAACCAAGAATGGACAACTTGGAAGTCCTTGAACCGACTCAGAAGTGGAATGGGCAGTTCAAAAGACAACCTGGCAAAATGGCACTACCATAAAGAATCCTCCACCTTGTGTGACTGTGGAACAGAGCAAACAACTCCACAATGCCCTGCACCATGTACAGAGGAAGAATTGTTTAAAACTACAGACAATGCGGCCACTGTTGCCTGGTTTTGGTCAAAATTTATTTAGTCGCTTATGCTCCTATTTTTATCAGTTTTATACCTGTTTGTGCAATGCCTTTGACACTAATAAAGAAAGAAAAATAAAGAAGCAAACACTACTGGAATACTACTATTTCACTAGTTATAGAAGTCAACAGAAAATCCTTACATTTAAATAGTTAATTAGCGATTGGCACAGTTAAGCAGCATGATACTAATCTGACCATCTCATTAGTTTTACTGATTCCATTTAACACTGATACAGCACCAGAATCAAACAGACCTTTTAAAGATATTATCGAGAATATACTTCAACACCAGAATTTCTGGCACCAGATATATAAATACATAGAAAAGCTTTCAACATTTTCTCACTATCAGGCAGCTGACAGTTTTGAACATAAGAAACTTCAAAACCAGGTGCAGTTCAGCTTCATTTAAACTAAGTTAGAATCCTCTGTGAGTATCTTATACAATGAGGCAAACAATCTACAAATTGCCTTTAAAAGATTCACAGCAAATACTCCTTATATCTTTCAGCTAACATCTCTATAGCCTTGTATCAACATCTTGCTCCATTTTACCTCCAGATTAGCTGGGTTGGGAAACACATCATCTTTCTTTTCCTCCTTGTCCTTATCAACTGGAACCCATTCTCCATATGCACTATCAGCCTCTTTTTTCCTGTGTTGAGATCCAGAAGAAACCGGAAACTCTTTTGTCAAAGTAACCTGGTTTTTTGGAGGTGGTGGCTTTACAGTCGGAGTCTCAAGAGAGGGAGAAAAAAACATTACAATTCTGAGTATGCATATATTATACATACTGAGTGCATTCCTAGTGCTGCTCAACTAAACCAATGTGTTCTAAACAGTTTATGAAAATTAACGTTCTAATATTCTAGAAATTAGGTTTGCTTTCTTTTTTCACCATTTCCCGTCTTTTTAAGCAGTCATGAATTCTGTAAACATTGTTATCATGGAGATAACAATGTCTAGTCAGAGCTTATCCAAACCTATTGTGAAAAAAAGGGTTATAGACATAGAAAGTAATGGCCCCTTTTCTCTTCTGAATCTTTACAGCACTACTTTCTTGTAGAGGTCAGCCTTGATCACACAATGATGCTTTTTAATCCAACAGCTACTCTGGTATCCTCTGGCAAGTAATTACTTCCTGATTACAAAGCAGGACATTTTCTGGATAAGGCACACTGGGGATGAACGTATTGTTTTGTTATTTTTATAATTAATGCACTAGTTTTGTACAAACAGACTTCCTGTTGTTGAGAAGGGATAACTGGCACAACCCACAAATGGAATTTGCATTATAGCAATCAAACTAGGTGTTCACTGTGTTTCAGTAGCAGAATGAATACCTGAAAATACAGTTAGGAACTTCCCAAGTAGAGTAAATATCAATTTGCAAGGACAGTGTAAAACTCTCACATACTAATTATTATTCTCCAACCAATATGTATATACTCTAGTTTTTAAATGCATTCCAGTTCTAAATTCCAGTTTCCAAAGAAGTGAGTGTATGCCTAGGCCAGTGGTTCCCAACCTTTTTTTTTTTTTTGCCAGGGTCCATTTTGACCAGGGCACACTTGACTAGGGCCTACTTGAACAGGGAGCACTTTGACCAGGGACCACTTTCCAACAATAGCACCAAAAGGGGAAGGGTTGATCATCTCTGTAGAAAGGAGCAGAAATAAAATAAAATATATAAAGAGAAAGGAGGTTTGTGGACTGGATTTTCGTTCTTGCGGGCCACTGCTGGGCACCACTGGCCTAGGCAATTAGTTACTACTTTTTTCAAGAGGGGTCAAAACTAACAATATTGCTTTACAACAAATAATCTTGTAACAAATACTATTATCCCATTTTTCTACTTGCCATGCTTATTTTCCATAAAAGAACACATGGACACATAAAATAATTTTTAAAAGTGCAACTTTAATGACACTTACAGTTAAGTTGAAAAAAATAGGCTTTGGCTCATTGAGTTTAAAGGGATGATTAATAAAAGGATGTTCCTCTTCCTCTTCATCAGATACATGAGGTTTATTCACAATCACATCATCTTCCTGACTTTGGGCTATCTTCTTGCATTTCTAAAAGAAGTCAACCAATATGGATGCTTAATATAAGACAATATGCAGATAAAACTTCTGGGAAAATCCAAGGACCTGCCATATAAGAAGCAAACAACTATCTAGCAGTACCATGACATTGAAGAACTAACTTGAAGCACACTTTGGTTAAATGACTGTATTTCCACTACAACAGAGCGTGCTTAAACTGCCATGAAATTGTCACATGTTAAAGATATGAAGCAGCCATGTAACACCTGCTTGAGAGCTGCTTGTCACATAAGAGAATAATCTTATCACACTTCAACATTAGAGCAATATTATTCTCACATCTTAAAGTGTGTCAAAAACTATATTCTATTCCAACATCATTGTGCCCTACCATAACTCTATCATATTCAAAAATTCTGCAGCTGGTCAGATTTTTATACGTTCAAAGAACCAATATTGTGGAAGTCAATTTTACCAGACAATTTTGCTTTACTTTCACAAGTATTCTTCTTACCTCAGTAAGTTCCAATATTGTTTCTTTTGCTGTCTTAGAAGTAACCTTAGAAGTCTCCTCCTTCTTTTCTGGAGTTACAACAGGCATCAGGCTTGGAGGCAGAGGAACACCAGCCTTAGCACACATGGCAGCTGCATTAGCTTTGGCTATTTCAAGGAGTTGTGCCTTGTCTACAAAAATATTAAGACACTATTACTTTATATTATGTCAGATGTCCCTGCTACAAAGAACACTAGGCATATCTCTAAAAAATAGTGGTACTTTCAATGCTTGACAAGTATTTGTGCCTTTGAAGCCACTTCAGACAATCCCACAGTAGAAGTTTAAAATTAGGCAAAAAGAATTTCCCAAGTTCATCTCTTCAATTCAAGGGTGGGGAAAGTGCAACATGCAGGCCAGGTACACCCCCATGAATCTCACTTCTGCATCACTTAACCCCCCCCCCCATTGTGTCCTCTATAGTCTCATATTTTGACATGATTTTCACATCCATCCCTTCCAATGTGTGTAAACACAAAGAACGTTACTCAATCCCACAGTACCCTCCCTCCCTCTTTTCTCTCCATTTCACTTCAAAAATGGCAATAAAAAGTAACACTGCAATATTTCCCATTGACATTTTAGAGTGAAACAAAAAAGAAACCAGATATTTAAATATTCTTAGAGATATTCTTTGGAGGACTGTAGTAGAAAACTGCCCCCTGGTCCCAGACTTTATCCTTTCTTCTCTATATGGTAGGAAACATTATTCTGTTTTCATCACAAACAAGAGGACTGGGGCTTTTTACAATATGCAGTGCTGCTGGTAGAGTTTGCAGCCCAGGAGGAAAACAAGAATTCTTGTTAAATCACCGATGACTGGAATCATAGGGTTGGAAGAGACCACACCGGCCATCCAGTTCAGCTTTCTGCCATGCGGGAACACACATTCAAAGCAGTCCTGACAGCCCCCAAAGAAGGGGACTCCACCACACACAAAGGCAGCAGAATGTACTGTGAGGAAGTTCTTTCTTATATTCAGATAGTATATATTTTCCTGCAGTTTGAACTCTTTGATATGTGTCCTAGTCTCTTGAGCAGCAGAAAACAAACCTGCTGCATCCTCAATATGACATTCTTTCAAATACTTAAACATGGCTACCTTGTCACCGCTTAACCTTCTCTCCTCCAGATTAAACATACCCACTTCTCTAAAGGTAGAAACAAAGCAGAATCCAATACTGTATGAAAGTTTGATCTAGGATCAAGAAATGAAGCAGAAGATGGAGAAGCTCCATCCACTCGGAAAAAATGAGACCAGAAGTAAACTATGGCAGAGACCATGAGCTAAGACCAAATATCAGAGTAAAACTAAAACAGCACACTAAATCAACTATCATGCCAAATACAACTTGAAGAACACCCTACAGAATTTAAAGATAAAGTAACAAAATAATTTGAACTATTAAGCTTAATTGACCAAGAGCCAGAAGAACTCTGGACAGAAGCCAGGGACATTGTCAGGGAGTAATGCAAAACATAAATAAATCTGCAGCCAAAAAAGAAAGGAAAGCTGCAATGGATGAGAAATAAAACTCTTCCAGCTGTTAAGGACATATGAGAAGGGAAAGTAAAAGGTGACAGAAATAGTCAGAATCTTGAATGCAGAGAAAAAGATGTCACAACAAAAAAGAAGAGACTTCTTCTATAAGATCCAACAAAGTGCAGATGCTCTACAAAGAAGCAGAGGAAATCATTTCATAACCAAGTAGAAATTAAATAATGTAAAGAATACACTGAAGAACTATAGAAAAGATAAGAGGATGACAGGTTCATTAAAGGAGAACTTATCTGAAGATAACTGTATTATTTTAGAAAATAAAGAACCTGTATTCAAAGCACTTGAGAGAAATAAATCACCACCAACAGATGGCATACCAAGAAAGTTGCTTCAACATTCAGATAGAATCTACTCAAGTTCTGACTAAATTCTGAAAGCAATTGTGAAAAATAAAACAATGGCCCACAGAGTGGAAATGCTCACTATACATCCCAAACCGAAGACAGAAGACAACAGGAACAGCAGCAAACACAGGACCACTGCAATCCCCATGCAAGTGAAGTGATGCTCAAAATTGTACAACGAACACTTTTACCATATATGGAGCGAGAAACAGCGGTTGTCCAAGCTGGGTTCAGGAAAGGAAGAGGCACTAGGGATCATGTTGCAAACGTATGTTGGTTAATAGACTTTAACAAGAAATTCACCCTGTGCTTTGTAGCTTGTAGCTAACCTTTGGATTGTGTAGATCATAAAAAATTATGGATTGCTCTTAAGTAAATTGAGGTGTCACAACATTTTATTGCCCTGATGCATAACTTTTACTTGGGACAAGACTATGCCCAAAACAAAACATGGTAAAATGGAATCATTTCCAGTTGGGAAGGAGATTAGGCAAAGCTGAATTAAATCACCTGTCGGTTTAACTTGTACACAAAACATTTCTGACATAAAGTAGGAGTAAACTCAGAGGAAGGAAATGTGAGAACTGGGGAAGGACAAGATATGCAGATGGCCCAATATTGCTAGCAGAAATTAATGAAGTAAAAGAAGGAAGTGGAAAGGCAAGTTTACAGCTGAACATTAAGAAAACAAATCACAGATGATTTACATAAATTTGAAGTAGAAGACATTGAAATAGTTCAAGCTTTTCCATGTTTCGGCTCAGTCATTAGGAGACTACAGTCAAGAAATCAAAAGACTAGGACTTGGGAAGGCACCTATAAGGAAACTAAGCAGGATCTTTAAATATAAAGATATATCACTGAATTGGGATTGCCCATACTATTTTATATCAACTTTCTTTGTATGGTTGTAAAAGCTGGAGAGTGAAGAATGCTGACAGGAAGGAAATTAATTTGAAATGTGGTGCCAGTGAAGAGGTCTGCAGATACCATGGATTCCAAAAAGACAAAACAAGCCTGAACTCTCACTAGAATACAAGATAATTTTATTGAAAGGGTCATATTTTGGATGTATCATGAAAAGACAAAACTAGACACAATAATACTTGGTAATGTTGAAGGCAGTAGGAAAAGATGATCTCATCACAGATGAATGCTCAATCAAGGATGCCATAGCCCTGTGTCTGCAAGACCTGAGCAGGTCTGTTGATGACAGTGTCACCTGGAGGTCTCTCATTTAGAGTCGCCATAAATCAAAGTTGACTTGACTGCAGTTAACAGCTGAAACTGACTTTTTGTTGAAAATTGAGTCCAATCGTAAGGTAGAGTCTAGCTCTCCAACTGATTTGAAGTTGACGTCCATGTCAGTTATAGTTGTAACAGAAAATTGTGAGTCCCCAGTGTAGATGGATAAAGCTCAATTCTGATGCATTTTATAATCCCATGAGAATTCCAATATATTGAAAATTACGCTTACTGCATAGATTACCTCCACACATTTTATATCCCCCAAAGAGACTAACAATTCTAATGCACAGCCTTATGAATATGGCCAAACTATTACCAGAACATTTAACTTCATTTTCTCTGCACTAAGATTTGCCAAAGAGCAGCATGGAAGATTTTCCATCCTAGTATACTACATTGGATGGAACAAAATGGTACAGCAATGGCAAAAAAACAATTGATTTCTCAGAACACTCTCTGTCCCAATTCTGCTTGACAAGTGACTGAAATTATGGGCACTGTTCACAGCTCTCCTGGGGATGATGTTACAAGTATCATTCTATATAAATTCTGTAACAAAACATGATTCTGTGAAAACTAAAATGCCCCATTTGAGTGAGCAGGATATTTAAAGCACTCTTGAAAAATTAACATGCCTCAAAGTTACACTGCATACTTATACTCCTAAAAAACCTTCAATTTTTCTTTACTATGAACACGTTACTTTGTAATGCATCGTGTGAAAATATAATTTACATCTGCTTCCACTTGTATTGACAACAAAAGCATATTCTGAAACTTGTGTTAAGAAGCATGTTGCCATTTACAGAACAGAAAATTATCACAATTAAGAAATGTAAAAGAAATCTGAAAAATAAGAACACATTAATTTACTTTAAAATATAACTATGCAAAAAAGACTGCAGGTGATGAATTACCCAAGTCAGTTAGACGTTTAGGTGATCTGCTAGAAGATCTGGATCTTCGGGTATCAGGTGATTTACTGGTGCTTCGTCTTCTTACTGCGGACCTGGATCGTCCTAAACGGACAGGTGATCGACTTCGGGACCGTAATCTGAGAGAGATTCTGTAACTGTCTCTTGAATCAGACCTCTTCCTCCTCCGATCAGGAGATCGTGATCTGTTTCTTCGAGCTCTCCTACGCCTTTCCCTTGATAAAGATCGTTGTCTTGACAAAGACCTTGATCTGGTCCTCCTCCAACGTCTTGAACGTGATGGAGATCGACTTCGTGACTGTGTTCGTGATCGATGGCCAGATTTTGATCTGGAAAGCCTTCTCCGTGTTAATGATCGGGAACGATTCCTTTTAGACCGTGAAACTGTTCTACGTCTTCGAGATCTGTTTTCTGGGGATTTAGAGTCTTTACTCCTTGATCTTCGTAAATTCTCTCTCTCACCTGATTTATCTACAGATTTGGACCTAGATCTAGATTTGCGTTGTTCAGGGGATTTTGCACGACTAGTTGTAGATTTATCCAAAGATTCAGCTTCTTCTGTTTTTTCAACAGATTTGGACTTTGATCTCTGTCTGGAGACTTTCTCTGTTGATGCATCAGAAGACTCTTTGTCTTTTCTTCTTTCAGTAGATTTGGATCTGGATTTTGATTTAGACACCCGACGATCTGATGATTTGGATTTTCTATGTCTAGACCTAAGTGAAGCCTCTTCTTTTTCAACAGATTTGGTTCTAGATTTGTGATCAGCAGATCTGGATCGTCTCCTCTTTGATCTTGCTGAAGTTTCTACATTATCAACAGATTTGGATCTAGATTTGTGAGTATCAGAAGATCTGGAACGTTTCCTTTTTGCCTGCACCGAAGCTTCTCTTTTCTCAGCAGATTTGGATCTAGATTTACGATCAGAAGATGATCGCCTTCTCCTTCTCCTTCTTGAAGTTTCCCTTTTATCAACCGATTTAGACTTAGATCTGCGATTATCGGAGGATCTGGATCGTCTTCGCCTCGTCCTTACTGAAGTTTCCCTTTTATCAACCGATTTAGATTTAGATCTACGATTATCGGAGGACCTGGATCGTCTTCGCCTTGTCCTCAGTGAAGTTTCCCTTCTGTCAACAGATCTGGACTTAGTTCTGCGATTATCGGATGATCTGGATCTCCTTCTCCTCCTCAATGAACTTTCTCTTTTATCAAGTGACCTGGACCTAGATTTCTGCTGATCAAAGGACCTAGATCGCCTGCGCCTTGCCCTTACAGTAGTCTCTCTTCTGTCAACAGATCTTGATCTAGACTTGCGTGTATCAGGAGACCTAGATCGCCTGCGTCTTGTTCTCACCGAAGGTTCTCGTTTATCATCAGCTGATCTGGACCTTGATTTATGACGATCAGAGGATCTAGACTGTCTTCGACGAGTTCTTACTGAAGACCCCCTTCTATCTAGTGATCTGGATCTAGTTCTACCACGATCAAAGGACTGAGATCGCCTTCGTCTTACTCTCACTGCAGTATCTCTTTTGTCAGCTGATCGTGATCTGGATTTCCGTTGATCAGAAGATCTGGACCGTCTCCGCCTTGATCTTAACAAAGCCTCTCTTCTTTCTACAGATCTTGATCTAGATTTGTGTTTATCAGAGGACCTTGACAATCTTCTTCTTCTAACTGATCTTCTATCAATAGATCTTGATCTAGACTTGCGATGATCAGAAGACCTAGAACGTCTCCGCCTTGATCTTACTGAAGTTTCTCTTCTGTCTACAGATTTCGATCTAGACTTCGATCGCGATCGTCTCCGTCTGGACCTCAAAGATTCTTTATCCTCTTTTTTGTCAACAGATTTTGATCTGGATTTATGACGTGATACAGAGCGTTTTTTCCTGGAACGGGAATCATGCTTACTTCTAGAGCGTTCTCTTCTTGAGGCTACCTGTCTAGTAGTAGAATGTGATCTAGACTTTTTTTTATGTTTTTTGGACTTTGAAGGGGATTTTGATCTACTCTTTTTTGCTTTTTTACTACTTTTACTTTTATCTTTACTTTTGCTACTTGTTTTCTCATCTTTCTTTTCTTTCAAAATGCTTCCTTCACGTTCTTTCAGTATGACTACAGTCTCTGTAACAGCTTCTGAATCTTTATCCTTCAAAGAGTCCTGTACAACTGTTTCCAAATCCTTTTCATTTGTTACATGCATAGATTTAAGAATTGTTTCTGAGTCTTTTGCCTCTACAATTACTTGTTCTCTGGATTTCAAGTCCTTCTCTGCCATATTCACAGACTCCAGAACTGGTTCTGAAACTCTCAAATCCAGTTTTATTTCTTGGACAAGTTCCAAGGGCTCTTCAGCTACTGGGCATGCAGCTGAAGTTGCTTTTGAATTTTGTTCCTCTACTGTGGCCTGTGGAATTCCACTCAAATCTTTTTTCTTCACTGAACTCAAAGATTCTGAAGCTGTTTCTGACTGTTTCTCTTCTATAGTGACCTCTGAAATTATTTTTGAACTACTGGCTTCTGTAACATGTTCTGCAGTTGATTCTACAGCTTTCATCTCTGCTCTGCATATACAACTCAAATTTTCTTCTGAAACATCTTTGCTATTTGTATGCACATATTCAGAAGGTAGTACAGAATCTTTCATATGAACACCCTGGATAGGATCTAGAGAGCCTTCAGAGGTTTTTCCTTCCAACAAAAGCACAGAAGTTGAATCTATGGTTAACAAAGATTTTGACATTCCTTCAAGAGCCATTTGGTCTTTGCCGTCTGTTGATGTTTGGGTAACTTGAAGAACTTTTACCTCCTCGCAAGATTCACATTTGTTAGCTGCCTCAAAGTCTTTTGATTGCTTTGTGTGCATAGACGTTAGGACACTTCCAGATTCAAAACATGTTTCTGCAACTTTTAACTCTAGGGCCATTTCTGAATTTAAATTTTTGACATCTGTAACATATGCTACTTCAGCAACAGATTTAGGACATTCATTTCCCACTAAAGATGCATGTTCTCCATCTACACAAGCATCCTTTACATCTGATGTGTGAATACTTTCCAGAGAGATTTCTGAACATTTTTCTTCAACATGTGGTTCTAACTGTAACTGCTTTTCTGGCTCTTTTACTGCTTCTACAATCACAGATGATACAACAGATCCAAAACTAGCTAAAGGTAACTGTTGATTAGCTTCTGAAACACCTTTTTCAGGTAGATGACTGCCTTCCAAATCTGTTGCCCCCACTCTATACAAAGAGGATTCTAAATATTTTATTTGTTGAGCATATTGGGGTTCTAAAACAGTTCCTAGATCTTTCATCTTGTCTGGGTATACTTTTTGTGATACTAATTCTGAAAATTTCCCGGTAATCTGCTCAGAAACTGGTGGAGTCTTCTGTGCAACATTGTCAGCGTCTGAAGTGGCTTCAAATGACTTTATTTCTAAATTATTTCCTGGTTTTACGTGCATCTGAGAGTCACTTATTTCTAACACTTCTGCCTCTTGAACAGTTCCAGAAGATGTAAAATCTGAGGTATGTTTTAGAATACCTGCAGAGTCTGTTTCGACTGAGACTGATTCCGAAGGTTTTAGTTGTGGTGTGATTTGTTGTGCTGCAGTGGTCACTGGAGAACTGCTATCCTTTTTTCCCAACATTCTTTCATAGTTTACTTGTCCTGAATCTTTTGTTTCTATTTTTGACAGAGGTTGTGTATTGTCATCTAAATCCATGGGGTCCAACATAAACTGAGGCTTTGAAGTTGTTTCAAGCTGCAAAGTTGTTTTTGAAGTGTTCTTTTCTGTTTCATCTAGAACACCAGAATTTGCCTCTGTAATTTTGACATCCATCTTAAACTCTGTCAAGTTCTCCTTCTGTGAAACTATTATGGAGTCTGTAACTGGTTGAGAATATTTTAATAGCAATTTTACATCTTGCCCTGTATCTTTTCCAGAACCTTTCTCTTCTGCTTTGCCTGCAGCCATTGACAAGTCTTCTATAATCTGTGTTGATTCAGGTCTTCTAAATGTTTCTGCACCACTTGCATCAATGTTCGGAGATAATTCTGTATGCATAGAAAGCATTTTCTTCTTTTCCAAAGTAGTTTCCTTTTGACAGGTTTCTAAATCTTTTGCCTGTATCATGGAAATAGGCTTAAGAGTTTCTTTTGTTATGTCCACAGATTCCTTTGCTCCTTCTGATTTTTCTACAGTCACTACTGTTTCAACTGCTTTGGCAATTTTTAGTTCTTTATCTTCATCTTCATGGACAAAGGAAGGAACTGGTTTTTTATCTACTGTACCTAGTGTAAACAAAGGAACGTCTCCTGCTTTCTTAACCACTTCACATTTTTTAGATTGTGGAGCTACTCCCAACTTCTCATTTTCATTCAAATGTAGAATTTCTGTATGTGCTTCCAAGTTTGTAATGGGTGATGCTTTACTCCTGACCACTGGCTCAGGCTCATGAAATACCGATACATGTTGTAATTCAAGGAGTTCATTTTTCTTTTGTGTTTCTGACACAAGTTTTGGAAGATTCTCTCCCATTTCTACACCTGCTTTGAGGGTAGATTCTGAATCAATGTTCAAGTGTTTTACGTCAGCAATTCTAGATTCTGACGTTGTTTCTGAATTTTTCACTTGAATGACGTAGAACGATTTGGGGATAGTCTCTGAACTGGGTTCTTCCAGATGCACAGATTCTGAATGTACAACCTTATTATTCGCCTCAGATTCTGGAAATTGAATCGGATCTCGTTCTGATACATACAGAGATTCTGAAGGTTTTACAAATTCTGTCATTTCTGTCCTTTCTTCAGATTTCTGTTTCTGTACTTGATTACTTGATTCAGCTGGAAACTGGAATTCTGAACTTCTTTCCGTGCACTCAACTTCCAAATCATACAGAGAATCTAAATTTACCTCCTTTGCTTTTAGATTTGTTGGCAATGATTCTAGAGTTTTCTTGGGACTATGCACATCAAAACTTGTTACAGATCCTTCACTTTCTTTTAACCTTTGTAGAACTTCTATGGCCTCCAATTCTTGAACTGTTTTTGAACTTATAATAACCCCCTTTGAAGTTTTTGAAGTTAATAACAGGCTTTCACTCTCAGTTCTCAGTTCATCTCCTGTTGTTTTTTGAGAGCCAGTATTCACTTCTTCATATTTTGGTGAAATCTGCAAATTGTCTGGACCTGAATTATCCTTCTTCATAATCTCAGTGGTATCAGAAGCTTTTTCCTGTAATGCAGGCCAGTAAGAAACAGTCTTATGTTCCAATGCTGCTTCCACTATTTTCACATTTTTGTGCAAACATTCTATTTTCTTCTGCAAATCATGCAACCCAGCCATCATTTCAGATTCTTTGACTTTTTTAATATTTTGTGACTCCAAATTGTTTGTATCCATTATGTGTGGTGACTGTGGAACTAATTCTGGACTCTTCAATTTTATTGTGATCTTCGGTTCTGTATGAAGTTCTAGATTTTGTTCTGAATAATTTGCAAATATCATATGCAATGAGTCTGAGGTAGGATCCACATCTCTCTCCTCTAATGTTCCTTCCTCTAGGTCAGTTGGTAAATCTTTTTCTTGTGACATTGCATCAGACATTGCATCTTGTGACATTGCATTCCTTTCGTTTACATGCTGGGAATCTGAAGGGCTTTCTATATTTTTCAGAATTACTGAAGACTCTGAAACTGTTTTCATACTCTTCAGATTCATTATTGTCTCAGTTATTTTGTTTGCACATTTTGAAACTTCCAGATTGTGTGGCTTTGCTATATCAGTAATTCCTGTAGCTGCTTCTAAACCACAAATCACTGAAACAGGTTTAGCTTGTGAAATGCTTTCATGAATTTTCACCTCAGTCATAGGTTCAGAATCTTTAGCTACTCCTGAATCTTGCTTTTCCTCCACAACAGCTTCAAAAGATGTCTTGAGAGAGCTATTTGCCTTCACAGCTTCCTCAGATTCTTGAGGAGGAGCAATATCCATCAAATCAACCACCCTAAAAGGTTCTGGAACAGTATTCAACTTTTCCTTCTCTGTTGCAGATTTTACAAGATCTGTCTTATTCATAATTCCCAGTTCTGCTGTTCCTGTAACATCTTTTGCATCTTTTTCAACTTGTAACTGTCTTGGATATTTTTCTGAACCTTTCAACTCCATCCTAAAACCACAGGCTTGGGTTTCTCTTAATTTTCTTGCTTCCGCCTCATTATCAGAAGTTGCGTTCATACACTTTTGCTCACCAACTTCTACAACTTTTAAGTCTGTTTCAGAGACTACATGTAGAGATTCTGGAGCAGCTTCTGGATCTTCTGCTCCAGACTGCAGAGCTTTGGGCAAATCTTGCATTGTGATATGTCTCCCAGAGTCATGAACAAAATCATCTTTCATATCTGCAAGTGGAGTATGTTTGGGACTTCTTTCAGGAGCTTTTACCTTTGCTATATTCAAAAAATCTGAAGTCGCTTCAAAATCTTTCCCTACAACCATAGCCAAAAATCCCAAGGTTGACACTGAATCTTTGGCTTCTCCACTTGCCTCCAAGTGAGGCAAAGCAGATATTTCAAGTGAGGCTGATACTGATTGTTCCATGCTTCTTTGATTTAATGAGTTTGTAACAGAACTCAAACTTTTAACCTCTACTATGTCAGATTCCAGACCGGGTTCTAAGACTTCCAGCTCTACTGCTATAGAATGTGAACTGTTTTCAGGAACATTTTGTTTTTCTGTTGCCTCCAATGCTGAACTGATTTCACTTTGTTCCACATAAAAAACTCCATCTTTGATCACATTTAGAGCATTATGTTCAGCTTCAGCCATTCTTAAAGATTGATCTTCTATGCACAAATTCATAGTGTGGCCAGTAGCTTTAGTAGTATCTCCCTCACTTGCAAGCTCAACCTCAGAAAACGCCTGAGAATCTTCTTTAGATGTCTCCAGTTTGCTATTATCTGAACTGGTACTGTCTGAATTTGGCATGGCTGAGTTTTTATTTTCAAATGCAGTTTTTTTCTGAACTGATACAGAAGCATGTTTTAAGGCAGATACAGATTCTGTATTCACATCATCATCTCCACTTAATGTGAGCCGGATGTTTTCTGGCTTTGAGCGCAAAACAAGCTGCAAATCCCTGCATTCTTTCTGATTCACTTTTGATTCCTTGGACTGTTTTTTATGTTTCTTCTCCTTTTTCTCCTTCTTTCGCTTCTTTTTCTTCTTCTTATCTTTATGCTTCTTGTCTTTCTTAGACTTTTTCCTTGGAATTTCATCTTGCACTTCTTCAGATAACCCCCTTTTAGCAGAGCGTGATTTAGTTCTCACAACATCCTCTCTACCATCTGAAAAAGAGTAAAAAGTAAAATATAAATATTTTCTCAAAATGGCATAAAATACAGAAATGGAGAATGACTAGATTAATTACTTTATATAAAATTACAGCTTGAAATTGAAAGATGCACATGGGATCACTCCCCCCCAACCATGTATTAATATATTTGATACATCCGCTATCAAGAAAAAGAAACTTCATACTATTTGTGCTCCACTAGCGAAAGAATAGGGATATCAGTGCAAGTTTTAATCTATAAAGCCCTATACGGCGTGGATACAGGTTACTCTTTATGAACCTGTTTGAAAACTACGATTCTCTGGGGAGGGCTTCTTCTGTCCCACCACCAGTTCAAGTGCATTTGGTGAAAACACAGGAGAGGGCCTTTTTACTGGCTGCTCCCTGACTCTGGAACTCCCTCCCTAGAGTCCAGGATGGCCCCATCCCTGCTTGCCTTCTGCAGACAGGTCAAGACCTTCCTGTGCCAGCAGGCATTTGGGAGAGGATGAGGAGAATGCTAGGTTGAGTGGGAGTGAGAGTTGGGAAGATATTTAGTTTTAAATGAAATTTTAATTGTATGAGTATGTTGTTGTTGTTCATTTGTTCAGTCGCTTCCGACTCTTCATGACCTCATGAACCAGCCGACGCCATGAGTATGTGTATTGTTTTTTAAACTTTATTTTGTGTTCATGACACAAATATTTAATTTTTGTATTTGCCATGTTTCTAAATTTATTGAGTTGTGTCACGTTATTGTAAGCCGCCTTGAGTCCCCATGAGATGGAAGGTGGGGTAGAAATAAAATGAAACAAAATAAATATCACATACATATTTTGAGTGATCATCTATTGAACCACTCATGACAGGTGACAGACGCCAGTAAGCATGCAAAAAATCCAAAAAAGCAAGGCAGGAACACATGAGTCCAAAACTCATCCTCTTAAGGCAACGTTAATTGAAAAAAACAGAAACAGGAGGCAATCAGATGATCATTTAAAGACACAGCTCAGATAGTCCCCAAACAAGATGTAGGTTTGTTCTTAAGCTGAATTTGTTTGTACGTTTGAATAGGTAAATTTCTTTAAGTGTGGTGTTTGTTTTGCTTTCTGAGCCACTCTTCAGAAAATTTCATCTCATTTTCTGTCCCTGTCATAATTCAATTATGAAAAAATTGCCTTGTTGTGGAAACAAGGATTGGTGAGAAAGCTTCAGTGGAAGACACCCTTTTCCCATGATAATAACTCATTCAGAAGTTAATTTCCCTTCCTAGGAGTCAATTTCTCTCACTTCTGTTGTCTCACCCTACATTCTTAACTGTGAGTTGTTTGTACGTTCAATGTTTATAACTCAGGAGCTGCCTATACATGCTCTAATGTATTTTATTCCATCACAAAGTTCCCATCATTTTCTTCCCAGCTGCCACATTATACAGAAACTGAACATACATTCAGGAAGGTTCTGCACATAATGCAACTCTAACCAGTATAAAAAATACTGGTTTGGAGCTGCATTATAGCTACACAGGGCTGCTGATCACCTGGGAGGCAGGACAGTCGCCCTGCAGACCAGCCCTGCTGTAACTGGGAATGAAGCAGGTTTCCAAACTCCCCAGCACACCAATTCCCCCTTCCCCCCACAAAAAAGACAGAAAAGTAGCACTTACCTTTACTTGCATACGCTTTACTTCCTGATTCACTCCACATGACTGAACAAAGCAACTTTGGAGGAGCTAGCCCTCTTCACTCCTCTCAAGCTGCCAGACTCAGTCACATAAGGCAAATAATGAAGTGGAGTCTGCAGATCAAGGTAAGTACTACTCTTCTGTCTGTAGGGGATCAGCCATCCTGACTCCCTTGGCCGTTCAAGCCTGGGGAGTGTATGATGGCTTTAGGGACATGATCCTGGATCCCACATAGGGATCCGGGATTACTCTCCCCATTTCCCCAACACAAGGGATCTGAATTCTGGAGAAGGCTCATTAAGCAGCTTACCCTAAGTTAAACTCATATCAGCCTCCATGCTTATGCGACTCTACACTGCATTATTTCGCAGTGTAGAACTACTCGCAGCCCCTACTAGAATGTTTCAAATAGAAAGCTGCCCTTCCCTGGTTATTTTAAAGGCTTTTGTTCTTCTGAAAATTGCAGGAGGCCCTGAAACATGGAGATGCTTCACTCTCATTTTTCAAAATTCCCATTTTACTCTATTTTTGGCATCAGTCATCATTTGAGTTTGTTATCACTGAGCGATATTAGCACTGGATAACCTAGAATTAGATTTTGGGACTTAGGTTGTGAGACCTAAGTCAGAGCTAATCATATTTTTCACAAAATATTCTATTTTGTCTGGGTGAATTCTATTGATTGATATTAGGGATAACTCAACTAGATTCAGTCTTGTTTAATTGGGGGTCCTTCACCCATTCTCCCAGCTAGCCCTCTACCTCACCTCCTCCACATCTACCTCATGGTGCAATGCAAAGTCCTTGCTTTGCCAATAAAAACTCCAAATTGCTGATATATAACTACAAATCATATTTCTAGTTAAACCTGCTATTTTATATGTAGTAAACGTAAGTGTCGAGCCTGTTTCCCCCCCAACTTTACACAAATAAAACAGTCCCTGCTTAACAGTACGTACATTGTTAAACAAGGACTTTTTATTTCCCCTGTATCTGTGGATTATACACTCCCATTTAATAATAATAATAATAATAATAATAATAATAATAATAATAATAATAATAATAATAAAATTTACTTAACAGTTACAGCACACATAGAGTTGTATTGAGAGTACCTACAGAGGACCTAATTCAATAGAATATGATATGACCAGGAGCATACCATCCGCTGATACAGGGGTTGTTACTCAATGAGATTTTATCATTCAGAACTAGGTTAGCTTTCTGGAGAAAATAAATACAGACTGCACTTTTTGACATAAAATGCACGAAAATTTACTTAACCAACATTAAAATAATCAAAAAAATACATTTTAAATTCATCAATTTACATGATGTTTATAATTTAATTTTAAGCCAGTCTGCTCAAAAATTAAGTCCCAATGTTCAGTTAAAATGGTATGGAATTGCAGTCTTGAAAGCATATTTAGTCAAATGTAAATTTTACACACCACACATAATAATCTGTTTTTCCAAGTACTAGACCCATCATTTCAAACGTTTCTGCCATAGCAGGCTAAAATATATATTGTGAGCTTTAAATCCACCTGACAGGTTGACAATACTTTGCCCCTACGAAATATAAATATGTAATCCTACACATTTAGAGAAAGCTACACTAAAATCACTGAAAATTGTATACCTGGTTTGTACTGTGATTCTGCTCCCAACACTTCTGATAATACTTGTTCTATCTTCTGCACCAGTGGATCATTCTGCAGATTCCCAACGGATCCAACGCTGTCATCTGAAGGACTGGTGTGTTCAGGTGAGTTTATTTCCCCATTGTATTGACTTCCCAACTTTCCACTAATTGGGAAAAAACATTTTAAATGTAAAATAAAATTTCCTTAATATAATACAGGCCTTTATTCTGCATGTTTGCTATATTTGAAATTTTCATACATATTCATGCAATCTTATTCTTCTTAAACAATATATGGTCTAACGTAAATCCTTCAGTTGTTACCATTATATCCTAACCTTAAGGGAAATAGCTCTGCACTGGCAGGATATGGAGTTCACAGAAATTTAGCAACAACAAAAACCACATGTTTATTTCTGGATTCCTACTGTGTTAGAACAGATTTATATAGAAAATGAGCATTCTTTATTCAAATTCCAAAATACTTCAAAATTGTCCACATTGTGAGCTGAAATAGTGACTTCTTTGTATATATCTTTATTTCATGCACAAAATTATTAAAAATATTATATATATAATTGTATACAGGCTGTATATGTAAAAAGTTTAGACTTGCATATGCAAATACAGGCATGTCAAAAAATAATGATTAAAAAGTCCCAAATCCAAAACATTTCTGGTTTCAAACATTTTGGATAAGGGATACTCAACCTGCCCATTTTACAGCCTGCTTATACTGCCCATTTTAATTAGTTGTCATTGCTGCATTTTATTGAGGATTTTATTTAAATTGAGTTGAGCTTTTTCATATTTTGTAAGTGCTCTTTTATGTTGTTATTGTTATAAATGTTGATGTATTTTATTTGTATTTTATGTGTTCTTATGGAACTATCATTTATTACTTCATAAGCCACCCTGAGTCCCTTCTAGGAGATGGTGGCAGGACATAAATAAAGTGATGATGATGATGATGATGATGATGATGATTATTATTATTATTATTATTATTATTATTACTATTAACCTGTATGGCTTGAAAATAGAAAGTAAAATCTTTTATGCACTCGTATTTTCAATTATAGAAAAAATACACGCATCAGTAACTATACTGCACATTCATATTCCTTCAGGGACACTCAACTTGGCCAGCTTCTGGTCAAAGGAAATTTAGAATCATGCCAAGTTTTTGTGGTATTTTAAAAAAAAATCCATTATAACTGTATTCTCAATTTGCTTCTGACACAAAAAAATAGGTGCACTGCATATTTTGAGTATATTATCTACAGTTGATTTTTTTTCAAAATAATCCAACTGTGGGTAGAACAGACAGACTATAAATATTCTACCTTGTCTCCTGTACCATCAGTTGGGAGCCCTCCCCCCTAGCAAAAATATAGTACTATACAATACTAATATTGTGATATGATATTAATATATTGTATATACATATAATATTGATAATAATATTAAAATGTAATACAATATAATGACACAGTACAATATAGTAATATATAATGCTAATATTGTGCTATGCTATAATAAAACACATTTATGTACATACTAGCTGTACCCGTCATGCGTTGCTGTGGCCAACCTTCCCTTCCTCTGTCTTTCCTTCCTTCCCTCTTTTTCTTTTCCTTCTTCTTTCTACCTTCTCTACCTGTTTCTTTCCTCCCTTCCTTTGCTCTTTGGTTCCATCCTTCCTTGTCTCTTTCCTTCCTTCCTTCCTTCCTTCCCTCCCGCTTTCGTTCCTTCTCTCTCTCTTTCCTTCCTTCTTTCACTTTTTTATTTCCATCTCTCCTTCCTTCGTTTTCTACCTTTCTTTCCTCCTTTATTCACTTTTTCTCTCCCTCCTTCCTTCCCCCTGTCTTTGTATATGTGTTTTGTGAGTGTGTATCCATATATGTGTGTATATATTTGTGTGTATGTGTATATATGTGTGTTTGTTTATATATGTGGTTTTGCGCATGTGTTGTAATGCATTTTTTAAATTTTTTGCTTTTTAAATCTTTTCTGGTGTGTTTTTCAGTGTTTTTATGAGTGATGATCACTCGTTGGTGTGAGAGGTGTACTGTGCCCAAATTTGGTGTCAATTCATCCAGTGGTTTTTGTGTTACGTTAATCCCACAAATGAACATTACATTGCTATTTATATAGATAATTGTAAGCTGCTCTGAGTCCTGTTCGGGGTGAGGGGGTGGGATATAAATGTAGTAAATGAATAATAAATACAAATAAGTACAAGTCATAGCAACACCAGAAGTGACTTGCAGTTTCTCCTGACTCGAAAAAAAAGCAACAATTTTGGTTGTATATAATACAGGGTGTTTCAAATGGGCCTGGTTCCAAAGCACTATATTTAATGGTGGAAACGTGTTAGAATTATACAAAAAGTTACAAATGGTATAAAAGGGCCATCCTGTTATCTAGTTTTACAAGCCATTTGGAGCCAGAAACAAATATTTTTGAATAACAGGCCTGGGCCAACTTGGGCCCTCCCTCCAAGTGTTTTGGGCTTCAACTCCCACCATTCCTCACAGCCCCAGGCCTCTTCCTTTCCCCCTCCCCGCTTAAGCGGCTGAGGGGGAAAAGGAAAGGGCCTGAGGCTGTGAGGAATGGTGGGAGTTGAAGTCCAAAACACCTGGAGGGAGGGCCCAAGTTGGGCCAGGCCTGAACTAACTTAACTCCGTGGAAACCTCAACAAATCCCATCTCTGGGGCCCTTCAAACGCTGGGTGCCAGGTCGGCTTCGGCTGGGGCATCTTCTGTGGAGGGACATAAAGTTCCCTCCCGATTATCGTGTGTCCCTTCCGGCCAATCTCGCTTCCCTCCCCCCCCCCTCCCTTCCCTTCCCGCCCGTTACTCCGCCTCCCGCCCCTCAGCGCCGTTTTCCGCCGCGCTTCCCAGCCTCCCCCTTCCCCTCCTCTTTCCGGAGCCCCTCACCCGCCGAACTGCTGATCCTGGATCTCCCGAAACTTGCTGACGACAAAGGACCGGAAAATCTGCTCGATGCTGGTCGCCATGACAGCCTCGCGCAGCACGGCCTCCTTTCTTCTCCTCCTCCTCCTCCTCCCCCCGTTCGCTTTCCGAGACGCAGGTCCGCCTGCGCTCTACAATGCAACACCGGAAGCAGACGCGGCCGCCCTATTCCGTCACTTCCTCTACGCGCTCTCCGGCCTCTGATTGGCTCGCATCCTCGAAGGGGGCAGGGGACCGAGCCGGCTAGCTCAAGAGTCCTACGTCGCGTGCCGGCGGTGAAGAAGAGGCCCTTCTTGCCAGGACGGAGGGGCATCTCTATGGCCAAAAGGCCGGTAGTTAAAAGGACTCAGACGGACAGCGCCGCCATGTTGTTGACGCCTTGGCTCAAGGCGGTTCTTCCTCGCACGATTTGAGATTAAAACAGCATCTGTATCAGGCATGGGTCAACTTGGGCCCTCCAGGTGTTTTGGACTTCAACTCCCATCATTCCTAACAGCCTCAGTCCCTTTCCTTTACCCCCTCAGATGGGAGTTGAAGTCCAAAGCACCTGGGCATAAGCGTCTTAGAGGGGAAAGGAAGGGGCCTGAGGCTGTTAGGAATGATGGGAGTTGAAGTCCAAAGCACCTGGGCATAAGAGAGATGGGCCAAAATTAACAAAATGAAGTTCAACAGTGACAAATGCAAGATACTCCACTTTGGCAGAAAAAACGAAATGCAAAGATACAGAATGGGGGACAATGCCTGGCTCGAGAGCAGTACGTGTGAAAAAGATCTTGGAGTCCTCGTGGACAACAAGTTAAACATGAGCCAACAATGTGATGCGGTGGCAAAAAAGCCAATGGGATTTTGGCCTGCATCAATAGGAGTATAGTGTCTAGATCTAGGGAAGTCATGCTACCCCTCTATTCTGCTTTGGTTAGACCACACCTGGAATATTGTGTCCAATTCTGGGTACCACAATTCAAGAGAGATATTGACAAGCTGGAATGTGTCCAGAGGAGGGCGACTAAAATGATCAAGGGTCTGGAGAACAAGCCCTATGAGGAGCGGCTTAGGGAACTGGGCATGTTTAGCCTGAAGAAGAGAAGGCTGAGAGGAGATATGATAGCCATGTATAAATATGTGAGAGGAAGCCACAGGGAGGAGGGAGCAAGCTTGTTTTCTGCTTCCCTGGAGACTAGGATGCGGAACAACGGCTTCAAACTACAAGAGAGGAGATTCCATCTGAACATGAGGAAGAACTTCCTGACTGTGAGAGCCGTTCAGCAGTGGAACTCCCTGCCCCGGAGTGTGGTGGAGGCTCCTTCTTTGGAAGCTTTTAAACAGAGGCTGGATGGCCATCTGTCAGGGGTGATTTGAATGCAATATTCCTGCTTCTTGGCAGGGGGTTGGACTGGATGGCCCATGAGGTCTCTTCCAACTCTTTGATTCTATGATTCTAAGCGTCTGAGAGGGAAAAGGAAGGGGCCTGAGGCAGTTAGGAATGATGGGAGTTCAAGTCCAAAACACCTGGGCATAAGCGGCTGAGGGGGAAAAGGAAAAGGGACCTGAGGCTGTAAGGAATGGTGGGAGTTGAAGTCCAAAACACCTGGAAGGCCCAAGTTGGCCCATGCCAGTGCTAGCTAATCCAGAAGGCCAAATCAGACACAGATGGGGTAGATGGCAAAACCAGAGGTTTATTGTCAATGCAAAGAGGCAGCCTGGCCCAAATGGGAACCGAGGAGATGAGGATGAGAGGCTCCATGTGTGGGATGGCAGGACATTTTGAGTGAAAATTAAAATCCACTAATTATAAGCCAGTATAATTATTTATTTATTTGAAACATTTATATTCCGCCCTTCTCACCCCGAAGGGGACTCGGGGGGAGCACAGCATATATACAGCAAACATTCAATGCCGGGACGAGAAATGATATAAGTATGCATAAACATTAAAAACATTTATCAAAATATTAAAATACACAATTTAAAACCGTCATTGGTCACCTGTGTCCAATCTTTATTTATTTATTTATTTATTTATTTACTATATTTGTATACCGCTCTTCTCAGCCCTAGGACGACTCAATGCTGTTAACAATAGCAAAATTCAATGCTCCAGAACAGGGGGTCCTCAAACTAAGGACCGGGGGCCAGATACGGCCCTCCAAGGTCATTAACCTGGCCCTTGCTCAAGGTCAACCTAAGTCTGAAATAACTTGAAAGCACACAACAACAACAATCCTAACAAACCCACACTTTCCATTGAAATACTAATAAGTTTATATTTGTTAAAATTGTTCTTCATTTTAATTATTGTATTGCATTTAAGTGTTTTTTGCACTTCAAATAAGATGTGCAGTGTGCATAGAAATTCATATTTTTTTCAAATTATAATCCTGCCCTCCAACAGTTTGAGGGACTGTGACCTGGTCCTCGGTTTAAAAAGTTTTTGGATCTGATATCGAGCTGCTTTTAGGAGGGTCTCCCCAGCCGAGGAGATCCCTGAGGACTGCGCCAAAAAAGGGTCCTAAAACCTTGGTGAGGCCAGCGGAAGCCAATTTCAACGATTAAAATATTAAAAATAATAAATCCTCACCAAAGCGGAAGAAGTTTCAGCGACCGAGGTGTTTATTAGCGATTCAGCTGTTATCGGATGCAAAAGTAGGGATAATTCCACTACAAGCATAACGCTAGTGATTTTACAGACATATTTATAGTGAAAATACAAAGGAAAACATTTCAAATTTCCCGCCCGCCCCTTGCCGGCCGGCTTCGCGCTGATTGGCTGGCATCTGAACAGCTGGGAGGAGGCTTGGCGGCCCACCTTGCTTCTGGGCCAATCAGCGAGTTTCTCCACCTCTGGAGGACCAATCAGCACGTTTCTCTCGCTCCTGAAGATGGACGAATCAGGAGCGAGAAGGCGGGACGATCGTGAACAATGGGGGAAATGATAGGATTATAGATTGCCGGCCAGCTGGAATGCAAGGCTTTGTTTTGGCTGGCAAGGTGTGATCTCCACAAACAAAAGTTTTCCTGTCTATGATGGGTTTTGGGGGAAGAAACTAACAGGGTCGGGCTGCGGACCTCAGAGGGATCAAAGCTGCCCTTTGTAATTTCAATCATTTTCTTTCCAAAATCTCATGAACTTCCTCATCTCGCCAGACATGCTCAGAAAACGAGATAAAGAAATCAATGGCTATTGTTTCATGCAGATGAGTCAATCAAAAATGAGTTTCGAGAGAGACAGAGATTTTCCCTCGAGCATTGCAACAGTTTCTGGTCACTTTTTGTAGGGTAAAGATCAAGGGAAAAGAGGGAAACAGACTACATTTCATACAATAATTTCTTATACAAAGTTCATAGGGGAAACCCCATTCCCATCCCAGATTCCAATTAATTTTTATTAAAATATTTTCTTCATTCAAAAGACGTGAAATCCCATGGTCCCGGGGAAAGTCTGTGGAAACAGAGGTGGTTCGCAGTCCAAGTCAAACAGCAGAGAGTCACTTTTCCTGGTAGAAGTCAGCAGATGGGCGCTGAGTTGATAAATAACATGATCCATCGCTCGGTCCTTGGGGGAACTACAACTCCCTCCCAAGGGCTGGGGCTCCTGCCCGGCCCCCTCTCCAAGGCCTCCTGGGGGCATCCACAGCAAGTCCCCGGTAGCGGGGCTGAGCAGGAACGAGCGGCAGCAAGGAGAAATGGGTTGCTTGTGCAGAGCCGGCGAAGATTTGACAAACAGCTGTTTTCTGTCAAATTATATTACTTAAAACAAAATAATTATTTCCCGGGCGTAGGAATCCAAATTGAGGAAAGCGAGATAGCAGTTAGTCTTAGAATTAGTTGCAGAAAAATATAAAATTAAAATGGAGCCGATCTGCCATTTTGTAATTTTAGCGGATACGGGGGTCCAAAATGGTGGTTTCGGTATCCGCGGTTTTGACGGATGCAGATCCGGCGTTCCGGGGGTGCCAGAAAGGCATCCCCGGCAGGCTCACGGCTCTTCGGAGCCTAGAAAAGGTTTATTTCATACATAAGAGAAGGTTTAGGCAGGGAAAGGACACAAAGTAGCAAGCGGAAAAGTTTTAAAGTTGCAAAACTCAAGTACCTTTATTGGGATATGTTACAAAGTAAGGAGAGGGGAAAGTAATGGAAGGCTGAGTGCAGTCCTAGTTTTGAGCTGTCTGCTGGGGCACATTTAATCAGTTGGTCCCAAACTTTGCTCTCAAGAACTGTGGAACTCTCTGCTGCGGTTCAGACCAATGAAACAGTTAAAAACAATTAAAAACAGTAACATAATAAACAGTCAATATAAATCAATAAAACATCTCATTAGCGTCTCATAGTTAAAATCAAGATCCAGTCTCATTGTCCATTTGTTCCATATTTCTATGTTCGTTACACTGCCGATTCAAATGCCTGCTCGAACAAACAGGTCTTTACTTTCCTCCGAAATGTCAACAGGGAGGGGGCCAATCTAATATCTGTAGGAAGGGCGTTCCACAGCCTGTTAAAGTTGCCTATCGCTGCCTTATTTCCCTGTCCTGAAAGCTTGGTCCCACAGGCAAATTTTTACCATCTTTCTGAAGGACAGGAGGGAGGGGGCCAATCTGATCTCACCAGGAGGGGAGTTCCATAGCCGGGGGGCAATCACCGAGAAGTCCCTGTCTCTCCCCACCAGTCACACCTGTGATAATGGTGGGATGGCGAGCAGGGCCTCCCTGGAGGATCTTAATCTCCATGATGGTTCATAGGGGAGATGCATTTGGAGAGGTAAATTGGGCTGAACAATGGCTTAAAAATGGGTAAAAAATAATAAAAATTGAAGTATGCTTAATCAATTCAAACAAATGATACAAAATGGAAAGACTGTAGAGCTTAGACTACTGCAACGCTCTCTACGTGGGGTTGCCCTTGAAGACGGCCCAGAAGCTTCAACTGGTCCAGCGTGCTGCAGCCATGTTACTAACAGGAGTGGGACGCAGGGAGTATACAACGCCCCTGTTGTACCAGCTCCACTGGCTGCCGATTTGCTACCGGGCTCAATTCAAGGTGCTGGCGTTGGCCTACAAAGCCCTAAACGGTTCCGGCCCAAGATACCTATCTGACCGCATCTCGGCCTATGAGCCCACGAGGACTTTGAGATCGTCCGGGGAGGCCCTGCTCTCGATC